GAATTTCACCACATGGCCCTGTCTGGACATCCTGGCGTCTCCAACAATTATGAGGAACTGGAACAGGCAGTCCTTCACTGTTTCGTAAGTCTTAGTCCCTGCAGGAGCCGAGAGACCACCACCAGCTTGCAGGTGCCAGCCAGGGTGCTTCTATTAGAACTAGAAGACAAAGCAGCTGCACAGTCCAAGGCTGAGAGAGAGGGGGGCAACATCAATAAGTGAACCAATGAGGAATCAAATTCATTCAAGTGCCTGCGCAGTAGATGCCAAGTGTGATGATCAGATAAAGGTCCCGAGAATTGAGGCGAAATGGTTTCAAGTTTAGCAAACACAGGGGGGTGTGTGAGTGTGTGGGTTGGAAGTGTGGGAGTGTGGAAGGAGTGGAAAAGCAGCAGTAAAGCAGCAAGCAAACACTGCCACTGAACTAAGGCGGATCAGCGCAGCTTCGCTTACGTGTATACCCGCTGCCCGATCCCGCTAGCGACGCAGAGTTGAACCAAAAGAGCAATATCCACGCTTCCCTGACCCTCCCTGCCATCTGTCGTCGGAGCTCATGACTATCATGCTCCATTCAGTAAATGGGGTTATGGTTCATGTTGATCTGGTTGCTGAGCAGAACAATCATGATACCATGCGCTGCCCTGTCTGTCTCCTGAGAGGCTCTGTTGTTGCGGATTGCCAGAGAGGCAAATCTGGTTGTCCGTACAGCATGAGGTATTGTACAGTACACCTAAAAATAGTAAAAGTACAATGTGGCATCATCGGAGCCACCATCACAACAGCAGCAACAGCACCACCACCACCACCACTGAGACCTCCTCCAACAGCTTGCGTACGTACCTCTATCGCATGGCTTCCTGCCATTCAGCTCGGTTCCAGGTCTGAACTGGAACATAGACTAAGAATGGATCCGACCGTCGCATCCATAGCTACCGCCAAGGATGTTGATTAGGGAGGTTTCAGAAGGACCTTGAAGAATGGCGACTGAATACGGTCCTAGTCTGCCTGCCTATTGGGATAGTTTTACCAGTTTACACCTGAGAGAAGGTGGAAGTTTCATCAGTTTTCATCAGTTCTCTCCCTGCTAGTCAACTATATACTAACCACCGTGCTCTATGCACTTGCAACCTCGGTGACGGTGTTACACCCTGTTAGCGGGTCTCGCTCTTATCCAGTGGAAACCCGATCCGATCGTTAGTGTGAACTGGCAAGCGTCGCTCCAGACCTCGATGTCGGAATCGTGATATGCAGATACCCTGCACACCCTGGTCTGTCATCCTGGACCGATGCAAGTTGATCCCTTATAGACCACGACCGTCAGCCCAGTCCGGCCCAGCCCACTGGCCACACTAGAAGAATGCAGATGTGATCCTTAATCAAACCTGGGTCCCCAACCAAAAAAAGGGGCCCACCGCCTTGTGACAGATCTGGGCTGCCCGCCGACCAAAGCGGAGTTTATTTCCTGCAGCCGCAGGGGAGGGCTGTCTACTTGACGTAGTAACCTTCACAACTGCCGGGGGCCGTGATATTGGTGGAGGATATATCCTTGGGAGGGAGAGAGGGAGCATTTGCTGAATATCACCTAGTTCTAATGACTAGGAGGAGATTTTCTTTGGATGGGTATGGGACAGAGTGAGTAGGTAGTCTACTAATGGAACCTCGGAGGAGAGACCGGAAACAAAACGACACTAAGAATTGGAGGGAAGGATGGGGACACGCCCATCTGCCCATCCTCATTAACGGGCAGCAAGTGGGAAAGTGCCAAAGCACCAGTGAGAGGCCAGGAATGTGGGAAGTCAGGATGACGATTCGAATGTGAAATGGGAAGCAGAGGGTGGCTCACCAATCAACGGGGGAGTCGACCCCAGTTGATGACGAGTCCCGAGTCTCCAAGACTCTCCAAAAGTCTCCAGCGGGCTTCGAGAAGCTCAGCAAACTTCGAGGCCTCTGTTTCAAGTAGGCGCTAGTCCCTTTGAGGTAAGGTGGTTACCACCGCCTCGTCTGCCCAAAAAGGGCAAGTCCCTGAGATGCCAGTAAGTATAAGGTTTTGATTGGATCAAAACTGAGAATGGCCGTCCCACTCCTCCCCAATTCACTCGCTGATCCAATGGAACGCTGTATCCTGAACCCTGGGATCCAACGAGGAGTTAAATTTAAAACCACGCTCAGTGGGCAAGACCCGGGATCCAGATTCCCCAGTTCTTCAATTCTCATTGACAGGTCGCTCTCTCCGACACTCTCTTACTGTTACCTAGTTACTCTCAGCTACAGTGTCATCTCCCTATTCCTTATGCAGTAGTTCGGAAGCCAAGAACCCATCATGCTTTCGAATTCTCATGCTCTCGTCCACTTTCCCAAGAGCCCCAGGGCTTGCTTGTCTTTTCCCCTTCTGCTCATCCTCCTCCCCCCCCCACTCTCTCTCTGTCTCTTCCTTTTGACTCGCTTTCGCATCTCTTACTTCCACCCCCACTTCTTACTAAACCGTTTTGGGCTGTCTGTCACAGCTCTTTGGGACCACGGGTGCGTGTGGCCCTGGGTTGGGATGAACCAGATGGACGGAGGCAAAGGGTCAGGGGTAAAACGGTCGTCTGCCTGGCAAGCATCACCGGAATGAAATGGTATGATCGGTGATCCGTGATCAGTGATCCTACCATACCATAGGGGATGAAGAATCAGCATGGCTATCGGGACCTGCACGACGCCTGCAGTCATCATCGGATCTGTCCCTGCCTAGTTTACACCTCCGACGCCAGGAACGAGATGTCGAACCCTGTCGGTCCTGATATATCATTCCTTCTCCTGGCGCAAGAAGACATAGTAATCCCACCGCCACATTCCGGGTCACTGTAATGATCCCTGTCGTCCGCCGAAGTAACTCTAGTCGGATGAACGCCTTTAATCGGGCAAGCGAGCTGATTCCTGCCAGTCGGGATGTCCGACACGGAGAGAGACAACAAGAGTCAGCGAAGTAAGCCTCATCCTGAGTCGTTCGTTGTTGTCGTCGTCGTCATCGTCGAAATTCTCGCAGTTTCGCAGGGAATTCGATGCGCAGAGTAAAACATTTGAGGACAGTGTTTCACCCTTGGGTTAGTAAAGGGATGCCCACCTGCGGCCAGTTTTAGCCCTCTTGTTCCATGGCTTTGCTTCAGCACTGACAGTACCTTATTAGCGATCTCACACAAGATTGGGTAATGGATATTATGTGCGAAGAAACCGCTCATTTTAGATTGCTTTGCTACTTCGTCATCGCTCTTCCTGGTCTCCTCTGGTGATTAATGATTGATTATGATGCTAGTTTCTTATTACCCACCCTGATCTTTCTCACTCTTCATCTCTCCTGCTGCTAATCCATTGATTGTGAAATCAAGTTGGGAAAAGAAGAATCGGATTCGCAAGTGTTCTTTTGTTCATTTGCAATTTCCTTTTCTATTTTTTTTTTTTTTATCCTGTCCCATTTTGGTCTTTTCCCTTTTCCCCATCTCCCTCACTGTTGGTTAGTCTCATAAAGTTTCGACCATCTGATACGATTGTCCGAATAGCCTTTCCTGTTATTCACTTTTTTATACTTTTGCCTTGTGTTTTGGCTTCCAACACCCCTTTTCCTCGGGTATCTGCTCTCTCTTGGATATTGCAATGATTGAGAATCTGTTCTTTACTACTGAGACTCCCAGATCCTCTGCATCGCCGTACTTTCAATTCGCTGGACTCTAGCAGAGGCGAGACTAGAAGACAAAGCGAAACAAGAGTTTCCCAGAATGGGAAGTGATCACAAATAATAATAAAAAAAAAATCCCCAAGATAAATTAAAGTCCCGAGATCCATTTCTAGATCCCGAGCGAGCGAGTTGAAACTACGAAGCCACAAAAACTACGAAACTACAACGGAGGAGGTTCTCCGTATTCGCCATTGACTGTTTTGTTCCTTCACTTTAACTCAGCAACTACCTACTACACTCCACTACACACTACACACTACACTACTCCAACAACTTCCACCACTCTCTTCTCTTTCTTCCCTCTCCCTCTCTCCCTCTCTCTCCTTTTCCTCCTCTCCCTCATTTCATCCAATTCTCTTCTTCCTGCTGATTCTTATCCCCTCGTCTTAAGACTTCACCCCCTCATCCTCCCTCCCTCCTCTCTCCCCGCTCTGGGGTCATTCCCATTCTCTTCCTCATCCTCAACCCTCTTTCCTCCTTCCCTCCTCCCCTTCGCCGTGTTTCCTGCTCCATTCTTTTCCCTCCTTTGATTGCCTGCAGCTCCAGTGTTCCATACAGACTACATACTTAATCATTTTAATTTTCCACGGCGGATCCGTGTGTCCCATCTCTCATTTCAATCTATCTGGGCTGGGCCGAAATTTATCCTTTGGCGACACACGCACACACACACACACACACACCCATACACAAACACACCCCTCTAATTCAGTGACAAGCTTGGCCAAGACCTGTGGACAACAACGTTGAGGCCTACGAATCCTGATCCAAGACTCCATTTCACTTTCGGTGCTTGCGCCCCGGTCCGCTCGAGTCGCGTGAAACAGACCCTGTCGCCCGGACGGTGATTGTGTGTGGCATTAGACGGTGGCTGCTGCGGACGAAGTGTGGAGTCCCGCTGCTGAAACGAGGCCATTCGCAATACGTACCCCCCCACGATAACGACTGCGATCACCGTTAGATTCGCCCACTTCTCTCTCCCCCTCCTCCACTTCCGTCTCCTGTTGCGACCAATACACTCCTATTGTCTGTCGCATTCACTTCGCATCTAGGATCAACAGTCCAATCGCCTGTTGCCTAACCTTGATCCTCATCGCGCGCCGGGGATCTACCTCCGCCATCCCGCCATCCCACCTGAATCTACCTCCCTCTCGACCTCACGGCTCTCTGCGATTAATGCAGCTGCGGCCTCAGGCTTCAAACTTACCATCCCTTTCTCGCTGCTGGGGCTATGCCCTCACTCGTTCAGAATATCGAATCCTCTCTGATACCACAAGGCGCAACCATGGAATCATCCGCTGCAGATAAGAAGCGCAACAAGCTTGGATACCATCGCACCTCTGTCGCATGCGGTAAGCTCAGTCCCAGCGGCCCCCGTTAGGACAATCCGACTGACCAATACCCTCAAGTACACTGTCGACGACGGAAGATCCGGTGTTTGCTCGCCGCGGACGATGCTCAGGGACGATGCGAGAACTGTATACGACTGCGCAAGGAGTGCCAGTTCTTCCCAGTTGATCAACAACCCCCCATCGAGAAGAAGTCGCGCCCAAGTTCCCAGCTGGAAACGGCCTCGACTGATCCATCGACTGCCTCGTCTTCGCCCCCCACCCTCACCGGTGACCAAACGGAGGCCTACTTTCCCTATCAGTCGATGTCATTGGGTGCGAACCCCGACGTAACCGGATTCAATGCTGCGGTTTTCCCTGGCAACCCGATGGTGACTTTCGCTCCCGGTTTGTGCATGATCTCGCGGAGTAGAGGAGCGATACACTGACTCGTCCACAGAGCGCACCGTTCCCTCTTCGGAATTCGCGCCGCATCCGTCCATCGATTCCTCGACTGTCGCTTGGGATGACTTCACGACGATACCTGACCAGCAGATGCTAGCTTCCATGGCCGCTGGCAAGCCCATGATGAACGTACCCGCCAACGTCTGGACTCCTGCGCCTGGCCAAATGGCTCCGATGCCCGCTACGTCGCCTCTTCCCGGCACTCCGACGGTTCCGTCCCAGAATCAAGGGCTCAATCCAGCACCCACGTATACCATCCAGCCGGATGGATCGGTGTGGCAAGTGGCACCCACGCGATCAATGACCTTCCCCGCACAGCCCGCCGATATGACCGCGTCGTATCCCAACCCTGCGCAATTCGTGCAACCAATTCCCGCCGATCTCAAACGCAGAATGACCAGTCCGGCGCAGACGTTTCCCGGTGTTCCGATGAACCCTCAGAGTCCTCCTTCGGCAGAGCTGCAAGGCACTCCGGTGTCTGTGTCATATCCTGGTCAACCGGGCACTTTGGGTTATCCTGGTTGGCAGGACATCAATGCCATGTCGCCGATGAGCGTGGTGCAATATCCCATGTACGCTGGCGATCCGGTGCAACAGGCAGGCTTTGGCAGCCCTCCGCCAATGGGACACCCGGGTCCAGCACAATCTCCACCATGATGAGACCGCGGACGATGGGCGATTACGAGCATTCCGACCAGATTTTCCCAACTCTATGTGGCATAATACCCCGGGCTCCGCATTGCATATCTTTCATTTCTTTTCTGTGTGATTCCCTCCATGCATATACCTTTATTTCATCAGCTGCTTATTAGCGGGCGCAAAGGCTCTTGAACGGTATATTTACTTTTGATTCTACCCACGGGACCCATCTCTTTTCCGGCTGATTCGTTGTTGTCCGGTCGTGCTGGACAAAATATAGATTCTTTACCTATTTTCTTTTTCTTTCCCTTCTCGCCCTTCAACTTCATCTGTTCATATTAGCGTTGGATATCCATGGCGTGCGTCACGAGCTATGTGCGAAGTCACCAGCGGGACGGGTGTCTGATCATCTTCGGATCTGCGTGTTTTGTTTTTGAAATTCCGGCGTTCAAAGGGACTTGGGCTTAGTGTTCTGAGTCCTCGGATGGGACGGGGGTTGGGATCTGTCAGGACGGAATGACTGATAGACTGTTGTTCATCATGAACATCGTGGACCATAGAGGCGTCCGACCATTCTGAACCGGCTCGACTTACTACCTGCCACTTTTTTGTTATGTTTTTGATTGATTATTGATTCCCCGAATAGATGGATGGGCGGCTGGTTGGTGGTTGGAATTTTCCTGGATTCGATTTGAGGCATTTGCTTGTTCATAGACTTAATGTTGATACGCTTACCTTTGCCGGTTACCTGAGGTGTCGTCTGTACAGTAGATGGAGTGGATTGTATAATGTTTGCCTGAGGCACCTGTGATCCTTGTTCTGTCAAAGACCTTGTGCCTTCGCCTTTGTCTGCAGAACAGTACCAAGACCTACCTCCCTGAGGACTTATTGGCGCCTCTTGATTTGAAGCTGCTATCCAAGCCGCACAATCCGGTCAAAATCCAGGAACTTCGTTTTTCCTATGTTGAGATTGAACATACAACACGAAGACCCGCATCTGCCCCCTGACAGGACACAAGAACGGGGATACGGTATAATAGCAGCTGAGTACTTTCCCTCCATCCCGGAATATTGTTGAATTGAGGAGCGTGAAAGCCCGAACTGAGCCCATCTTGTCTGTACTGAAAGAGATGGCATTATCTCTGAATCCTGAGGGGTATTCGCCATGCTTTGCTTCGAGGTTGAAGGCACGTATGTGTAGCTTGGTGTTCGTGAGTGTCGATGTGGGTTTTGTACCAGGGGGATGATTGCTAGGGGGAAAGTACAGCGTGGAGATGACCTGCTGTAGGATGCTTCTGCTGTATAGGTGAGTGGGCGTTATTCTTGTGTTGGAGATTGATGTTTGAGATCTTCAGTCTAGGTTCTCAAGCTGTGAACTATGAAGTAGGGGTGAACTAGGAGAATAAGAGTCTCGAGAAAGGTGCTTTTCTCTGCCTGCTTTCTTTGCAGGCGTGCAATATTGTGTTGTGTTGAAGAGAATAGTATATGTAGTACCCATGATTGGCCTAAGCTGATAAGCTACGCAGCTCAGTCACGGGTTACGTCCATTGGCAGTCGACTACACCTTCCTCTTTCATCACCACCACCACCACTACACAACAACAGAAGAAAGACAACAACACAATCCATCAGAGTACCGCAAAAAGAAATCATAATATCATTATCATAACCCATAACTCATAACCCTCCTCAACCATTACAGCCCACCAAGAACCTTGAAGCTACTCTACACAATCAACTCCCCCATAGTCCAATCCAAGAAATCCCGCTGCTCCGCCAACGCGCCCCGGATCCGGGTGATATCAAACTGCCGACGCGCATGCTGCTCACGAAGCGTCTTCAGCTGCGCCCGCAGGCGCTCCTCCAGGTTCTCCAGCCGGTACAGCGCGTACTGGCTGTACAGCTCGGGCAGCTCGCTGATGCCGCGGACGCTGGCCAGCACGGTCTCGTCCTTCACGAGCGGGTTCCGTGGCCGGAAGCTGGTCACCATGCTGATGCGCTCGCGGCCGCCTAGCGCCTTCAGCGCTTGGTGTTCGATGTAGCGGCCTTGCATTACTACTGCTGTGCCCTGTGGGATATTAGATTGGGTTGACATGGGATAGTGATAAGGTTTTTAAGAGGACGCTCACCATCAACGGACCCCGGAACTTCAGCACCTCCCCGTTCCCCGTCTTAACCGCCGTCTCGCCGCCCACCATCCCCTCGCAGTCCGACAGCATCGTCACGCACACGAATGGGTAGCTGTCGTGGTGCCACGCGAAGGCCGGCATGCTGTCGTCTCCCGACTCGTCGCGCTTGACCTCGACGGTGTGCGCGTCCTTGTCGTTGACCGAGACGTTGACGTGGCCTACGTCCATGTCCATCGCGGGCACCAGGTCGATCCCTGCTACCTTGGAGATGGTCGCCAGCAACTCGGGGCTGTTCCAGGCGTTGAAGATGAAGGGCGCGCGTCTAATGATCATCAATTAGCTTTGAGAATCATCCTGAGTACGTCATGGTGTCAAGGCGATCCACTCACTGCGGCCCGTATCCACGGATCATGTTCGTCGCGAAGCTCGACGCATACTGGCAGTCGCGGAGGACGGGCTCGCTGAAGATCTCCGCCCGGATCTGCTGTACGGCTTCGGGCGTGAAGAGGGGGAATGGCTCCGAGAGCGCGGTGGGTGAGATGCCCGCTCCCTCGAACCCGAGGTCATTCATCGTGAACACCTTGCCTGGCTCCGCGGCTGCCAGGTGCTTCGTTGCGTCGAACTCGACTTTCTCGACTGCTCGGGCTTTATCGATCAGGGATTGCGGGATTTGCTTGGTTGGTCGTGTGGCCCGCAGTGTGGTCGGGGCGATTACGGTGGGTGGCGCGATGGGCGCCGGGATGGCGATGGGAGCTTGGACGGCGGCGGCGGCCATGGTTGATTGTGATGAGTGGAGTGGAGAGACTTTGGTAAAACAAAGAGAAGATGGGACTGTTGTTGATACTGGACTGTCCATGATCGAGGAGGCCTTTATAATGGTATCAACATCACAGGTTCGTGAGTATATCCATTGATGAGGTGCGATAGATCCATAACTGGACAACGATCCGCCATGGTGTAGGTAGAGGCAACTGACTCTCAAACAGGTTCAGCTCTTCGATAAGGAGCGGCGTGTTCTAGTACCGGATCAGGATATGAATCCGAACTCGAGACCTGAAAGGCAAGCTGTCATCGCTCGAACCAGAAAGCAGATAGTGAGGTATGAGTAAGCGATCACCTGGTCTTTGTCTCACTGGCGTATAAGACCCATCTGCAGGAAACCCCCCTACAGAAACCGTGTTCCAAGAATCCTGCATGTCACTGACAGCTGCGCCCAGGGTAATCTTCGACAATCTTTCCACCTGTGACGATACACTATGCTGGTAAGGACCCATGCACTTGCCTCTAGGTGACGCGCCCTTATCGCGGACGGTCTGAGGGCCAATGATGTCTGTTCGATCGATCTCTTAGCCTGCTATGCCTCTGATAAGAGGACTTGGTGACCCTCACCATCTAGCCCGTTCTTCTCTTGTGGCAAAGATGCTGAGGACAACGCCAACGACGGCCTACCAGCTTAGCTGCTGCCCCAGTTCAGCTCCTTGTATCCTCATTCAAGCGTCGTGTATAAACATACACAACAGAACAGGCCTGGATGATATTGCTCCCTTTGGTGTTTCGTTGCGAGGCGTGGAATTCAGCCGGCAGGGGATAGATAAGCGATCGCTATAAATGGGCTTCTCGTACCCTATACTTACATGTACGGAGTCCAAACCTGTCTTTTACAACCAAACAACCACCCCTCCCCAGCCTCCGCCCACCATGACACATCCCATGCAGCATCGTCCAGTAAACATGGAAAAAAGCAAACCGGCCTCCCCAAGCGACGTGTATGTCACCGTTTCTGACATTGAACCCGTGGTCATTGTTTCCCAGGACAGCCATGGATTACAGCGACGCTTGGATAACCGCCAAATCCAGCTGATCGCCATCGGGGGTTCAATTGGCACGCGGTGTTCGTGAGCATCGGCAGCGCTCTCACCAAATCCGGCCCCGGCAGTTTACTGCTCGCGTACATCATCTACAGCTGTATGTTCTCGCTCGTGAACAACTTTATCGCGGAGATGTCCACCTACATGCCTGTCAGTGGGGGATTCATCCGGCTGGCTGGTGGGTGGGCGGACGACGCATTCGGGTTTTATGGCTGGATGGAACTTCTTCTTCTATGAAGCGCTGCTGATCCCGTTCGAGATCACTGCGTTGACGCAGGTGTTGGCCTTCTGGAGTGATCACCTCCCAACGGCTGCGATGTGCGTGGCCTGCATCGTACTCCATGGTAAGACCACAATACTCCCACGTGCGTGGGGCCCGAGTATATTTCGATGGTGGCGGCCGAGAGCAAGCACTCGCGACGGTATATCAAGAACGTTTTTTCATTGGCAGCGCGCTCTGCGTTGGGGTGGTTGTCGCCTATAGCGACGCCTCCTCGTGGCCATCACCTCGGGCGCCACCGCCGGCGCTGGGTCCGCCTCCGCCTCGCCGTCTGTGATCGCAATGGGCAACCTAGGCATCACTGTGCTGCCTCACATCGTCAACGCGCTGCTCGTCACCAGCATCTTTTCTGCCGGCAACACATACACATACGCCGCGACGCGGGTACTCTACGGGCTAGCCGTCGAAAGCCGGGCGCCGCGAATCTTCCGGAAATGCACCGCACAGGGCCCATCTACTGCTTCGGAGTGGTGATGCTGTTCCCCTTTCACTCGTTCCTGCAGCTCCCTGACAGCACCGCCACCGTACTCACCTGGATCATCAACCTGACGACCGCCGCCGGCGTGATCAATTACATTGTCATGACGACAACTTAGAACTTCTTCTTCCGCGCGTGCCGCGCGCAGGGCCTCGACCGGTCGCTGTTCCTGGGCTGGAAGCTGCTGAAGTGCACGCGGTTTGTGCGGCCGCTGGAGCGGACCTCGTGTGGGAGGCGCCGGCCATCACTGCGTACAAGACCGAGTTGGAGACTCGACAGTCTCCGGTGGAATTCTAGGTGGAGGTCATGCAGCCATTGCGGAGGAGGAAATGGGAATTAAAAAAGAAAGTTATGGGTGGGTGGGTGAGTGGGACAGAACCCGAGAGAAATACGGGATTCTCGGATAAGAAAGCAAAAAAAAAGGAAAAGAGAATGCGGGGTAAAAATTGGCGCTTATTTTTAGTTTTATTTCCAGGGAATTTACTTGGTTAGTTGGTTACAGTACATACTAAGGACGTAAGTAGAAAGAATCTCCCTCTCTTTCTCTCTCCCCCCCTCGCTTCTTTCTTATCGGTCGGCTAAACCGATCGGATAGAAAATTAAGACTAGACTAGTCTCGGATGGTGATATCACTTCTCTAGTACTTGGAACACTCTAAAAGGGAGGGTTTCTTGCCTTCTTCGTTTCGGTCTGTTTCCTTTTGGGTGCTGTTCACGCCCTACTCTCTCACTGACTTTCCCACACTCTCACCACAACATGGACGAGATGAACCTCGGTCTACAATCTCCACCACAATCACAATCACAATCACAATCACGTAACAAAACCCAGAAAGGCAAGAATAAACGCCAAGCCCCCAAGTCACGGACCGGCTGTGAAAGTTGCAAGAAGCGACGGGTGCGTTATTGAGTTATCTACTTCCCTGTGTTGCTCTGTCGATTGACTCCATGACAGCGACGATGCGACGAGACAAAACCGGGTTGCTATGAGTGTCAACGACGGGGCCAGACGTGTCCGGGCTACACGCGTCCGTTCATCCGATGGCGACATATGCATAAGAAGACCGGGGCCGGTGGTGGCGAGACCCCGTCCGAGTCGCTGGGCTCGTCTGCTGCCGGCGACTTCAGTATCTTCCATGAGTATACGGCTATGACGGCTCCGAGGATCGATGTAGAAGCTGATCCTGCTCCGCGGAGGGAGAGGCAGGTTTCGTCGATTGAGGTGGAGGATGGGGATGAAGGGGGGGAGGAGCACGCTGAGCGTGGGCAGGGAACTCGGGCGACGGGCTCGGAGGCGGAGATGGAGGCAGACGCAGACCCAGACGCAGACCTTTCAGCAGAAGACGGCATTGATTTGGATCTCCTCACGGGGATCACCGAGTCGGACATGCCTGAGCCTCTGCCTGCGGTGCACGACGCCGTCGCGCTGTCCGGGGCCGCTGCGTCCAGCGGCGACCGAGACTACATCGAGAACCTAGAGATCCTGCGGCGGCGACTGACGGACACCTCGGTGCCCTCGTTTCTAGTCTACCTCCCGGGCATGCTGGTGGAGTACTACTTCGACTACGTGTGCATGATGTGGTCGTCGTTCGACTCGGATATCAACCCGTTCCGCACCAACATCGCCCGGCTCTGGAGCCAGAATGCCCCCATCTACTTCGCCATCCAGAGCATGGCCGCCGCGTCGCTGGCGGGCGATTTCCCCGGCATGCGCTCCGTGGGCACGCAGATGCAGCAGCGCGCCATCAGCGCCCTGCAAGAGGCGATGGCCTCGTCGCCCATGGACGATGAGAACCTGTTCTATGCGCTGCTGATGGTCGGCTCGACCACCGCCTGGCACAACGGAGGCGACCTGGGCTTGCCCTATCTCCAGGCTGCGCGCAGGTTTCTCGTACGTCAGCGCCAGCGCCACCAGGGCTCCTCCTCCGAGCTCGCCCAGCAGTACCCCTTCTTCAACCAGTGTCTGCTCTACTGGAACATGCTGGCCGCGTTCGTCGCCCAGGACATCCCCGACGCCGGCGTCACCGATAGCGACCTGCCCATCTACGTGGTCAACGGCCAGACCCTGCTGCACCCCTGGACGGGGCCTCTCCCCACAGCCCTGCGTCTCTTCTACCAGATCGCCCGCCTGATCCGCTCCGCGCGCCATGCTCCCCTGATCAGCCTCGCCACCACCCCCGGCGCCACTCTCGAGTCGACCGTCCTCTTCGATGCGGTCCAAGCCCACAAAACCGCCGAGCAGCTCGAGAAGGACCTCCTGACCTTCGATGTCGACGGCATCGGCCACCACCTCCCAACCGGCGACAGCAACACGCCAGCCAGCCACTTCACCATCCTAGCAGACGCCTACCGCTGCGTCGCCCTGCTGCAAATCTACCACGCCTTCCCCGAGATCCTCGTCTCGCGCCTACAGTCGCAGTCGCAAAACGACCTAACCACCGCGCTGTCCTTCTTCCTCACCATCCTCCCCCCGCAACAACTCCTCAACCCCACCCTCCCAGCCATCAGCCCCCGCCAGCTCCGCCGCCTCCTGGCCCTGCACATCATCACCCTGCTCGACCACCTCCCCATCTCCTCCGGCACCCGCGTCATGCAGCCCGTGCTCCTGGCCGCCACAGCAGGCAGCCTGGTCTTCTCGACCGGCACGCCGCTGGGCGTCGCCGCCGACGCCCTCGGCCCCTTCGATATCGTCGACGTTGACATCGCCCAAGCCCGTCGCCGCGTCACCACCCGTCTCGCCGACCTCACCCGTATCCTGCCCAAGCCGCCGCTCGAGCGCATCATTGACTTGGTCAAGGAGACCTGGGCCAAGGCCGACGACGGCGGCGACGCCTTCTGGTTGGATGTCATGATGGAGCATCATTTGGAGACTATCATGGGGTAGTGCCGCCTGCTTACTCCATCCTATGTACCAGAGATAAACGTCCCGGGGGAGAACCCCCGGACCCCCCTTTTCTTTCAGCTTCCTGGTCTACCGCATTCCTATGTACTAGAGATAAACGTCCCAGGGAAGAACCCCCGGACTCCCCTTTCTTTCAGCTTCCTGGCACCTCATCTAGGTCCTTAGATAGATCCATACAGTTTCCATAGCGGCTATGAATTGCTATTCCGCGCAGAGAATCACAGTATCGATTAACCACCAAACCAAGTATCAAGTATCACAAGATCCTCCATAGGAACATAACCCTATCGACCATAACCAACCCGATACAAACACATACAAATACACCCTAAACCCATGACCGCAAACAAGCTTCAGCTCAACCCCCAGAATCTAGACCCCCTCCCCAGCTATCAACCTCATCAACCATATTGCACGCCAAGCCAGCGCATTCCTTACCCAATGCGGTAATCGAACCCGCCGCCCCGCCGCCCCGCCACAGCTCTGGCGATCAGCAGATCACGGACATACTGTCCTGGGCTTATCTGCATCTGCATACAACACGACAGGCTAAGCGTTGGCTGGGTTCTTTGTCCTGATTAGGATGCAGATCGCCCGGCTTGGCTATACTTACTTCGTTGGCTTGGTTGGTTGGGTTTTGGTAGCTTGTTTCCTTTTGTGGTGCAGTATTGTCTATACGAGGTAGAAGTACTGTACAGTTCGTGTGTCTGCGTTGTGGTGGAGGAGGTGCCTGCCTGCCTGCCTTGCTTTAGGTGCGGTGCTGGGTTGGAGTGCCTTTTTGGGGAAGGGGGTCCTGTTCTTCCTGTCCTGTCCTATTTTTGGATGGGTGGGGATGGGTTGATCTGGGGTTTCCCCCGGACTGCTTCTATCTTGGTGTATAGGATTAAGGTTCCGGGAAGCTGAAAGAAAGGGGGGTCCGGGGGGTCTCCCCCGGAATACTTTATATTCATGGCTTAGGATTGAGGGCTCCAGGAAGCTGGAAGAAAGGGGGGTCCGGGGGTTCTCCCCCGGGACGTTAATCTCTAGTGCTGTACATAGGAATGCGGTAGACCAGGAAGCTGAACGAAAAGGGGGGTCCGGGGGTTCTCCCCCGGAACGCTTACAGTTCTAGTGCTTAGGGGGTTGAGGTGGAGGGAGAAGTATCGTAATGCATTACTGTCTCCGAGACTAGAAACGATCATGACCGGCTAAAAACACATAAGTACTCAAGAAAAAGGAGAACTACAACAGCGCCCTCTCCCTCCGACGCAACGCGCGCACGACCTCCTCAGCGCCCAGCTCGCCCGAACACAACGCCCCCTCCATATACCCCTTCCACTCGGGACTATACTCGGTGCCGACGAAATGCAGATTCCCGACAGGGCGGCCATAGACCTCCCGGAAACGAGTCAGATGGCCCAGCGCGGTAATGGGAGCCAGAGCGCCGCGACTGTAGCGCTCATGCTGCCAGATCTGGTCGAACACCTCGATAGGGCGGTACGCCTCCGAGTTTCTGTCCTGCTTGAAGACGCGGGCGATCTGGTGCAGCACGGCGGCGCGGCGCTCATGCGGCACCAGCTTGCTCCATTCGCGACCGGGCTCGCCGTTCACGAAGCACGTCAGCGCGAAGTGTCGCTTCTCGTCCACCGAGGTGTCGCGCGCCAGGATCACGGGTCCCGCGTAGCTGGCGAAGTACCCGTTGAAGCCCAGGTCGCGCCACCATGGCCGGTCGTAGCATACGATTGCCTTGTTGTAGTCGCCTAGTACGGTGCCGTTCGTCACTTCCTGGACGGCGGCTGGTAGTCGGGGCGAAATGTTGAGTTCCTTGTACATTGTGCTCGGGATCGAGAGGATCACTTTGCGCGCTGTGAAGGTTTGGCCTTTTGTGCTGGTGACCGTGACGTGGGAGCTGTGGTCGTCGATGGTGGCGACTGGGGTGGAGAGGTGGATCTTTGAGGTGCCGATTAGGTCTGCGAGGCGGTTGGCGATGGTTTGGGAGCCTTGCATATGGGTTCAGTTAGTTGGTTTTGCTTTCATGCGCAACGGGTTGGGAGGGTAATCTACCGTCTTGGAAGCGAAGGTATTGACCCCCCGATGCATCGTCCGCGCGAATGGCCAGTAACCCGCGGTTGCGCCGGCAGTAATCAATAAACCAGGCGGCCGACTCCTCCGTCGCCTCAACGCCGTGCATCACCTGCGCCCACAAGTTCACCATCTGGATGATCTTGGGCAGTGCGCCGAGGTTGCGCACGTACTGGTCCAGTGTGACGTTGTCGTCTTCCCCGGACAGGGGGCCCTGCTTCAGCGACTCCGCTTGGATGTGGTCGCGGATGTGCTCCAGGTTCTTCTTTTCTTGTTCCGTGAACTGAGTGCCATTGTCGGCTCGGTCAGCCTAGAACGTCGGGGGAAGCGGGTGGGAGGCATCTGAAAACCAATGCGCAAGCACTTACCTCAGGCGTAACGCCAAAGGGGAAGACGAACCGCTCGTCCAGCCCCGGCTCCATCACCGCTTGGCCCTCCAGCCGCTGCTTCACGACCTTCATCCCGAACTTCTGCGCATACGCCCACACCCGCGGCTGCAGCGTGTCGTTGATCCACGCCGCGCCCAGCTCCGCGCACCCGCGGCCTGAGGCCAGCGGCACGCTCCACACTTTCCCGCCGACGCGGTCGCGGGCTTCGAGAACAACGGTCGAGAGCCCGGCTTGTTGGGCTGAGTAGGCGGCTTGCAGGCCGCTGAAGCCTGCGCCGATGACCAGGACGTCGAACATGTTGGGTATACGGCTAACTGGGAAGTCAATGGCTTAAGGGAGAGGGATGGGGGAGGTTTGTGGGAAAAGGAAACTCGATCTGAAGCTGGGGGCAGGAAGCTTGGATATAAATGCGCTACACCGCTGCATGGCATGATATTCTCGTGGAACATTGGCAGCGGAAGATTGTCCGAAGCAGGAAGTTCAGGACACCCTGCAGTTGATCCTTGGGTGACAGCTCGATCTACGGCTCTCATCGCCATACCCCGATCTGGCTTAGTGCGTGGTTCTCATGGCTCTCATTATACTTACCGCTTTGGGAAAAGCATCACATGAGTGGATGTCGGTGATCGTGGAAGCGAACAGTGCAAACCAGTATCTGATGAGTGATAAGCATTTATGCATTTCTTGTGTGTGCATAATTATCCAGCTAATTATAGCGAGCCTGGGGGCGCTCAAATATCTGGGGATGATCCTCCAACCCCGCAGCGGCTGACTGAGCAGGGGCGGTCCCGTGATGCTCTGCATGTGACCGACTGCTCTTCCACTTCGCGGGTTCTCAGAGCGACTCCCGCAGAAACCATGTCGCGCGTCAACCAGCCCTGATGATCCAGTCCTTTCAATGCCCTTGACGGCAGGCTTTTCTATATCCGGGCATCCCTCTGTCCCAAAGCGTGTAGTTGGCGCCGTTTCCAGACTCCACCCCGCAGTTCGGCCATGCCTGATTACCGCGGCTGATCCGTCCCGTTCGCGGAGAAGAATACGAGAGACGTGCGCCCCTTCTTAGACACCAGCCAACCCCGTCACGGCGCCCTGATTATCATGGGCTGGAAGCTTACAGTGGCTGAGTGTATAACAGCTCTACCTGGCGGCTCCCCCGGGGATTAGAAGGCTCTCAACGAAAGGCTCACCGTGATCATGCAGGAACTTGATCTACTTGGCGAGAAGGTTAACCGGATTCGAGATCGTCGTGCACTGCGGGAATATCTGGCCGACTATCTGGACTATCTCCCGGCGTTTATCAAGGCGGCCGCTGACCGGGATCAGGACGCCAGCACGGAGGTTCTGGCGCGGTAAGCGATGCGACTTAAGGGCGAGAGTAACCATAATACCCGGCGCCGGCGCGTGCCGCGCTCCCGCTGATCCCGCCGGAGGTCTCCCATCTTGACCGGGATCTCGAGATACGCCGGCTGCACGGGGGTAACCTATATACAGTTGCACTCAGCGATCTTGTCAACCTCTGTGAGATCCGTGACCTGTACCAGATCATCAACCGGACCTACGCCACTACGGTCGAAAGGCTACAGACTATTGCACATCTCCACCCCTCCGAGCGGCTCTGCTTCGTGGGCACTGACTAGTTTAGCCTAACTGAACTGGAGATACTGCAGATAACAGGCCAGCAGATATAGGCTGCTGCAGTCTGCGGGCTTATTTATGGCCGCAGGAAGGGATCTTTCTATATCCTCGGTGGGTTCTCCGGCGGCCGGTGACCTAATCCGACTGACAGCTCCCAGATAATTATGCTCCGCCGGTCCCGTTGGCGCCACAGCTGGTGAGCCCTGACGCCAGCAGCCAGGGTAACCGCTGCGGGGAGCCCTCGCCCACACCGGTGGAGACGGATGCCCGCACGCGTCCCGTGGAGGGGTGGAGCGCTGCGATGGAGACGGAGAGGAGGTGGACCGGACCGTCGGCGGGAGGGCCGACCGTTCCCTCCAGCCTGAGGCATCTGCTGAACCCACTGCTCCCAGTCAGCTCCGAACCGACCGGGATACGGGGTAGGCAGCGTGCCGCAGCAGTCGTGCTGGACGACTGCGGTCAGCGTGTGGCCAGCACCCGCTGACTATCCCGTGGGGCATGGAGGCGCGCCCGGGCGGCAAGCCGTCCCGTATATTATAGGCTGTCGCCGCAGGCACCGTGGTGTGGATCAAGATGTCAGCGTCGGGCTCTCTGAGGTCTGCTCAGCGCCATCGTCGCCATATCGATAGCCTGGTTTCCCTGAGTTCCTTGATAGCCATGAACATCACCTTTTCCACACCTCTCAGAGGTGCCTCCAGTTTCAATAAATTAACAGATGACTTTCGCAAGAGAACAGATTGAAGAAAGAAAGGGTCACGAGTTGAATGGAATTTACCTCTCTACTCTCCGCTTTGCTTTCTTCAAAGATGTACAAATCGCATCCATGCCATAGTCTTTTCTATGCCCATATCGCTATATCAAAAATGCTTTGTATCCACAGTGTTCTTCAAGGATTTCTCCGTTCAGCTCCCCCCCCCTGGTTGGGAGAATGTCATATATGCAGTCAGCTCCGAAACCGATGTAGCTTCCTGAGTTGATTCAGTCGGAGGTATAAATATGATACATGAGCATGGCATGACATGACGCTGGACTCTTCACAGTCATTATTCCACCTACATCCGCACTTGGTCAATCCGAGATTCACAATAACCGAGGACATCAATATCAAGGGCGCTGACAAAGTCAAACCCGGAACCCGAAGCCTGCTGTCAAGATTAACACTTGGCGGATGGACAAGATTCATCACTTCTTAGAGCTCTTGCCTTGTTACCCAGGAAGGCCCGCGTCCCCACCGGAGACATCGATGGAGTCAGAGCCAGCGGACGAGTCTCCAACCGGCTGCGGTGAGCAGTCCACCCAGTGCGGTATCGCAGGTTGCAAGGCCCTTTCTCCTGAATCTGACCACCACAAAAGGGTGGACGCATTGGCAGCTGAGGTTGCAAAGATCAATCTTGGCTCCAGCCTTAGCGGAGAGGCAGAATCGCGCCGTTCCAGTCACCACGAAAGGATGGATGCTCTGGCAGCGGAAGTCAGAAAGACCAACGTTGACTCCAGCCCTAGCGGGGATGCAGGATCCCGCCATCCCGGGGACAGTAAGAGCGGGCAGGGTAGCGAGGTGTGGGACACAATTTCACTCTCCGGGGACTCTGAGAAGCAGGAGGATAAGTCTGCAGAGCAGGAAGATAAGTCTGCAAAACAGAAGGATAAGTCTCCAAAGCAGGAAGCTAAGTCTGCAAAGCAGGCTGATGAACCAAAGCAGGAGAATGGGTTTACAAAGGAGGAAAATGACGAATGGATCTGGGTGACTCGTCACCTTCGGACTTTCGATACTCTAGACCCTGCTACCCATCGGAAGAAAAATAGTATTTGAAAGACTTCATATCACTCTTTTAAAAAGTGCTAAGAAATTGTTCCTGGTGCCATAATAACGTTAGTCATCTATCAGGGCGAGGGAAGATGATCACTACAAACTCGTAAACGGCCAACATCATCCTCGGCTTTGTATGTCAGCCAGACCCCCTGTTTTGTCCCTCGTTCTTTCGGTAAATTGACCAATTACTCTCTATTCATAATGAACTCATCTGGGATGTTGTGCTCGTTTCGATATAACTACTTTCTTTCACTCAAAAACATCCATTCCACAATGCTGGTAGCACCGCTAGCATGGTGCGGTACTGTAGGAAGTAGAGGCAATGCCTCAATACGAGCCGCGCTTGGTAATGGCTCAAATATCAGAGAGCGAGAAAAGTGTTCCGATCCTAGAGAGCTCAATTAAACTTCTCTTAACCGACTAACGCAGCTGAAGGTAACTGGTAACAGTGTGAGTGCTTTCCCGGAGCAGAATCTGGCCCTAAACACTGCACCTGGCATCTAGTGGTATATGGGAATGAATAAGCACCGGACACTTCAGGGAGTTGTGTCGGTCATCCGTTTTCCCAACTTCACATAGGATCTCCGTCAAATGTAATTTTCTTTGTTCTGGTTTTTGCAACTACATCGGACCTCAGCGCTGTGCGATGGGTGCATTGCTTTCAATGTTGCTCGTTGCCGGTAACTCTGTAAATCTCAGCGGGCTTAAGTCGGCGATTACCTTTTACAGAGCCCTGCTCGACACTAGAAGTAGAATGCGGCAGCTTGTCTGTGGGATGCCTATAAAGATACCGTACGTGCTCGCTTCTTAGACCAGAAGCATGACCACACATCGCCTCCTCCAACCCAGCGTGGAGAAAAGGCCAAGCAAGCCGGTCACCCTGACCTTGCCCGAACACTGCACTTGCATACAGGGCTATAGCTGACCAGCTGATATTACACAATGTCTCATGAGGTGGCCGAGGGGCCGGCTAAATGGACGCAGGTCGATATTTGCGACTTGAGTAAGGCCGTTGTCCTGACTCACTTTCGGGAAATTACGAAAACGCCCATCCTACAGCCCAACTTCTCCAACGAGGCGAACTCTCCCTTGCGCCAACGGGCCAAATGCATACAAAACTGCTCCCCTGTGGGTTTGACACTGTGGATCAAGACGAACGAGCCGCCGTCTGAGCTTGTGCGACAGCAGGCTGACAGCCCAGATGAAAGCATCAAGATGGTTCTTCGCACACACGCCCAGTGCCCACACATTGACCCTCCAGCAGCAGCAGCAGCAGCTTCTTCTTCTTCTGCGCAGGAAGACGGTTGCCCGCCGCTGCGGGAGCTTGCGCATATTGACATCTCTCGTAAACGGCGACCTAGCAAGGCAGAGGCGATACAGTTCGACACCACCACTGTGAACAAGGTCGTTTTACTGAAATTCCTTTGGGAAGGTTCGAAACAAATCGAAGCACCGGACGAGGTGTTCGACGTGGGCCAGGCCATCGACGCGGTGCGAGCTCCAATCCACTCTTTCTGTGGACGAGGCATCCACTGCGATATCTCGTGGAACAGAGCATCTGGCACATACTACGATGAGCATGTCGCAAGGGAGCCCGCCCGGTCGACTTTCCTAGGCGCGCTGTATCTCGCACATTCGGTCTCGCGGCTTGCCCGCTGGCGCGCGACCCATCCCCGCCCTACAAAGGTCAATATTGAGGGCGTGGATAAGGCCTACCTGCTTCTGGTTTTGGTTGCGCTCCAAACGCCGGTGACGGACTGGAGGCTGCTCGATGAAGCCGAAGCGGCAAAGGTAGTCGACGGGTATATCGAGTCCTTCTGTGGGGAGACCATCAAGTGCGATATCTCCGGTGACGAGGCAGACCCCCGTGCTTATGATCAACATATTAACAAGGATGGCGCCTTTAATCAGGCGGTGGGCCTGGCTGAACGCGTATATTTCGATCCCCTGACAGTGTCCTCTCGAGAATTTTCCATCAATCGTGTTGACACTGCTGCGAGCTTAGTGGAGGAGGTCGAGCTTGAGGTTTCCAGACGCATGGACAGTAGACAAGAGCAAGACGGCGAGGTGTCGGAGTCTATGGCCTCTCTAGCAATCCGCCTGCGTTCTCCCTCGCAGGAAGATGAAGGTTGAGTGATTGTTGATTTCTCGTCAGACCCCGTCCTCATTCGGTAGATATCTGCCCCTGAGGATCATTCTCAAATGTGAACGCTTTATCTCTATCTACATTTCCAAAGTACATGTTTTCTATAGTTATCGTAGTAGGATAATATCACGGACCACAGGGCATGCAAACGCCAGCTTTGTTCACCCGTTGACTCCCTTTTTTTGACCTGTACATTATAAACAGGGAACGGATTTGGAGTCAGCCCTCATCCTTTCCTCCCACCCCTGTAGAAAACCCTCACCGACTTTAAATGCATGGGAAGGGTACAGTTGTCGTGTGCCCATTCCTATAGCAGGAACGGCCCGCGGTGGGGGCTCCAATAAGCAAGGGGGGATTTTCCCCACCCCTTACATTATTGGCTGTGAGGTCCATCCTTGTGATCTTGATCATCCGACGTCCAACCAAGTTTCGGGGAGATCTTTTCAAGAAAACATCATCCTGGACGGGAGGAAGCCGGCGCATGCTCGTGAATTGCTTGCGTGCGCCTCTGGTGTCTCCACCTCTTACCCTTCCATTAGTAGGTACTTCCGCCTGCCGCTTTTAGAAATTCTGCCGCTCTGCGCACGGACTTCCGCACACAGTCAAAAAAAAAAACAAAAAATCTCAGAGGGAGCGAAGGGGAGCTATTAGATAGCTAGTTATCGTAGACACTTCTTGATGCATGCAGCTTAGAACCTTCCTTGCATAGCTTTCAATATTGGTCATAAGGAGTCATAGGAATGGATTCCTTACTTGGGTGCTTTGCCAGATGCAGTCGTGGTCAACTCACTGGCTTTTTCTGTTTTCCCCGCGCTACACCGCCTTCTCCATATGCCATGAACCGTTGCTTCAATGTTTATAGTTACGTCACCGAGCTCGTCGACTTGAAGATGAAGCTAATGTCATATGCTCTAAGTGTGTCTATTCAAGGTTTGTGGGTATTGTGCAATATAGCAGCCAAATGATGGAGAAGCAGATCATTTCCAGCTAAAGAAACGACCGAACCAGTAACACGGCGAGCAATTAAACAGACCGTACACTTTCACAAAAAAAAATACGAAATCATGGCATTGACGGCCCCGGAATTATGCTTTAGCGTTGACACGATACCGGAGCAGCCGAAGGCTCGCTCTCGCCATAGGCCACCGACGGCTCATCGCACGGAGCGCCATGTGGAGGTCGATGAACGCCTCGGTGCCTGCGCCCGCGGGCAAAAGCTCCAGCAGAGTCCGTAGCGCGAGCATGATATAATGGATGTACGTCACCGGGAGGGAGTCGATTGGCCAGCGCGAATGGTAGTTATTGACGAGCGAACGGATCTCTTGCGCCGAGGATATACAGAGGTCTCTACCAGGACCGGCTGGCGGGACGATGGCGTCTTTCTTCTCTTGGTACGGTTGTGTGCATCGGAGCACGGAGATAATCGCGGCATGGTATCGTATACTATGATGGCGGTGGTGTTAGTACCCTTGTCTGAAGATTCTGAAGGGAGCTTGCTTGCTGGTTGGTTGGCTTACTGGAGATCAATCACGCCTGGGGTCGGGATGGGACCGACCCGGATGCACTCAGGGAGCTGTTGCGCCCATTTATTCAGACGATGGTAGAAGCTATCGACTGTCTTGTCCGTCGGGGGCGGCGATGGCATCCCGTTTTGGGCCGAGTGCGCGGTCGAAAAGTCCCACTCGATCGATTGGATGTCGAGCATCGCGTTAATGAGGCAGTTGGTATGGGCAAACACCGGTTCGGCCCTGAAGGGATAGGGCCACCACGTGTCGCTGACACCATGATTTGGAGGAAACCGGGAGGCGGGGGGTTTCGGCATCATAGCCTGTCCAGGAGACACAGTATAACTGACGCTTGTAGAGGTGAGAATAGCTCGGAGAACAGGGTGTCTGGACAGTCACTTACGGTGTAAGACTGAACAGTCCATATAGAGCTCTGTCAATTGCTCGGACCGTTTCCTGCGCCTCGTTCCCAGCTCGTGCGGTTATGGCTTCCCGTTGGGCGATGAGTTCCCGGGCACAGTCCATGAGCTCGGTCAATATCTGCCAACCAAGCATCCCTTTACCCAGACCATACGTACTGTGACCATGTTAGACGCCATTTTCAGATGTTTGGAAACACGCTAGCCGCACCAAAGGTATAATGCAATCCGCGCCTGAACGCTGGTAAGCTTCAATTCATCGGTCTCCTGCTCCAAGATATCCTTTGCCTCATGGTATAATTGTAACATTTGCATTGTAGGTGATGTCGACACGGTATCAGCTTTGCATGGATTGGCATAGAACTGCCCCGTTCCGAATGATCAGCAGAGCATAGAAGATCTTTGTCTGTGGGCTGAACTCACGCAGGCAAGAGCAAGGAGGGCGTTGACAAGGGCGGGTGAACAAAACGCTGAGTCCGGCCGGCCAGACTGCATGTCCCGAGTGAAGATATCGCGATCGATCCAAATTGAAGTGGCGGGAAACCAGGTGAAGAAGAGTGATATTAGGTGAGACACGTAGTCCGCATCATCGGTGACCCGGGTCCAGGGCTGGGCTGGAACACGATAGAGAGTCCACCCTGTTCGTAGACTGAGATCCGTGGTGGCCGCCGACACCGATTGTGCCAGTTCACGGCAGGCCGACGAAGACGAGGGTGTTGGAGATGAACTCAGAAATCGTCGTACCTCATCCAGTGGGGCACCCCCCCGGAGACAAGTGAGAAGTCTATCGAGCCTCTTCCGATCTGGATGGCGGATATTCTCCACTAGCTCATGGAGGAGGACGCTGTCTTGTTCGAGGTCTTGCAGCTTGCGCCGGAGCAAGCCCTTACGGCGCCCATCCTTCTCCTCGTCGATGGAACAAGCTCTATTGTTGCGGCGACAAAGGTCACACGGTACACCACCCACACACTAGATAAATAGTCAATATTGCGACATGCCATGTAAAAAGAGCTGGGGTTTGTGCTTTTGATTTACGCTTGCGACATTCCAAGCAAGCTACCGTCACTCTCCTCGAGGGTGTCTTTCTGACGCCATCGCCAATATTGACAGGAGGAAGATCTGCGGGAGAAGAGGCCGGGAGAAGCCGCCTTAGGGTTGAGGGCGGAGGCATGTATGTAGTTGTGAGTTTGGTTGGGATGTGAAGATGGTGGGGAAAGCTGAATAGAACGACATGGAGGTACCTGCCAGACTACAGATACGGTTGGAAGGTTCAAGCTTATTATCAAACTCCTCCTCGGGTTCACCGCAGTGCGGATCAGCTTCCGACCAAGCAAGGACTGCGCACTGACTACCACACACAACAACGTATGAGCTCCATGACACTGCAACTGCCTGGCTGAGGTAGCTGTCACGGAGATATAGTCCAGTCGTACAGTCGTACACATTGTCTGAGACTAAAGATGCTGACATAATCCCTCTTTTTCTCTCCTCAAGGGCTGCAGGGTGGTTATAGAATATTAAGGCCTGAGGCATCCTATATTGTCTCGAGATTTTTTCTGGAGTTATTTTCCAGGCATTGTCATTGGCGCAGCTTACCTGACCCAGCACCTGACATCTTTACATGATGCTTTATTGGCGGGGTGAAACAAATCCCTTGCTAGGGCTTGCGTCTCAGCACCCCCCTTCCTACTCGTAGGTTAGTGTATGATAGATATTCTCTTGTGCCTGAGGATAGATCGATCTGAACGGCAGCTCATCCCGCAAATGAAGGTCTGTTCCACTTGTTTACGCCTTCCTAATATCCACGGCAGTCCCAACTCCCGCTTTCAACACACACACACACACACACCATCGATCCACTCTCCACACCCTCCATGTCCTTGCCTTCACGAGCTGTTCCACGTCGGAGATATGTTACCACAGCCTGTTTTACCTGCCGGTCTCGAAAAGTAAAGGTATCCTCGTCGAGCCTTCCGTATTCCTTTCGCATTTTCTCGAACTGGATGGGTGACTCAGATGATGTGACGTGTCTTTAGTGTAGCGGGGAGCAACCCTGCAGCCACTGTGTCGCGAATAACCTCGAATGCAAACTCGACAGCACCGTGGATCAACGCCGCACCACCGATCTGAAGCGGAAGTTGGACAGTCTCGGAGAGGACCACGATCTCCTCCTGCGGCTGGTTAGGACCCTGCGTCACAACAATGCCTACATCGACGAGCTGGTGGACTATATCCGCAATCGCAATCCATCCTTGAGCCAGATCAAGGCATTCATGGACGGAAGCGCAGGACGGGATGAGATGGAAAAGACTCCAGAGTTACTCGGGGTCTATCAAGAGATTGACCAATTGCACCGAGTGCCGGCCAGAGACACGACTTGGGCGTCGGACATGGACCGGCTCTGTGGTTTGCCACTCTTTTCCGTGCCTGCCAAGCCCTGGACCGAGATCACCGACGATGACGAGTTCGTCTCACATCTAGTTTCCCTGTGGTTCACCTGGCACCACTCTTCCTTCAACTGCATCGATAAGGACCTGTTTCTCCGGGACATGAAGTCCGGAGTGGTGGATTCGCCCTTCTGTTCTCCGTTTCTCGTGAATGCGATCCTTGCCGAGGCCTGTGTGAGTGGAACTCCCCTGTGCCTCCTTGATTGCTCACGCCAAAGACGCTAACGATCGGATTCTCTAGTTCTATCCAGCTTACCCGGAGACCGATGCGGTTCGAGGCGACTTATCGACGAAGGGCGAGGGATTTTACAATGAAGCAAAGCGGCTTCTCGATGTCGAAGAGAGCCGAATCAGCATCACCGCCGTTCAAGGCATGGGAGTAATGTACTCATGGTAAGAAAGCTCCATGAGCTCTTTCTCTCGAGTGCTGAGGTTGATTTTGCAGCTTTTGTTAATACAAGAATTCCAGCACCTCGACGATGGGCAAGGATAGACAGGGGTGGGTGTATCTGGTTCGCGTTTCCAACGCCGTGCGCATGCTGCGCTCCAGTCAGGCGCAGCTACTCCCTGCGATCAATCTTCCGGGAGCGACCTGGACTCGAATACTAGATAATCTGGAGAGGGGACTGTTTAGTACCACCACGTTAGTATCCTTCCCCGTTCATATTGTTGGGTTCCCGATATTGACCCATCTTTGCAGGATGAGCTGCCTTGCTCTTCAGAAGCCGCCTCAGATGAACAAGCCCACTAGCATCCGGCTGCCCGTTCACCAAGACAAGAACGATTTGTGGATGCCATATCCCCTCCAGGACCGACCGTGTCCGGCTCATACAAACTGTGTATCAAATGAGAGGACAAACTTGGGAGGAATCGCATGGGAGGTAGCCCACTACTGCTTCGCGAGTAGCGATAAACCGCCCCGGGCGGATATTGAGGCTGCAGTCAAGCGTTGGCATGAGCAACTTCTGGATTGGGCCACAAATCTTCCAGAATGCCTGGCGTACACTGACCAAGCCATGCCGTGGGTTCTAAGTCTGCAGTAAGCTGATCATGTCCCCTTTACACTTGATTTCTGCTTCAAAATAACCATACATCTATCCTGACAGCATGTATCATCATACTCTGATCATGACGATCTATGCCTTCCTCAAGACCCCGCCTCCGGACGCCGATGAAGCAACGCTCGAGTCGGCGTCCTCCGCGCGACAACAATGTATGACATCGGCGCGGACTGTCAGCGGCCTCGTAGGTGTCTATTGGGCTCGATGGGGGATGACACGAATGACCTGCAGCGACATGCAGTGCATCACGATGTCACTATACACCCTAAAAGATGACCTCGACGACGAAAAGAGCCACCAAGCCTTTCGGGCCCTCCGTAAGACCGCCATGCCGTTCTGTGAGCGATGGCTGATATTGAAGGGGATTTTCCTGGTACAGATTTCGACAATGCAGACGAAGGAAAACTTGCCCAAGGACTGTCTTGAGATCTCCCGCGACTTTGGGGAACGACCGAGGATACCCGAGACCCGGGAAAGCGACAACGATCTGTATTCTGATCTTGCGATCGCGTTCAAACAACAAATCGATTACAGTCTGGCGATGAGCGGGAACTGGATCGTGCGTGGGAAGCGTGGAGCTACCTTAAGTGTCTCAGAGGAGGCCAAGGAGTAAGCCGGCTACAAGGGAAGAGGTTGAGATCGATTGTGCTTTAGCAAGTTGCCTGCCCTTCCTCTTGTTTCGAAGCCATTGCAAGTGGCTTTTGGATACAGGCATATGTATCATCCCGCGCCGAAATGATCAATGTGTTATCATGTTGGATAAATTGCGGGTGTAGCTGCCAGGGCTGTCTGGCAATCAAAAGTAAGTCCATACCTTCAACTAACATTAGCAGACGGCTACTGGTCGTCATGTATCTGTAGTATCGACGACGCGCAATTAGTCCTTGCTATCTCGTTTCAGGGACCATGAAAGACATACAGAATAGAGCATATAGACAGGACGAGATTGGTGAGTATTACGGCTCTATTGAACTGGACATGCGCGCAAGTCAACCTTCTGCATTCACGTAGAATCACACGATTCTTTTGGTAACGTACCATAACTTAAAGAGACCATTGCATCTGTTGTTGCAGGTCATCTTATTTTATGCATCCCTTAACCCGGTTCTGATTGGTTAAAACCACCCCCCCAATGGATGCGGTGAACAGGAGCCTCAGGCTGTAGTTGATGCCTGAGGCAAAAGCTCTGATTGGGAGCCCATTACAGCACTAAACCTAAAGCAGGTGGAGCGATCTTAGCCGAGGCTATAACCGAGGATTTCGAATCATCCTACCTCCGTTCTACGTTCATACTATTAAAGGCTAAAGGCTGGTGGAACGAGGCACTCTGCTTTTTAACTGGGCTAGGGAGGTAATGGACGACCGACCATGCCTCAATCTCAGACCCGCATGGGCACGCGTCGACGCCGTCTGCGGAATCTCCTAAGCTGTGAGAATTGACGATTCTCCAAATTGCGCTGTGACCGCCAACACCCCTGCGGCACCTGCCAGCGACGGAGCTTGACCGCGACTTGTGCCTACAAGGATCGCGGGCGAAATGAAGACGTCGGTCTTCGGAATAGCTTCCTTGTTCCAGGCCGAGGGGTCCGTTCTGGAGGCATAGGCCGGTGAAGTTCAACCGCTCGATCGGGGCGATGTTGCCGACATAGGGACCCTCCATACCTGAGACGATGCCCACTTCTTCTTCGAGGGTAAGCTGGGAGACGAAGTCTTCCGCGAGGGCAAATGCGTCTTCCCGGCCACGGCCATCGGCGTCGGCTGGACCGATTGGTGTGGGATAGGTGAATATCGTACGTCTTGGGTGCGCCCACAAGTCTGACGCTCTGGGCCGGTTACGTCTGGTCCTGATCGGAGTTAAAATCAGTGATGTTTTGTGCGGGACATCTCACGGTTTGCCGTGTAATTGGCACCTATCGGAGATATCTTCCAGCAATCTTCACAAAACAGTTCAGTATGGGTTCAGGATTGATAGTATTATGAGATAGAGGTGGCTCTCCGGACACTAGGAACTTTAATTACCTCAAGATGTATAACACCCTAGTGGGGAATATATTCTATGAAGCCGGAACATATCCTAGTACTATACACCACGAGAACCATTAATCAACCCAGCAATATAGCAAGAACCCAGCACTCAAAGCTTCCTAGTGATCATGACGGCATCCTAAATCAAAGTCAGCCTAACCCTCACCAACCTCCACCAAAAGGTTCGAAATCAACTCACCTGCTGCCCATTCGACAAAACATAAGGCAACGTCCTGGTCTCATACCTCAGCACCCTCCCATCAACCACCTGCTCACTCTGCCCCATAAACTCCGCATACGGCTCCGCACCAGGCAACCAAACATTATCAGCGACAACATGCGCGCCCCGAACCAGCAAACCCAGCCTCTCCACCGTGAGAAGATCCTGCAAATACAACCTTCCCGAATGATCCAAGAACAACAAATCCAACGTAGCCTTCCCCGCCAACTGCGCCAAGGAATCCCTTGCGTCGCCCACCAAGATAGTGACGAAATCCCCCAATCCGGCGAACTCGACGAGCGAGCGCGCGATAGCCGCATACTCGGGGTTATACTCGAGACTGCAGTAGCGGGTGCCACCGGCGCGCCGCACCTCTTCCCCGAACTTGATGGCCGAGTAGCCGATGTAGCCGCCCAGCTCAGTCATAGTCTGGGGCTTGGTCGTGCGAATGAGATCAACGATGGGCGCGCTCCGCTCAGGCCCGATCGTCATCATGCATCGGTTGTTGTCGGCGGCCCATTGGTCGATTTCGGCGAGGATGGACGCCGGTTGGTTTTGGAGGGAGGATGCGTTGGGGTGCTGCAGAATGTGGGTTTGGAGGGCTTGTTCGCGGCCGTCCTTGTAGAGGAGAAGGGGGCGTGGGTTAGTTTGGGGATGAGTGTTAGAGGGGAATATCGGGACTCACCCCGTGCCAGATGGTTGCTGGAGTCGGTGCGCTCATTTTATCTTGGTAATGCAGATGGAAGCAGATAATCAGATAACGGCGAGCGGTTGTCTGGGTTTGTTGAAGGGGGTTTATGTATACTGGTTTTTATACTAGGTAGGCTCGGTGCTAATATCAATCTTATCCGATGGGGAACCCTTATCCCCGAGCTCGGGACCGAGCTCGCGCTTGAGAGCCATAGAACGCGGTGCTCCGAGCCAGTATCATGATCTAGGTACCCGGAACCTACTCCAATCCGTGTTCAAGTAGTAGTAAAGCCGAAGATACCCCCGAGCTGGTTTTAAAAGCATGAAGAATCGTCACGCCAGCTTCAGGGAGTCGGGCCGATGGTTACAAACCACGCCATGGGGTGCTGCAACATCTCCATGTCATAGCAATAAAATTACAATGAGATCGAAGACAGCATGATGGAAAAAGGTTTGTCTTACTGTTATTGCAGGACAACGGAGTTCAAGCCTCAGACTGCCGATTGCGGACTTGCATTTCCAAAAGTGCTGCCTTACAGCACTGAGGTTTACCTCTGACTCACCACTTGCCGTACGAATATCAAGCATCTCCATTTCACGAATAAATGACTGAAACCACCTAGACTAATGGTTTATTCCCTACTACCAGAAAGCAAAGAAATATTCAAGCACACAACGGGAGAATGTCGCCGAGAGCAATGCGATAAACAAAGAACCCTCCCCGAGGCACTGAAGAAGAAGCGTTCTTGGGGAAATGTTCCCTGGTAAATGCCATAACGTCAATAAAGTCGCTGAGGTATATAAGGTGTTTGAGTGACCGAAGTAACTTGAGTCATGCCCGCACATGCCACACACCCTATCACCCAACTGCAGTGACTCAACTTATCTTGGTCCAAGGCTGTAGCAGGAAGATGGTTCGAAGATTGAGTGAGGCCACACGGCTGGCGCAAGGGCTATCCCAGCGGTACATTGATTTCCAAGATCGATATAATGATATACTGGACGCACTCGTGCGGGCCGACAAGCCCTTGAACCCGGAACAGGCAGCTATACAGATGGATTACTTGTTCCGTGCCGAGAATTTCGGGCATGCCGATGACAAAGCTCATTGCCTCGAAACCCATATCTCTGGGATGTACGCGTCACTACTAGAGGTGCCCGCCGATGCCAATCCTCGGGGTGATAGGAAGAAAGTCATCACATCTCTGGTCGACTTCCTAGAGGCGTTGACCAAGTTGTCGCGCAGGGCGGAGGGCACAGATTCGTGTACCGGGCCGATCATCCTCTGGCATACCACCCGGCATTTTGATGCTATCATGTCCGGCAGCTTCGATACGGTCCTGAACAAGCTGGTCGTTGCCGTAGAGCCGGACCGCGCTCGACATGTACTCGACATCTTGGTCTTCGCTGCCGAATTAGCTGCCCGAGAGGTGTGGGAGGACCCTCAGCGCCCGCTCAACATGCTTAAGATGGCATTGGAAACGCCCGCGGACCAGCTCCTGCTCAAATCAGACATGCGCATTGTGATTGCGGTCTCGCTGCTCGGCCATGAGGCGGCCACAATATACGGCTATTCCTCTATCCAGAAGAGCTACTTGTCGCGCATGGGCGAGAAGGGCAGAGCAGAGTTCGAAGCCGAGCACCCCCCCCGGCACACTGTTCCGGGAGAAGGGAGGCAAGGCAGGCTACACCATGGAGCGTTGGCAATTCTGGAAACAGGGTATCACCGAGCTGGTTCCACTGGCATCCGGAGGCTCCCAAATCCTCGGCGAATGGGTAGTGGCAGTGATGAACGGGATCGAGGCCAAGTATCCCTCCGGTGAAGTTCCTCGTCTCAACTCCCGCGTGCCCAAATTCGATGAGCTGTTCAAACCTTACATGATGCTTGACAATCCTCCTCAGAATGACCGCTCGCGGATTCGTCTTAGTGTTTAACCGCAGAAAAGAAATCTGAATTTCCTTACAACTATCATACTGTTTTATTGTTCGCTCGTAGTTCCATCAATATAGATGAAATCGTGGATCCATTCCAGGCCAGAGACAACAAAGAACGAGACTAACATAGTTCATAATTCACTACTAGAACTCTTTGAGCACAAACTGGGGTCTAGCGGGCTGATGCTTATTCTACTCATATCCCAACTTTTATGTATACCATCTCTCCTCCTTCGAGTAATAGGAGTTTCGGAGGGAGAAACCCGGATAACGGCACAGGCGACTCTGATATATTTACAAGTCTATGCTTACTAGTCACCACAAGGCCAATTGAGAAATGACCTCTTGTTGAATGACAACCAGAGTTTACAGAAAAAGAAATAAAGTCCAGTACAATAAGTACAAAGTTTCTCCCCACAAGGCTACAAAGAAGCCATCATAACAATATACTCAAGAAAGGCATGGGCCTCCACCACAGAGCAGAGAGTACGTCGCCTGCATCAACCAGCTAACTCAGGCCGAGAGAAGCAAAAACTCGCGAATATCCTGCAGGCCCTGCAGATCATGCGCGATATTATACTTGGTCTTAGATTTAGATACCTTCACCAAGGGGGTGGAAACCCCGTCAAAATCAACGAGCCAAGCATCGCGATGCTCATGGTCGATAACAACGTTCTCCGGCTTCGCGTCTCCCCAGAATTGTCTCTTCAGATGCATCGTAAGCACCATATCCGAGATCTGGTCGTACCACTTCCGGCGCTCGGCGATGTCCACTGCGTCGATATTCGGGATACTACTTAGATCCACCGAGGGGATGTACGTGTACAGCAGGCCAGCGGCCGTGGTCCGCGGGCTCATGAGTCCTTCCACCCTGGGGATACGGAGCGATAACGGCGCCAGGGCAAAGAGCTTTTCCACCGCGCGGCATGGATCAGACGAGTCATCATCATCATCGCTAGGTGCGCGCTTGTAGAGGTAGTCCTTCCCGTTGATGGTGACGCGATACACGGAGCCACCCTTGATCTCGAGGAAGGAGTCCACATCCGACAGCTCGAAGACAGGGAGCGCCGCGAGATCGTCCATGGGGATCGTCACGCCATCGGCCAGACGATCCAGCAAGCTGTCACCTACAGGATCCCCCTCCTTCGTTTCCTCAGCCGGGAGAGAGGGAGGCAAGCGAGTGACGATCTGCGTCTCCTTGTCATCGGTCTCGAATTGGAGGTTGACAGGCGGGTGCAGCATGTGCGCCTCGAAGCTGTTCCGGACGCGCATCGGCGCACTCGTGAAGAGCGGCTTACACGCGGTCAACCACTCCTTGATCAGGGGCCGCAGTTTGTCCTTGTTCGTCTTCATAGTGTGCTGAAATCCTCGATCTCCTGGGCCGAGGTACGCCGCCGACGGAGCCCGTACTTGTGCTTTTTGGTCACGCGCGATGCGAATGGGAGGCTGTTTGAGTGCAGGTTGAAGTTTGTGTCTTTGTATCGGAAGCTGAATCGCACTAGAGGGACCAGGCTGTCGTAGTCGGTGTTCTCGAGCCGAGCTTCGAAATGGCCCATTGCGCGGTGTGCGCGAGGGGACTTGGCTGGCTCGGGCTTCGCATCCCCTTCATTGTTGCTGGAGTCGGCGGGGGCGTTGTCGTTGTTTCGCTCTGCGTCGATCGCGAATCATTGGCTGGTGGGTGAGAAGACTCAGTCTCTTGCTTGTGGTTGGGGACAGGCAGGGCAAACTCACGCTGAGGATCTTCTTCTGGCTGTGTATTTTCAATTGATTTGGACGAGCCGGCACTCGATCGAGATCGTCGCGGCATTCTGTCACAGTACAGTCCGAGGCAGGTGATCATTAGTTTCGAAGCAGGGGGAGAGATTCCAAATATTAGTTAAGCGGTGGGACCACTAGAAATTAAATTTATGCATTGCAGAGAAGACGAGCAGGAGAGTACAAATATAAGACGTTGGGGAAGCAGCATCTGGAGTGTAGAGGGCTGGACAAAGAGCTCGTATCTGTCTTTGTTCGAATCTCGCACAGACACTTCAGAGCTTTGCGGATAATAATGGTCACAGAGGAACAAAGGCCTCGTTGGAGAACGAAGGCAAGAAGGATCAGAATAGAAGCCAAAAACAATTTGAAATAGACCCCTAGTGTACTCGCTACCACTTGAACATTTCGTAAGCCACCGAGATATTGAAAGTTTAATCGATATTATGTATGTGATAGAATGTAACAGCAGACTAAGTTAAGTGCCCAAATCATAATTTAGAAACAAATAACAAGCAAAGACCTAATGGGCAAATCCCTTGGTTTTCAACCAAAAGCAGGATTTCATATGAAACTAGAAAGAATACTTTTGTCGGGGGAAGGTCAGCAGATCTGGAGCACTATTCGTGAAAGTGCATCATAATCAACAAGGAGGAGGCCCAGTCTCCGCGAAACGTCAGGACATTGGAAGCGAAAATTGCTGTAAAATTCTAAACAAAAGGTCCATTCCACGTGTATGGAGTTTGTAGATGTAGATGCGCGAAATATGTCTTTAGCAGCCAAGACCCTAGTCCGTCGGCAAAGAATTGTTGAACATCCCGAGCTCATGAGACTCAGAACCCTTCTTCTCATTCTCCATCTCTATCAATCCCAATCCCAGATCCTCCCATACTCATGACCCAATCATCGGACTGAGATAGCATGAGACAGGCCCGGGCCGGGACCTGCCCCAGTGGGAGAATCTCGGCGAAACATTTGTACGCTTTCAGAGGCGCCCGAAGATACAGAAGCTCCACAGCCAGCCAGAACTTTCACGGCTTGTTTCAGAAGATCGTCTGAGACGTCCAGATCAATGGTCGGATCCATGTATAGTTGGTCTTCTTCTTCCCTCGCCCTGAACAGACATCGGTTCATCAGGCCAACTGGAATCCCGTTCGCCTCGAGATGGTTGGCCACCTGAAAGACCCAGGCGATGTTGATTTGCTGATCCGCGGAGTACTCAAATGAAGACATGATTGAGATGGGTAATTCGCGGTGGAACTGTTTCTGTCTGGCACGAGCGGGCAATGTTTGTCGAGACATAATGGTAGCTGCTCTTTCTCTGATGATGTGGTAAGCCAAAGGACGAGCCTGACATCTCCCACTCACGCCGGCTGGAACCACGTGGGCCTCTCCTGTCTGCCTCTATTGCGACAGAATTCCTCGTGACGGCATTGGAAAGCCCCGCTTCAATGGGCGGGCATGTGCATAACTCTAACGAATCGGTCGTGGCTCTGGACTACGCTCGGTTTATGGTCGTGTGGATAGTTGTGGTCCTCGCGGCCTGTGTTCTGTTCGTATATCTTCCCGCGTAGTGTAATGGTATAGTAGACTGCAGACATTACCCCTTTCGGCCGTGAACGGCTTATGAGGGGCTCATCATACAGTGTACGATGGTTGGCAGGTGAATGGATTAGGTGTTTTTCACATGCGGAGACGAAGTCCGGCTGACGCTTAACCTCGTGTAGCTCCGGGATCTGCCTGGGTAGAGTCACGTATTCTTTCCGTTGGCCTTTCCCTGTCTTGTATGGTCCACATGTATCATCACCGATGCGGACCTTTCCCGCCTCTTGAACCAGCCCCGACTGGATCCCTGAATCTTGATCGCTGGGGTTTGCAGTCAGTGGGACCTCTTTCTCGGTGTAGCTGGGCAAGTAGTGGTGGCGGATGCGCAGGGATTGTAGAGATTTGATCTTCTTCGATGGTTTGAAAAGAACCCCCTCACCCGCCTTGCAGCGTTCCGAATATGTTGCTTCCGATATTGGTCCTTCCAATATGTTAGTCTAGACTTATGTATATAATTTGTATTGAGCTCATATTAATTTGGGAGGTCGGAACCCGAGCTATGATTAATCAGGGATACCATCTGTAAGGATTGAGGCTTTTCTTGAACACGGTAAGTTGAAGCACCGTCAATTTATCCAATTACCCTCCTATCTCGGGGTGTCTCTCATCGAGTAGAGAGTGCAATGCGATTGCCGCCACCATGTTGTCAAGTGAAGCATAGATCTGCGGCATATGGAGAGCTCCCGAACCGCAATCCATCGGCGGGTGCAGTCTTTTCTCGACAGTGCGTCGAATTGTGCAACCCTTTAGCTCTTCAACTTCATAGGTGACACTGTCCATCAAGACTCCTAGGACTGTAGGGCGGAATTTGGGCCTCGATTTATCCCCTCTCTGATCTGCGCGGCGATCATGTATTTGTGCAGTTGGTCGGTGCCATGACTTGACCGAACAAGTCACCCTAGGGATTTTCCGTGCCCATTGGCCTCATTTAGACAGTTTCCAAGATAATTCCAATCCCGTATTGTCTTCTTAACAGTAGAATGAATCGTCGGTGAAATACCGGTACGAAAATATCTCAGATGCTGTTTGTCCGGTATAATTGATACGGTCCTTGGCCTGTCGCTCTCGAGCGAGAACATTGCAAGATCCCATAAGGGAGAGATGGTATAAGTGAGGTAGTCGGTGTCCTGTTCCCAGACTCTTGACGGAGTCGATCAGGATTCCCGGTGTGTCTATAATTCTAGGCTGTTGACCTGTTTCATATTGCTGAAATATGTCGAGCTTCTGATCGTGCTCTCGGTCTGATCGCCTTGTCGGTGCGATGGCTTTCTCAATATAATAAATCTTTGTAGGGAATATTGCTGTGCGACCTGTAGAAACAGTTAGTACGGTGCAACACTTGGTAAAGTAGTAGCCAGGGGACTTACAAGGGATAGAATAAACATAATCACCGAAAATTCCGATAGCAGCAGTTCTTTCTCTTCCGGATTCAGAGCAAGTAGCTTCTCCTTCAGGTCCTGCATTGATGGTCGACCTTGTCGGTTAGGGATTGCAGGAAAGAATACCTTGAATCCGCAGAAGTCTGCGCAATCGTAGTCAATGCACGCCTCGACCTCACTTTGCAATGCGGAATATTCGGGCCCCTGTCCCGTGCACATAGACTTTTTCTTATTCCCTATTGCCCGATACTGCAGGCCACGACTGGCGCGTGGACTTCCCTGTTCATGGATAATTGGTCGCAGGATTTTTCGGGTGCTAAATACTGCCTGCCGGGTAAAGGTTGCGCCTCGGTCTAGTAGACACTGCACTGTCGAGTGATGCTCGCATGCGACGGCCGCGCGGAGCGGTGTTGAGGTGTTCTGGCGGTCGAGATTAGGATCCAAGAAATTTGAGGTAGCCGCCAGTGATCGCCACCTACCGGAGCTGCTCCTGGGCATTAACCTGTTGTTTTGGGGGCGACTTTTGAGCTATTGATTCAGATGGGAATGGGTCAACCCGTGAAGACGATGATGAGAAGGGGGTGGGTGGTCCATCTTGCTGCCAATCTGCACCATGTAAACGATCTGCTTCTGGGCCGTGCGGCCATTTGTTGGAGGGTCCAGTCAAAAAGCCACGGAAGCTTGGGATCAAGAGTTTCCATGCGCGTGTGGCCGGATTATCCTCAGTGGGAGGCCAGGGCGTTTATTCATCCCGGGGATGTCTCTTCTGTGGGCCGCTCACGTTCCACTGTAGTTTTTAGTCAGTTACAGTAGGTAGGAATATTTCGAGATCATACCTTGAGACACCTCTCGTGTAGAAAACCCCGGGGAAAGAACCCTGCGTAAGACCTCCCCATCCAAGGTACGGCTTCCGATCAAACCGAATTGTCAGGAGTCGAATCTTTACAAGCTGGGCCTCCCACTCATAAGATCTTGTGGGGGTTGATGTCGGATGTGAAAAGACTTGAAAAGTAAGAGGACAGGCGAGACCCTCCGATTTCGCCTCTGGATGTTCATTGTGGAGTATAGCCTGGAGAGTCTTGCCAGACCGCAGGCGTCCCGAAGGAGATTGAGAGTGCTCGGCTGGTGCTTCGCACTCGTTCAGCTTATTTGTCCAGGTCTAACGAAGTTCGACCAGGAGATCCCCTCTCCGGATATGTCCCCGAGTCTGCGCCGTAACCGCATACAGTGATCCCGTCACTTGATTACCAAAACCCCAAGGCAAGAGCTGTCCGCGGGCAACTTAAACGAGAAAGTTTTTCTCCACAAAGTTAAACAAAGCAATACATTCGTGAATCCGTGAGACACTCCGCGAGAGTTATCCAAGCAGGGGCGCAACAGTATATTTGCGTGTGGAGCTTTTTCACAAAAGACTTGCCGATCTTGGTCTTCAGGATCGAATGTCTTCATGCGGTGGTTACCCATGGAATAGGCATGGTGCGTCGATCGGGAGGTTTCAGCCTCCACCGACCTCTTTCTTCAACATAAATGGTGTCACCAGGCACAGTGGAGGGGGATTCAAGCTGCATGCACCGCGTGCGGGAGAGCGAAGGGTGCAGGTCATTGCTTTTATTCCTCGCGATCGTGTACCTCGGGGACTTCCTCTAGAGCTTCACACAACTCAGAGACCTGGTCAGGAGAGCGGAGTGCGAAGCCGTGAATCGCGTTGCGCGAGAATTGCAGTTGCAAGCCAAAGAAAACAGTCGCGCGGCCAGGGGCACCGAGCCTAGAGGAAAGCAAGCAGGACGGCCGGCGGGCATGAGCGAAGAGGGGATGTATGGGATGGAAGACGTCGCAGGTGAATAATTTTTTGTTCTTTTTGTTCTTTCTGTTAGGCTTGCTGGGATGATGCTGTAGACCCTCTGTGGTGGCGGTACAAGTGAGTTCTTCTGGAATTGTCTGAACACTGTCGTGCTCTGTCGAAAGGATGCAGCGGGTGTTCCGTTCCTTGTACGCGGGGCTTCGATGTGGCGATAGCAGCTCTGTGCACCCACATAGCACAGCAGTAATTTCCCGTCTCTGGTTTTGGTTGACCTCAGCCTGTTTCCAAAGGGTCTCCCACTGGATTGCCGGAGAGCTGTTATGGCCCGGCTCAACGAGGATGACATTGGAACAGCAGGGGTGCAGGGTGGCCCCTGTCGACGCACATTGGTACGCCGTGAGGAGCACCTGCACGCTGCTATCAAGGTCGTTATACTCTTCCGCGGCGGCAGTGCGCGCTTCGGCATTCATATGCGAGCTGTTGAAAGCACCCAGCGGGCGATCCTCGTGGGCTGGAAGCGTCGGAAACGCAGCTCAACACTAACCCGACAGAGTCTGCTCTGGCTCAGTTGTCGCCGGGCCGGTAGGACGAACGTGATTTGAAATTGAAGTTAGGTTCAATCCCCAGAAGCAGATTTCATCCTTACTTCTGTCACCATGGATTGGAACTCGGCATGCTCCGCTCGCTCCAAGCACTGTCGTCCAGTACGGTACGTGAAACCCCAGGTGGGTGCGCAGAACCAAAACTTTGGGTGCTTGGCTCATGGAATGTTGCAGCGTATTCGGCCCCATGGCGGCTATTTAGAAAGTCCGGGGCTGCTGAGAACCAGTTTCTTTCCCTATGACCTGGCAGTCAGATACCAGGCTTTCTTGTTCTCGGGAAGCTGCTACAGCGCCAGACATAGCTCGACAATTACGTTTGAGGTAGTCGTCATTTGTGCTGATGAGGGTGCGGACCTCCATCGACTCAGCTCCGCCTACGCCCTGCAACCCCACGCCCTATAGCGAGTATAGGGTGACTAAGTCGTGTGGAGTGTCAAGCAAGAGTCGTGGGCGCGGGAACGGACTCAAAAACGTACTCGAAATGGTCTGCATAGCCAAGGCCTGTGACAAATACCATGTCCGGAGCCGGGGGGTGCGGACATTAAACATGTAGGCCTCGCCAGACTGCTCACAATGTAGGAACCAAATAAAACTACAGAGGTGAGGAGGGAGTGCCGCGCCTGAGGCAGGTACAATTGGCGCATCCCACCTTCGAATATGCATCATAGTCTTCAGAGGCACGGGTCTGTTGCACCATGCGACCGTGAGGGTGGCGGAAGGAATACGGCAGAACCTTCAAGCGCTGGATGTGCCCTCTTTGCGATAAAGGTTGGGCCCCACGAGGCCACTCAGTATAGCACCATAGATGCAGCACGGTGCTGTCACCGGAGGTATGCTGAGACTAGTTGCAAGGTGGATGTTCAGAGCACATTCTCTGCACAGGCTGGGATTATTCCTCTAGCCATAAAAGGCAATCACCATAAAAGCAGTCTGCGCATGAAGGATTTCATTTCGTGGTGGCCGTTGTCAGAAAAAGCACAGATATCCTTGGACGCCAGGAATGTGAAGGGACTCTTGGTCCTTACTGCTCTACGCGAAGGTATGAAGTTACATGTAGAGCATCCGACTGGAGAAAGACCTGGTGACAGAGAGCGCATATCGCTGTAGAGGCTCAGCCTGTTTGCTTGGGGCGATGAAAGAAATGCCTGAAAATGGACCAGGTGCACAGGGCAAGTGTATTCGTGGTGAAAATCCTAGCCCGCTCGGATTGTCCTCCCATCTCGTTAGTGAGCAGTCCGCGGACGCTATGGCTTTGATCCTCACTTTGAAGCAAGACTACCTCACCATCCTCTTTTGCAACTCAGGTGTATCGGCAAGCTCCGTTTCGCTCAACAAGTGAACAAACGATCAAGACATCCCTTGGACCCAATATTGTTCATAATTATCATCACAGATGGGTACTGGGACCCGTACTCAACGGTACAGGATCCCATCTTCAAGACGATACCAGTGATCATTGCCACAGTGCTCTATTGTCTCTACCCATGACCAACACCTGAGGCCGCACCAGGTGCAATCAAAGGCGCGCGACAATAAACGGCATCGCTCGAACCTGGCACCGGCTCGATTATCGAGGAAGATGTGTCTGCATCTATCCTCTGTTCTCTTACGGGGCCGTACGATAGGTAGTCCGACCACGGTGCCCGCGTCACAGTTCATGAATTTCGGGGAAGATCTTGCACCAGCGCTGAAAGACGATATCACAGATTGGGCGGGTGCGCAGCAAATGCGGCGGACTTTACAATGGCCACGGTACTCGGTGACCATGCCGGCCAAGCAGACGCGATTCCCGTCGTCCAGCCTCTGGGGCACCCATTTCGGCCGCTTTGGCACCCGATTGATGCAGAGGGTACAGGTGGCGAAGTCGATGATCAGGGTGCGGGTCAGCTCGGGGCTTCAGGTACATTTGTAGACGCCGGGGCCTTGTACACGACGCCCAGGGCGAGGATCTCATCATCCGGCCTCAGTTGATGGTGGTTTCTCATCGCCGCGTTGACCTGATACCGGCCGATCCCCTCGGCGCCGTAGCCCATCAGAAGCATATTCTGGACCTGGCCGAAGTCGCCCACCGCATACGGCTACTTCGTAGTGGTGCTGGGGCTTCCATGCTAGTCAATTGCTCGCACGTATCTCCCAACGTCATTATGGGTCACGGGAGCTATTTTCGCCACGGTCATCTCAACGACGCCTCGTCATGTGGTCCCAGAAGCGCTGAGGCTCAGGGGCCTTGGTTTCGTTCGTCGCCTTCGATATGAAGGGCTCTCTTTGAGCCGGATGAGGAAGTCATGGCAGCCGTATCAGAGTCCCCAACACCCTCAAACCCAGTGGCTGGAACCTGCGGCAAGAGCCTTATCGTTCCAGCCAACCCACCCATTCACCCGATCTAGCATTCTCGAGTCCAAGGTTCCGTGTAGCGAAATTAGGGCTAGAGTGGTCGATTTCCACGGCGTCCAGCTGCTGGCGACCGCATTATGACTAGGAAGAGACAGCTGCCCCAGCCATCGGCCCTGGAATCCTGTCAAGACTATGTCTCCTACCACTACCGAACGTCAATGCACCTAGGCGCAGTTTATACCTGGCTGACTGGATTGGTAAAAAATAGTCTGCAGGGATGATTTATCCTTCGACCACTCTCTCGGGCTTTCTGCAGCGGCATGACACAGGCCAGAATGTAAATCCCGAGCTGCATCTGACTCCAGCCTACATTCAGGCGCGTGGAATCCAAGACAACAGCCTGGCGGCTGATAACAACCAGGTCGATTATGACGCCTCGGCGCACTTCGTCGTGGCGCCTACCAGGTAGATGTCGGAACGCTTGGGACGCGCTGCGGCGAGGGACCCGCAAGAAGCCGCGTTTCACAAGCAGAAATGAAACAGGATCTCGGGAAGTCGGCCGGTTGGCCGGTTAGAAGAGTGGTTGTTTTGAACTAGGCGGATAACAAGCCGGAATAAATGTGGAAACAGGGCTATAGGAACAGGCAGCGCCCATTGCTTAGGGACAAACATCGCGCTCTGCAGATCCTCGCTCTCGTGGCTCAGTTTCGAGAGTATGTTCTGGCGAACTTTTGGCGAGACCCGCGAAATATGAGTATCTTTGTCAGTTCCAAGAGCGCCACTGGAGAGGAGCACAGTGCACAACAACAGAATTAGAAGCCATCCTAAGCCGACCTTGACAATCAAAGCAACAGTCAATATTGCACGGCAAGGTCAGCGGGCCTTATGGGATGTATCACACCTAGAAGATGCAGGTAATGCTGTTATGTCACACTATCCCGGCAAACCGAGCAACCCAGACACTGCAACTTGGTCTCTCGGAGATAAGCTGGTTGTTGCCATTCATTGAGATAATGGGTGTTCCAGTGCGGTTCTGGGTTTCGCCAACAATTTTCGTCCTTGTGCGGGAGTGGCAGATCGCGTTCATTTCGTTATCTTGAGCATGCTGACTTTCACCGATGGGTATAAACATCGTCTTTTGCTTTATTCCATGTCCGTTACGATCTAGCCGGGGATTATAGCCTATACCGACCGAGTTGGCGAGTTCTCTCGAATCCTCAGGATCAAAATCGCGCAGGTGGGTCATTCGACATGCTTGGGCCCTCGAGCTCCTCCAGTTCTCACATTTCGATATCAGCCTTGGCTGAGGAGTCACTGGATCGACCGAGCAACGCTTATCGCGTAGCCCAACCCCTCTTGCATACCACCGCACGCGTTCAACGGCGCAGGGGCGCTTGTAGATGACCCTTCATCCGGCCTTGCCGCATCGTGCCGTCAGTGGCGGTAATGTACAGCAGTCTGTGCGTCCGCCGTCTTGATCCCAGAATTGATTGCGTCCTTAGTTAAACGATTGCTCGGTCTATCGTAACTGACACCGGCAGTAATAACAGGGCTGGCTGCTTCATAGAGGCTCGTGTGTCGAGAATCCCTCTGGACCCTTGGATTAGGCACAATACGGGGCCAATCATATCGAAAATAGCAATAGCTTCAATCAGTCAGTCACTTTGACTCTCACTCTCCATAGGGCCGAATGCTTACCGTGGCTAGAGATAGGGCTGTTCGCCCTCGGGCATCTGTGGGCGCTGTGATAGAGAGATCTGCCAGCTTGTTCCGGCTTGGATGGACACATGAAAGTCGGACCGAGAAATGGCAAGGAAGTCGTAAGAGTACAGTGCAGAGTTGGAACGTTATGGAGGGGTCTGTCTGGTAGCGGCAGGCGGATAGTTTGTAGCTCCTCAGGTAGAGCAGACGAGACGGCACTCTTATCATATAGACTGGGTTCTTCCCAGAACTTGCATAGGTTTCGGGAGATACGGAACCTCTCGCCGCTCGATAGAATTCCGCAGCCTGCATGTTGCAGGTGATAACTTTGGGTAAAGGTCGGAAGACCTTGAAGCGAGGAGCTGACAGGTATGAGATCTGGATTCGTCGTTTGGCAGCAAACAGGTCGCTAGCTGGTCTTGAGAGCCGATCGAGCGACCACACTAGGGACAGGTAAGTTCGGGCGACCGCAGGCCCGAATTGGAACTGAGCTGCATTAGCTTATGTGTGTTCTAATGGGATACTGTAGAACTTGGCGTACGTCGGCGGGGGCCAGGACTTCAACAAAGGGGGAAACAGTTCCCTTTGTTTGGGTATAATGCCGAGTGACAGATTCCCTAGAGCCAGTATAGAATGTCGACTATCTGACAAGAACACGGTCGGCTGATGGTGTTGATGATCCAAACGATGATGAAAAGCTGTTAGTGCAGTATCAGGCATCGCATCTGATGGGGTCCATACCTTCTGAACGTTGACAACACACGATGCCCGCTCAACTTAACACTCGTCCCCGATGAAATTGTTGATAAACTCCTCACCCCCGTTGCGGTTACAACTATCACAGTACGATCGTCGAGGAGCAGGTGGCTGTTGGATAACCCACGCCAGGCCTACTCGGCCTGTCTGGATGCAATCTCATGCACAATGTCCACAATCTCCGCAGTGCTTTCAGCATGGGGGATCAACTAAACCTTTCCACCTGAATTGAATATAACACCAGGCCGGTCTGTCGGGTGTAGCTAGGAGGAACAAAGTTCCGTGGTGGTGTCAGATCCCGAGTTCACCGGCTCATCGATCATGGCCACATCAGGCAGGACAGGATGCTGCTCTGTCCGCTGTCACTGTGAGGCCGAATTCTCAGCCGCTCGACCGACCGGCTGCTAGGGTGGTGTTTGATGCAACCGGGGGGATCTGGTTTCGCTTGTATGTGGTGGAACGAGATCGTAGCAATCGTTTTGGCGATGTCGGCACTTTCGCGTCCCCTATATGTGCTATCGTGTGGCAAACGGGGTTCGAAGGACTCTCATCGTCTTCGTAGCTATACTCATTCCTATCGCTGGAAGGAGGCTAGGCTCAAGGATGGACGACGGCCGTTCGGCAAAGATGAAGAAGAGTTGAAAATGAACGTTTTCTGTCGCTGTGGAATATACAGTGAGAGACAAGGAGATGTGTTATACCAGAGAAACCAGAAACTAACATATATACAGAGGAGTAGAAGAAAAGGCAGAAGCAGGCGTGGAGCAGGACGACGGGTACAATCACCAGCATCCGACCGAATATATATAGCATGAATAGTGAATAGAGGGCCACGACTGATGCCGCGGGAGAGACACGAGCCTAGTGACTATACGAGAAAGAAATCAGACAACAGTTAAGTTGAGAACCAAGGGGGAAAGTTCTTCAGCTGTGACGTCCACAGGAAGAAGGGCGACGCTTCCTGGCACCCTCAACAGCAAACGGTGTGTTGTTGATAGACAAGGAAGGGAAAACGGGCCAGAATCGATCAGCCCAGTGGAACCTTCAACCGACCCAAGGCTGGGCGGACCCACTGTGCTGTGGTGAGTGAGTGAATGAGTCTTGTTTGACAGCTGCCTACAATACAGTCAGTACTGGCTCCAGGGCTAAATTTGGCGGGAATGCGGGCTGCCATTGCATGCACCACCAACAAGTCTGTCTCTAAGTTGAACAGAGCTGTGGCGTTTGCTCTCGCTCACGAAAAACTGGCAGGTGTCTGATTCCGATCATCTCGAACCTTTCCCTGCATCTGAGAATCGTCGGAAGATCCCTGCGTCAATTGGGAGGGTCGGTTGTCGATCCCAGTGTGTGCGCTGATGATAGGTGCAACTTCTCCCGCTCTCCACCGCGTGCGTTTGAGATTGATGGAATTTCCAGTTAGGGTTGAGGTTAATCACCTGGCGAGGGGGTCTTTGGATCTCTCTGCTCTCTTCTGTCGTCTTGTCTAATTTTCCTGCTGCCTATCTCGTTTGTCTGTCCCCGCATACGCTACATCACCAGCACAACTTGTACCACCCCAACCATGCGGATATGGCTGCTTCTCTGTGTGTTAATCCATGCCATCACGGCCTCCTGCATGGGCATCAGTCTGCCCCCTCCACCGCATGATCCTCCTCCCTCCTCGCACGCCGATGAATTCCCATGGAAATCGCAGTTGGCGACAGCAGCCGACCACGCCGCGAAAACCCGCTTCTACGCCCTGGCGCACACGGCGCAACAGCAGCAACTGCCGCATTTTGCCCACTACCTGCAACACTACCTGGGTAACACCGGCACGGACGCCAGCATCTCGCCGGACGAGTTGCTGGCGGCGATCCCCCGCTTCTACGAGGAGGTACAAACGCTGGTCACTTTCAAGGCGCGGCTGGCCGCCCAGGATCTGGTCGCCGGTGCGCGCACCACCGTGCTGTTCAGTAGCTTCTGGCACGATTACGCCACCACCAGCGACGAAGACTGGGACTGGTTTCTCGCCCTGGGTCGCTTCCGCTACAGCGTCACTGGCGCCGTCCGATTGGCGTCCGACAACAACCGTCCGACCGTCCAGTTCCGGGTAGATGTGCTGCGCGCGTTCGACTTCGCGGCGGGGCGGGAGCTGATCCTGGGCGAGTATCGCTATCACGATTCCGAGCTAGTCGACTTGCAGGTCAAGGGGCTGGGGCGGCAGTTCATGATCCGGGGGACGAGCCAGGGGTATTACCTGGAGGATCAACAAGCGCAGCAGCAGCAGCAGCAGCAGGCGGAGCAGCAGGGGGAGGAGGAAACCACTGTACATCCATAGACCGAAACCATCCACAAATGAAAAGACAAAGGACAGTCGCATCACCCGACCCAGCTAATCTCGTCACATTGCCCCAAACTCTCCGCGACCGCCTGAATCCTGTGCGTCATCCACCCGGACGTAAACCCCTCCGCCTTCTTCCCCAACTGCATCCCGCGGCCACTCCAACACGTCTCATCCGCGGGCGCAAACCGATACGCCAGACACAGCGCCTCATGGACACACATCTCCCTACACTCGTCGACGCTGCCGGCGCGACCGAGGTCCTCGTCCGCAGCCAGATTGTCCCACCCTTGCTTCACCGACTGGATCTGCCCCCAAACAATCCGCCAAAATACATCCCGGTAAACCATGACCTTACCCGCATACCCATCAGCCACCCAGCCCTTCTCCAACCGATCCAAGCCACGAAGATCCTCCTCGCCTTCCAAATGATGAAACGAGACGGCAGGGTAGCACCACAACCGCCCCATATCGAACCCGGTCGCAAAGAAATCCACCTCGCCGGGCGGCGCGATCTGCAGCATGGGCCAGCTCCAGGTTAGACTCACGCCGCAGCTCTCGAGGAGAATCCCCAGCAGACAGTCGCCGGCCCAGTGGGCATCGACGGCCGTCTCCCAGCCATCCTCGCTCTGGGCGCGCAGATCGCGCGCCATCTCCATCGCGGGCCGGGAGAGCACGAAGCCGGAGCCACCGTGCGCGAACAGCGCGTCGACGATCTGCATCTGGTTCCCCAGGTACCAGGGCTTGCGAGGGTCGAAGCGAGCCAGCCAGGCGGCCAGGTTGGCCCACAGGAGGTAGGTGTCGGCTTCCATGAAGACGAACCATTTGGCCTCCGGGCGGGCGGCCAGCGCTCCGTCCACCATCGGCAGGAACTTCCACTTGTCCAGCTTCCAGCCTGGGTTGTTGGGTTTGCCGATCGGCGTGTTGACGTCCGCGACCAGGTCGGCGGGTGTGAGGCCTGAGTGACCGGCGAGCCGGACGCGGTTGTATAGGGAGAAGTCTGGGTTGGTGGCTTTCGTGGCGCTGGAGATGTACGGGCCTAGGATATCTTGGGAGAAGACGGTCGGCGACAGGGGCTCGGCGTAGTCGGAGTAGATCATGTAATTGGGGATGCAGCGCAGGGTGGTGGTTAGGTGCGGAGGCACCTTGTCGCGGGCTTCGGTGATGCCGGTTTTCAGGATAACGAGGACGTCATTGTATATGGGGGGGAGGGCGCAATCGGAAGGGACGGAATGGATCGGAGGAGGGGAGGAGGAGATGAAGGTGTGGTGGAAGGTGTAGATAATTGCAATTATGACAATGGCGGGGAGAAGCCGCCGCAGTCGGAGTGTCATTGTGGTTGTAACAATTAGATGACGATCAATTAATGCAGTAATGATAAGGAGGTGAGGAGAAAATGAGGAGAAGAAATGAACAAATGAACGCGAGGGGAGAGTGCGGAGTCCGGAGTTACGGATCTGCCGAGGCCCGGATTTCCGGGGGGTTTGTTGTGTTTGCACGATATGTACAGTATGCACTTTATGCACTGTATGCCCTGTGTGCACTATAGGCACTGAATGCACTTTACTTAGTTATGGCTTCAAATCCCTCACTCTGTCAACAACAACAACACAACACCAACACAACAACAACACACTACAATCGACGATTCCGATTCAATCCCTGCACGACCTCCCTCGCCCCCCGTCGTCCACTCCGCACCGCCCCCTCCATATACCCTTTCCACTCGGCCGCGGTCTCCGTGCCCACGAAATGGATATTCCCCACGGACTCGCGTAACGCGTCTCCCGCCAGCGTCAACACGCCAGGCGGCAACGCAGGACAGGAAAACCCCCACCCCAACAGCTCCTCATCACTCCACTCATGACCGAGAGCCTCGACAAACTCCCGCGCAGGCAAACCGGCTCATCATAAATCTGCCCCCAACTGCCGCAACAACGCCTGCTCCCTCTTGCGAACATTCTTCTCCTGCGCCCATTGCCGCCCGCTGTCTCCCGCCAAGAAAGCCGTGAGCCCGTACTTCCCATCGCGGGGGCTGCTGGTGTCCCAATAGATGGACGCCGGGCCCTTGAATGATTGCACGAGGCCACAATACCCGCGCTCCACCCACCACGCCGACCGAAACACCAGCATCACCTTGGCGTAGTACACATACCGGAACGAGTCGACCAGCAACTGCTTCTTCGGCGGGAGGGCCGGCTGGAATGTGATCGTCTTGATAACGGGTCGAGCACACCACCTTCTTCGCCCGGATGGCGCGTCCCGTGCGCGAGATCACGATCGACCCTGCTCCCGGACTTTGAAGGATGGCGTCTACACGCTCGCCGAACTGGACCGTGTCCGCAGGGAGGTCGGCGGCCATGGTGTTGGCGAAGCTTTGGGTGCCTTCGCTCGCGGACGCGGAGGTACTGCGCGCCGTGCCGTCGGTCGCAGCGCATCTGGACAAGCCCGTCGCCGGAGCGGCAGTAGTTGAGGAAGTACAGCGCCGAGACATTGATGCCTGGCCGAGCATGGCGCGCGTCCAGACCGAGGCGGTGGCGATGGCGGTCGGGCTGACGTTACGGGATTGCACGTAGGCGTAGAAGGAGAGCGAGTCGAGGGCGGGGTCGGATGGGTTGCTGCACAAGAGGGCTTGGCAGTCGGCCTCGCACATCTCGCGCACGCTGTCCAGCTCGGTCTGGATCTGGGGGTTGATCTGCGGAGGTTAGTGGCGCCAGGCCAAATCATCCACGAAGACTACGACGAGCTGTACATCGGGGCCTTCCGCAACCCCTTATTCAGCCCGGAAACCGAGGACGCCGCCGCGCAAGACTTCGTGCGCATCTACGGCGCAGGCGGCAAGTGCTAGCCGCGTTTCAACCCGAACGTCGCCTTCAGCCGGTGGCGGAAGCTTCTGTATAACGCGTGCCTGAACCCGATCTGCGTCATCACGGACCTCGACACGGGCCGCATCCAGCCGCCGAGGGGGCGATTGTGGATCTGGTGCGCCCCGCCATGAGGGAGATCCAGGCGGCCGCCAAGGCGTGCGCGGACGTTGAGCTTCCGCTTGAGGCACTTGAGTACATGGTTACCATGGATCCGGTTACCATGTATAACCCGCCCAGTATGCAGGTGGATGTGCGCAGTGGGAGGTTCACGGAGTTTGAGAATATTGTTGGTGAGACGGTGCGCGAGGGGAGGGTGAAGAGGGTTGCTATGCCTACATTGACGGTGTTGTATGGGATACTCAAGGCGATTCAGTGGCGCACGAAGGAGAAGAGGGGTTTGGTTACGGTGCCGGAGCCGGAAGATCATACGGTGAAGAAGTGAAACACTTTTTCATTGTTTAATGGTATAGGTAGCATGTCCAACTCACGAATTATACAATATCCCCCACAGATGTGGGAAACGAGACTAGGAAGACGCACACTTTCCATTCGTGCACACCAAGTCATCCGAGCAATCATTCTCCGTCGTGCAGGTAGCACCTGCTTCGCGTCAGTACAGCCATGCAATGTAGCAATCAAGTCAACATACCCGTGCAATGCCCCTCCCAGGAGCAAGAAGCCATCCCCGCCGCCTCCTTAATATCCTCCAATGTCGTCCCAATCTGCACCTCATACACATAGGTATCAATCTGCACCGCCTCACCACGATAAGCCCCGAACTTGGGCTCCGTGCGTCCAGTCCACGTATTCGCGGTCAATCTCGTCGCACCCCCGGCCGTCGAAAAGCCCTGCTGCTCCCCATCGAAATAGAACTCCACCCACCCAGGCTTACCAGTATGAATCACGAGTCCGACCGAGTAGACGGTGTCCGTGTCCACGGTTCGAGACCACTGCGGGACGCGACTGGCCGTGTTATCCGCCTGGTACTGAAGGTGCAGCTGGCCGCTCTTGAACTCGAGAGAGAGGGGGATGTTGGCGCCTTTGTCCTGGGCGTTGTTGCCGGCGTAGGCTTTGCTGTTGATGCCGTCAGTATCCGATTCAGATCGCTTGAGAAGAGAGCGAAGAACAGGAAAAGTACAATTGAAATATCATCAGACTCTGCTCGATCACACCGAGCGAGAACTTGTAGCCGATGTAGTACGTCTTGCCTTCTTCGAGCTTGTGGGGAAGGGCGTGGTACTCCGCCCTGATGTAGTCTTTCTTGCGGTGGTAGTGGAGAGCCGGGGTGCCGTGGGGGTCGGTGCCCAGCTTGATGTAAAGGTCGTTGGTGTTGTCGGAGATCTTCTCGTCGCGCGCCTCTTCGAGATTGCGGATGCCCAGGACCGAAGGGTCGTCGCCTTTGGCGGCTGAGAAGCTGAGGAGAGAGGTGGCCAGGGCCGTTTGGAGGGCGGCGAGGGTGCACAGCGTGGTGGAGAGGCGCATCTTGTTGGGGTGACTGCAAAGGATGTATTCGAGTGATGTAGAAAGGAATGAAAATGGTGTTCGTCGTGTTTCCCTACAGACTTTCACAGAGTATTTATCTAATTTAGGGACTGTCGTGACTACGGGCATATCTTGGGGGCCGCTCGGGCCGCGCAGGACCGCAATACAGCGGACACTGTTCAGCCAGATAGCGTCCAGGATTCAAAGCCTGGCTCATAAGCTAGTTCTTCGGCTTCTGCAGGAAAGACTAATAAGACTTATTCGAAAAGGTGGCTGTGTTGCCCCAAGATGGTGTGTTTCAGATCCTTCCGTGACTCCATTTGCCCTCTTCGGTTACATCTTCCTAGCGGCTTCATCATGGGGCCAAATGCTGCCTTGTGCCAGACCCTAGAATTTGCGTGGCCCAGGTTTGCCTCTAAACGCCCAGCCGTGTAGAAAATAGTGATCGCTTCTATTCGAAATTGAGACGATCGTCCATTCACAGCTCTTTGATCTAGCCGGGGCCGTCTATAGACGACTGCCGCTGTTACACTTCCCGAGTATTATCACTGTTCATGGCTCCAAGACCAGGTCCTTGACCTTTTCGACCTTGGAAAAAGCGACTGCTATAGTTGTTGGCGTAGAATAAATATCCAACTACTTGACTTGATTTCTGCCTTACGAAGGTAACTACGCATGAAGTGCAGTTTTTGACACGAAAAGCAACGATCGACAGTGGGATTCAGGCTATGTCCTTCACTTGACTGTCACTAACTTAGGTAACCAATCTGGTCTTCTTTTCAGACATATCTGGCTTCGGCTGAGCATTCCTCGTAGTAAGCTCAATGCTTTGAACCCATATATGCTCTGGGATATATTTTTTCAAACCGCGCAAACGGGTCTTGGCCAACTCAAGCAAAGCCTCCTCTTTACACACCGCAAACCGCAGATACTTCTCTCCGATAGAAGCATTTTCGGGACTATAAAACACAGATGGTGGAATGGCAGCCACTCCGAGCTCTTGAATAATGAACCAGCATAGTCGAAAGTCACGTCGCCGATTGACAATATGTGACGGGAAAGGGTAATCGGCTGGAATGCGGACAGCCGACATATTGACTAAAACAAAATACCCTCCATCGGGCAAGGTGTACTAGATTCGTTGGAAGTTCAGTCAGTGTATGTACTTGACAATCACCTGTCTGGAGAATAATCTACTGGCAGCCCAAGTTCATCCCACACTTTACAGAAACATCTAATCTTATCTTGCATAAGTCGACGACTCTCTTGCCAGAATTGAGTCTTCTCGGCGTGCTCGTAAGCTACGGCGACAGATTCTTGCAACGGAGACGCCGTGCTGTAGCATATCTTTGTATGAACCGTGGCCACGCGTGCGATGAGCGGTGCTGGTCCCACCAGGTAGCCCACTCTCCATCCTGTGGCGTGGAGTGCTTTGCCAGCCGACCCGACGGTCAAGGTGCGTCGGTATAAGTCGTCCGTGAGGCTGGCAGGGCTGGTTGATGGCTGATAAGCGAGCCGGTCATAGACCTCATCGGACAAGAGGATGAGGTTGTGCTGGATGCAGATTGCTCCTATTTTATTAATCTCGTCGTGCGTGAACACCTTACCGGTGGGATTATGTCTGATGTGGAGAGTACGTTAATGGCTTCCCAGAACTGAGCGAGATGAACCTTACGGTGTGTTGAGAACCTAATTCAATTCCAGCATTCGTCAGCTAACCGACAAATTGAGTCCTGTGTGGCAAAGTCGACATACAATCATTTTTGTACGATCATTAATAAGATTCTCGAGCCTTGGAAAGTCAACTGCCCAGTCCGAGGCGCGCGACGTCCAAGTCGTACGGTTCTCTGGTGGCAGGAGAGACACATAACGAACAATAGCACCAGCCAGCTCAATGCTGCTAATAAATCTTCGTTCATGAATCAGCGATCACACTTCACAAGACTCTGTCGCAAAGGTCTTCTCATACTGGTCGAAGAATGGCTCAAAAACGATGGCCTCATCGCCCGGACTAAGAAGTCCCATGAATGCACAAAGCATTCCTAGCGACCATCAATCAGATATTGTTCTCGAACAGAGAGTATGTGCTCAACCTTCATTTGCACCCGACGTGACGACGACCTCCGTGTCAGGATTGATATCTCTGCCCAATGACCTGGAATACATATCTGCTAGAACACTCTTCAGTCGTGGACGGCCCTAGATCACTTTCGAGTCAGCACTGGGGTATATTCAATTCGCGTGCTGATACTGTAAAGCACTTGCCTTTGTCGGGGCGCATTGGTTGCAATCGACCCTATCGAGGGCATCCTTGGCGGCATCAATTGCAAACCGTGGAGGGTTATATCCACTGGGCTTGTTACCCGGATGGGTCCCCATCAGTAGTTGGACTTTGGCTTACAAGAAGCCCTGACCCAGATTCGCAATTGGTTGGATTGGTGAAGCGGCTGCTGCCTCGTTCACAAATGACCTGCAATTCTCGTCAGTAGATTCCAATACCTCTGACGTGTCTCTTGCCTACCACACATCTTCCACATGGTCACTGTCCCATTCGTGGGCTTCGATCTGAGCTTTCTTCGCCGTCTCCGGCATTTTTGTCGGCTCCGCGGATGCGATCTTGCTTGGATAACGCGACGTTTTGGCAACTTACACTCGAGAGAAGCAAGTGGCAGTTCTGATCTTAAAGCGCGGAGATGGATTAGACTTCAATGCAGGGGAATCAGGACTCGCGATCCGATTCGTAGGACCTGAAGCACCGTCAATTGTGGCCGGAACAGCCCGCTCGTTTGCCGGACATTCATCCCACCGTTCTCACTTCGACGGCATGACTGGCGGAAGTCAAAGCTCTTACAATTCGAGTTGAACAGAGAGCATGTGATGCCATCATTTACTGACTATTGCTTTCCAGAAAGACTTGCTGGGAAATCGCGCGACTATTGTCCGAGTAGTGTCATTCTAGGCCAAAGAGCGTGCTGTGGCGCTCTCACATGCAGAGCAAGCACAGGAACAAACCTTCGCCTACTTGACTGCAGACAATCCCGACCCGTTACATACATCTGAAGTCTTCTTCACTATCTGAGAAGTCCCAAGAAGCATTCTCATCAGCTCCATTCGGCCGAGTAGCACGCACAAAGCCAACCTCGACCGCATCGATCCGCGCTACGGGTCCTACTACCTCAACCTCCGCACCGTAGTGGTGCGAGTACCAAGTTTCCATCAAGTTGTCCTCCGGTGAGGTACAAGCTGGCGTCTGGAACAGCCACGGGAAGTTCTCCTGCATGTAATCCAAGGCCACCTTGGAACTGCGGTCCACCCCATCGCAGTACCGCAAATTTCTGAACGCAAGGGGAAGGTTGTCGCGCAGCTCTTTTTGAATATCCGTCGGATACTGTCCCACAGCAAAGAGAAGCAAGTTGAATTGCATGAGAGACGCCTTACAATGGTACGACCCACCGTATCGGGCGCGGTTATACAAGCCTGTCAGGGCAGCGATGGCGCCCATGCATCCTGCTCCGTAGTCTGCAATTGGCCAAGGCGATACGATGGGCTCCGATTGCCTGAGAAATGCCCCAAAAGCTCTTGCAAAGCCAGTTAACTAATTCATGCTGTCAGCCTCGAATCATGTCATTTTACATGCGGTAAAGCAGGACTCACGCAGTCTACAATCTGCTGCCATCCGGGTCGGCCGGACCACGGACCCTCATGCCCGAAGCAATTCTCATCCACATAGACAATACCCTTGCCTCGGCGGGTGGCTATAGTAGACAAGGTGACAGGACCGTACCCAAGCCTCTCAAGCACGCCGGGTCGGTAGCCATCGATAATAACATCTGCGTCACGCAAAAGTTCCTCAAACTTCTTGCGACCGCGCGCACACTTGAGGTCTATGTCCACGACATGCTTTCCCATGTTACCGTCCACCTGGAAGAATGGTACGTCTGGCACAGTGGAGGAGCAAGTGATTTTGAGAACATCGGCCCCATACTCGGCCAGAATACGACCGATTACTGGACCGGCAATTACACAGCAGAGCTCTAGCACTTTCACGCCAGCAAGCGGCCTGCGTGTTGTGCTCGGGGCAAATGGTGTTGGCGGCGTGTCGCCCTGTAAGCGGCAGACTTTCCACCAAGGCTCCTGGATGCTCGTCTTTCCCTATGCTTTGCTTTAGCTCCATGACGACTTTGCATCGAACTAAAAGGTAAAACATACATGTGGAGTGTCGCAAAATTGTTTATATGTGTATACTGTGACTCCAGCCTGCTTGGACTCCAGATTTACCTGCTCTAGTTCAGCCGCCGTCCACTGCTCGACATGGGCTTGTATGAGACGAATGATCTCGTCGTACTCTATTCGGTCTGATCGGTGGCTCGCCAAGCCTATCATATTGAGAGTCTTGCTCGGGTTCAGCGAGCCATGCAGGTGAAAGAATTCGTTCTCATTCTTCGTGCGGTACATATTCGCCGCTAGACGTCGATAGAGATTTGATTGAGCGGCATGGAGATCGGTATCTACCAGCGCTTAGACCTATGTTCCTGAATATGCCAAATGGGTTTTCCCTGCCTTTGAGATACTTCTTAATCCCTGGATCTGATCTAGAGCACCCATTTACCTTAGCAATGAGGGCTTGGAAGCCGAACAGCGTCGCTCTCTCTAGGTCAATCGTGACCTGTCTTCCCTCACACTCGGTCCCAAAGCGCAAATCTGCTATGGCAGCCGCAAGGGCACCTTCAATGCCCTTGAGCGCAGCTAACGTCTCGGTCACTTTGAATGGCGTTGGATAATAAATGCGATCGGAGCGCGAATTGAAGCGTACTGTCTTCGGGATAACCTCGAGAGGAATGCTGAGCTCGGCTGCATGGCCACATAGGAAGGCGAATATTCTTTCGGATTCGTGGACTGGGCAATAACCTCGTATTGGGCTATTCTCCATGTTACCGGTTCCTAAGCTGAGCATAAGTTTCCCAGAATAATCCACTAGCATGATGAGTGAATTGATGCCAGCCTGAAACAGCGTTATGATTCTGGTGCCGTTGATGGATTGAACAGGCGATGAACTGGCCTAGACCCTTTGAATCCAGCCAATTGCACACAGTCACAAGAAAGATGCTGGCAGTCGGGAGTGTCTTGCGTGTCGAGAGAAGTCGTTACAAACCTGCACTTACGAAAGAGGCGTGATAGCGAATCCTTGGACCATTTAATGAACATGTGATCTTTATCCACACATGAGTGCATTATATCTTCTCAAGCCGGATACCGAATCCAACCAGTCATGCCAGAGGACTCTTCGGTGGGCAATAACGCCTTGTATGTCTTGTGGAGTCTAAGTGGGTGAACCACGACGTCAATGAAGTATCTCATTGCAGGTACAAAGAAGCTCATCTTCTCACCCATCACACTCTGCTATCTGGACTCTAAATTCCTGCAATTCCCTCAGCATACAAAGATATCGCAAGCTTCCCATAATGCAGACCCTAGCGTCTATCCTGCAGAATGCAGCCCGTATGCATGGTAAACGGGCTATACTGGCTTACCCTGCAAACCGCTCCGCGAGCGATTCCACAGTCAGTTTGACTTACGAAGAGCTCAACGCTCTGGCAACCTTCAACAGCCAGCATTTGCGTGATCTCAAAGATTGCAAGCAAGGCCAGGTACTACTTCTGTACCTCGAGGACCACTTGGAGACAATCATATGGTTCTGGTCCATAGTGTATGCCGGCAATATCCCCGCCATGTCCACCTCTCTACCTCGTACTGAAGCTCAATCCGTGAAACATCTCCGCCACTTATCTCGGCTGTTAGAAGAACCGATCTGTCTCACAACCGACCGCCTCATGCAGCAATTCCCGGCAGAGCCGATTGTACGTCTCGTTGACACCGAAAGTATTCAGGGCACGCCCGACACTATAAAAGCTCAAACCGAATCCCAACAAGAAATGCGATGCACTACCCTTGGGGCCGTCTCGGATATTGCTCTCCTTATGTTGACCTCAGGCAGCACCGGGCCGTGCAAGGCCGTGAGTCTGACAAACCAGCAGATCCATGCTTCGTTGGCAGGCAAATGCGCGGCATTCCCTCTCAAAACCCAAGACGCAGCATTCCTTAACTGGATCCGACTTGACCACGTGGGAAGCTTGGTCGAGATCCATCTTCACGCGCTGGCAGCAGGAGTAGATCAGGTGCATATACAACCCGAAGTGATTATTGCTCGACCCGTGCTCTTCCTGGAACTGCTCGAGCGACACAAAGTTGCGAGAACTTTTGCGCCAAATTTTTTCCTACTTGAGCTCTTACGGTTTTTTGAGTGCGCGCAAGTAGCGAGCCGCAATTTCAATCTCAAGGACTTGCACTATCTGGTTTCAGGTGGTGAGGCTAATGCAGTGGATACCTGTGGTCGATTGAGCCAGCACCTGGCCCGACATGGCGCACCTAGCAACGTTATCGTTCCTGGATTCGGCATGGCGGAAACCTGCGCTGGGTGCAGCTACAACTTTGATTTTCCAAGATGTGATCTGGATCGGGGAAATAAGTTTGCATCGCTCGGAACACCCGTGCCCGGCATAGAAATGCGTATTGTGTCATTGGCCGACGAGAGTGAATTGTCGACTCCGGGGACGATTGGACATTTGGAAGTCAGAGGTCCTATAGTCTTTGGAGGGTACTATAATGAGCCGAGCACTACATGGCAGACATTCAGGTCCGATGGGTGGTTCAGAACTGGGGACACAGCCTTCTTAGACCCAGGCGGGCATCTGAACCTCTGTGGCCGAACGAAAGAATTGATCACGATCAACGGGGTCAAATACTCCTTACATGAGCTTGAATCAGCACTGGAGGGTACAAACATACCCGGAGTAGAACCGAGTTTCGTCGTCTGTTTGCCTTATCGTTCTCCAAGTGACGATACGGAGCAGATATGGGTTCTCTACAAACACAGCTACCGCTCGGAGGATTCCGAGGCTCGATGCAGAGCCAAGGAAGCTATAACGCGGAGAATCATGGTCCTGACCAGCACATGTCCCCATGTCTTACCTTTACCAACCATAGGCCGAACATCCCTGGGAAAGATATCTCGATCGCAGTTGAAGAGCCAGCTAGAATCTGGGGGATTTACCAAGGAACATATACGGAACGCAGAACTCATTCGCAACTACCGAAGCAAAATATGCACTTCCCCACATACGCCTACTCAAAGGCTCATTGCTCAGGCTCTGGCCCCCATTCTCAACAAGCCTTTGGAAGACATCGGAGTTGATGATAACATTTTCGGACTAGGCATGACATCCCTATCACTAATCCAGATGCAGTCTCGCCTGCGCGAACAGCTGGCTTTGTCCGTACCGCCTGTATTGCCCACAATCATGTCTCACCCAACCATCCGCCAACTCGAAGATGTGCTTCAAAGACAGTATCACGAATACAGGCCGGTCGTGACCCTCCAACCCCACGGTAAGAGAACGCCGCTATGGCTCGTCCACCCAGCCGCCGGAGAGGCACTGGTCTTTGTCAACCTTGCCAAGCGCTTTCACGACCGGTCGGTGTATGCCTTGCGGGCGCGCGGTTTTTACCCGGAGGAGCCGTATTTTACCAGCTTGGAAGAATGTATCAGCACATATCAATTTGCCATGAAAGCAAGGCAACCAGAAGGGCCGTACGCCATCTTAGGCTACTCATACGGGGCAATGGTAGCATTTGAGCTCGCAAAGTCTCTCGAGAAGGAGGGTAGCAAGGTTGACTTTGTAGCCAGCCTCAACCGGCCGCCATACGTGAGTCCACGTCTCCAACGGCTACAATGGTCGGATTGCTTGGTCAATATATCCTTCTTCCTTGGGCTTTTGCCGCGGGACGCCTTCCACAAGATGGTCCATGGGTTAAGGGAGATACCCAGGGGGAAGGCCTTGGAGTTAGTTCTTGATCGGGTAGACCCAGATCGAATGGAAGAATTAGGACTCAACTCGGCTAGATTCGAAAGGTGGATCGATGTTGCCTACGGTTTGCAGCGAATTGGCCGAAACTACAAGCCACATGGCAATGTTGCGCATGTTGATGTATTTCACTGCAATCCAGTGGAGTTCTTGCAGACAGGGAAAGAAGAATGGCTGAGGCGGCTTTCGGCTTGGGATCAATTTTCCCGGGAGAAAGCACTGTACTTTGAGGTTCCAGGCGAGCACCATGAGGTTCTTGCTCCAGGAAACGTGCAACAGTTTCATAAGCAGCTGCAAGAATCACTGCATATACGGGGGGTATGAGTTTTTTTTTTGTGGTCATACCTTATCCAGCTCCAGGAACCTTAACCTATTCATATGGAAGTCAAGCTGAATTGACAGGTTTCGAAACATAAGTTCGCTTGTAGATTCTCCTGCAATGACAATGAGGGCAAGCCCTTATAGGTGCATCGGCATCGTCCGCATACCTTGTCCTGAGCTTAACGCAACTTAGCTCTCCATCACAAAGGCACACTGAAGAACTTGGCATCAGAACAATATTCCCACGAGAATAGCCGAGCTCCTTTCGCTCGGCTAGAAGGCCGAATCGAGCCATTGCAGGGCCGCTATCTTAGCGTCGCCAAGCAATCCAGCCACGAGGCACGCAACCCTATGCGCTTTTAAATAGTGGGTTGGGGCCCTGCAACTGTTCGTCATTCGCGCTAAAAGTGGCGTGCTGCGGCAAGTATAAAATATGTAGAAGCTGATTAGCTGAAACGGAGGGCGGATGCCGTGCACGAGTGCTTGATCTGAGATTCGACCTTTCGTTCACCAAGATAATCAGACACGTATCACAAATTAGAACGACGTTTGCTAAACATGATATCAAAGCTCCCTCAAACTCCACACCCCTACTTCCCATTTCTGTTTGAATACTAATCAAACCAACTCACACTCAATCAAGCTCTCCACACCCCTCTGCGCAGCCCAAATCTTCACAATCCTCAACCCAGCCGACTCCAAAAGACCCCGCCACTGGCCCTCCGTGCGCTCCCCAGACCCAACACTCATCATAATGAGATCCAAACTCGTGGTCTCCCAATACGCCCCGGTATCCGGAATCACATTCTCATTAACCAGCAACTTGCTATACCCAGGCGTCATCGCCGCGACGAGATTCGCCAGGATCCTCCGACAGGTATCATCGGGCCAGTCATGCAGGATCGAGTGCAGGTAGTACGCGCGAGCCCCTATCGCTCACCGTACATCCATTAGCATATATCTTACACCCCTCATAATGGCTTCGCAGAGGTATTCAAATCTCACCTTTAACTTTCTGCTCCGTAAAGAAATTATACCCCACCACCTGGATAGAAGGATGCAAATCCGGCACAGAAGCCACCACCTCAGGCAGATCTTGCAGCACCAACCGGCCAGGCGCAAGGGGCCACTTACGGCGGAAGTCCGCGATGTCATGGCCGAAGCTGCCGCCCACGTCTACCAGCAGTACATCGTCGTCGGTGATTGTCTGGGCTACCGGGTCGATGAGCTCCTCCTGAACCGGGTAGAAGCCGGGGTCCATCCAGCGGGGCCGGCCCTGTGCGTAGACGCCCATGTGGTTGTTGAAACGGCGTGCGGTGTCCGGCTCGAGTTGGACGTGCTCGAAGAAGGTTAGGGTCGTGTTGTAGCCTATGTTGAAGGCCGTGTCGGTGAAGCTGGTGGGGTTGCGGTAGGCGTGTTTCTTGAGGAAGGCGGGAAGGGCGAGGAAGCCTTGGTTGAAGCGGGTGGACCTGAGATTTGGGGAGCATTAGGGGGGTGGCTGCTGGTTTCGGTGCTGGTGCTGACGTACATGAGTGGGAATGCGTCGCTGTATCTTTCCACCGTCAGGGTTTTGGATAGTCCGTTTGGGCTGTACTCGTCTTTTCCGGTCTCGAGGATGACGCCCATCGCGGCGAGGTGTTTCATCAGACGGCCTATCGAATGGGTCCAAGGTTAGATCGATTTGTATGTGTCTAAAACTAGGATACTGACCAAGCAACACCGGGTCTACACCCGTCGCCTGCGCTAGCTGTGCTACAGACTTGGGCTTGTCGTTTGTGCCCATGGCAGTGAAAAGACCGATATCAACGCCGGTCTCTATTGCAGCGTAGCTCGTGAACTAGCAGGATGGGAATCTGTCAGTATTCGCTTCTGGATTTCCGTAAGGAGAGATCAGAAATCAGCTCCTTGAAGGTACGAGAACGCACCTCGGACCAACAGTGTCTGAGAATTGCCTCGCGAGGCGTTTCCAGAGCATGGACTAGTGATCTTGCCGATTCGAGTAGTTTCAGTCGAGCCTCGGGGTTTGTGCTCAGGTACTCTGCACCCTCGGAATGGATTTGATCGAGCAATGAAGGAACCTGGCTGGGAAGGTTTGGGGAGATAGCAAGCTTGGCCACATCAATGGCGTCCCCATTGCTAGAGCCGTTCATGTGAGGCATGCTGAGACTCGAGTTATGTGCAGACGCGAAAGCTGCCTTAGTATGTGGCAAGTGGTAAAGAAGTTTAAGGATGAAGCGAAGAGCCCATGATGCGGGGGAAAATCTCCTCGCATTATAAGTGCTAAATATCTATGGTTGGGAGACTGATCGTGATGGCCTTCCCCTGAACTAGCAGCCAATCTAAACCTAACATTAGACTGACATGGGGACATGGGAGGCCACGCACGCGATATAACGAATCCAGCAGTAGTCTGATAAAGAATTCCCTCTTTGTCTTGCGCTTATCACCTGTCAATCAAACCATGGTGTGACTATGGAGGGTTTAAATCCTTCGCTGCCAATGGACTTGGCGTAGTGCATGACTAGGCTTGGTTCGCCGTAGTCCGGCGAGAGTCCGGCTTCAAACTAGACTAGGATCGTAGATTAAATCCTCCCGGCCGTTGCACCGAGCTCGGTTCATCGGCAATTATCTTGCTGCCTGGTCTCTAGTAGTGTGGAGTAATGCGCAAAATAAGAAATACCAGGTGGGCTGCAATCTCATTTCCTGCCAAGTCAAGAATAGTAAATCCGGCGAAAGTCAGGCCCACCCCATTGTCTAGCAAGACAAGGGTATAATTACGCAAACGACTTCGCCAATCATCTCCAAAAGCGCATGCCCAACGTATGGTGCTAATGCAGGGAGGCAGATGAGTTAGCAAGCATTCCATTTAGTCGGAGTATACTTGACATGGCAAGGATTTCAAAACTTAGCCAGGTTCAAGAGCAGGAAGACAATTGCCCACCCTCCCCCCGCCCCGGTTCACATTTTACCTCTTTCTTCACACAACCCAATGTGCGCTCGAGATTATAGAGTTTCTTCGGTGCGTTCACTGCTGTGTACGAACCTAAGCTGCAGCCACATTCGCCTTCATGGGCCTCGAGAATGCTAGTCAGACAAAAGGACCCAGAATCCTCGGTATATTCTGGGCCTTCTTCTCGGTGAGCGCCGTGATGGTTTCCGCCCGACTGTACATCCGCACTCGCATGCTCAAAAATCTCGGGCCGGATGATTATATCATCGGTGTCGCTACAGTGAGTCTTTGCCCCTCGAAGTATTCATCATTCGATTGTCCGACTAACATGAATAGCTAATTCTTGCGGCCTACACAGCAGTGACTACTGCCGTCGTGGCTCTCGGATACGGCAAGCACACGGCCGCGATCATCGAGCAAGGGGGAATGGATCGTCTCGAGAAAGTGCTGCTAATCAACTACATCAACTTTGCCCTGGGAATCATGTCCTTCTCGATACCCAAGCTGGCAATCGCCGCTTTGTTGAACCGGATCCTGAACCCGGGACGGTTTCACCGGTTATTTCTGTGGGTGTTGACGGGCGCAGTGTTTGTCACTTCAAGCATCTGCATCCTTGTCCTGTTCACCATGTGTGACCCGCCACAGGCTCTTTGGAAGACTCAGATGTTCGCTGAAGGTGCGACGTGCCGCCCGCAAGTCGTGCTGGTGGATTATGCGATTTTCACCGGAGGTATTCCTATAATACTCCTACTTCCTCTTTTGCATTCGGATATTGACGTCCCCCTTGCAGTCGTGTCTGCCTGTGTCGATCTATACTTGGCCGTCTACCCCACTGTTGTCCTTATTTCCTTGCAAATGACGCTGAAGAAGAAGCTCGCGCTCTGTGCGGCGCTTGGACTTGGTGCAGTGTAAGTGAGCGTCTTCCTTGCAAGTGAACTGGCCGCTAAGCCTAGAGTTTAGTGCATGTGCAATGGCCATTGTGAAGTGTAACCAACTACCTGGGCTCTACGATACAGCGGACTCAACCTGTACGTAGACTTTAGAGCGATAAAGTGTCTTGCGACTGACTCAGATCCAGACTCCACTGCCGACCTTGTCATTTGGACCAGGTATACTCTAACAATACCAACGTCCACTTCCCTTAACTGATTGTGAACCCAGTATCGAATCGAACGTCATCATCATGGCTTCGTGCATCCCAACGCTAGGACCGCTGTACGAGATGGTCCGTGGTAGGCGCTCCTGGAGCTCTTACCAGCGGTACTACAAAAGCCAGCCAGGCACCTCACGCAAACGCGCATTCAAGAAGCCAATAAACCACATGCTCAAACACGATGACCTGATGACGACCAACATCGGGACTATCAAGCAAGGCAGCCAGGACAATATCCTGGTAACCGAGGAGACACCGGCCGAATCCCACGCGATGGGCTATATCCACAGGACGGATAAGATGGCGGTGGAGTATGAAATGGCATCGCGAGTACCTAGGGCGAACTCCCCACGAGATAACAGGAATGTACCTTGACAAAGAATATCCTAGAGCAGCCTTGACTCACCCCATATTTTGAACGAACTATAAACACCGACATTCACCCCTACAGCCGTAAACCTCCACCTCGCAACCTAACCCAACGCAACCCACTCAGAAGCACGCACAGCCCTGGATCTCCCCAAAACCGCCCCCTGCTTATCAATCGCAACAACATAGTACCCACTCAACCCACCACCCTGCCCCGGACTCGTCAACAAAACCGTCTCAAAACTTTTCCTCTGCACGACCCCAAGCAACACATTCCTGGCCTCCCCTTGCCGCACACCATAAAACCTCCACGCAGCGGTCTCGGTATCTCCATTCCACGACACATAAACCCTCACCCTCTCGCCAAACGTATACGCCACAACAGCCGGCTCCTCTTTCGGGGTACCGGTCCAATTCCCCACAAAACCCCGATAACTAACCCCATCCTCAATCCAAGCATGAAACACCAACCGATCATTTGCTTCGAACTCCGAGATCGCTCCCGCAGACCCCCAGTTCACGAACACCCTGCCATTGGCCAAAAGCTGGGCATTACCCTGCGAGACGGCCGAGATACCGTAGGGGGCTGTGGCTTTACGGAGAACGGTAGCGGTGCTGCGGGCGGAGTCGAGCTCGACGAGCAGGGCGCGAGAGACATTATTGAAAATGATGCCGGCACCGGAGTTGGAGTTATCGAAGAATGAGATTACCTCTTTGTTTGACTCAGAGGGATGGGGGTGCCAGCGCGCGTGATGCTGGAAGCCGAAGGCGAAGGTTGGGTCGGTGGGGAAGGTAAAGGTGGAGTTGGAGCCGCCTAGGCGCCAGATGATGCGGCCGTCTGTGCCGTTGATCTTGAAGATCGTGCTGAGATGTCGTGAGGAGACGAGGTAGTTGCCTTCGCGGTCTTTGTCGACGCTGTTGATGTGGATGAAGTCCCAGCTTGTGCTTGCTGTTAGGGCTGTGTTGGCTGTGCTGGACGCTAGGGTGATCAAGCTTTCTGTCGGAGAGGGTTAGTTCAAGGCTGTACCCGCAGGAAGGATAGAGAAGCGGGTCGGGATAGAAGGTGTGCGGTGCGGCCTACCTGCTGGGTCGATGTGATCGAGCGCGTTCCATTCGAAGATGAGCTCTCCTGTTGCGATGTCGAATTCTGGAACCATACATTAGGACTGATACGAGGTACGCGGACGACAAAGAAAACCTTGAAAATACCCGTCCCCGATCCATTGCTGCGACGTGTTCCCGCCATAAGCAGACAGATTCCATGGTGTGGGCGTGTAGACCTCTACCAACGCGGTCTTCCCGTCGATGACATTGAATTCATGGATGGAGGGAATGCGATGATTCGCCGCCTTCGCCGTGGCAACGTGCTCGTAGTTCTGGTTGAGAAGGACCTGCTGGCCCCAGCCCTCGCCGTGGGTGAAATCAATCGTGCCCTGGAAAGCTTGTAACACGGTCTCACCTTTGTAGGTTGTCGGGTGGAAATTGCCAACGAAGCCTGCGTAGTAGCCAATGCCAGACCAGACGAGGTCGCCGTTCTTGCGGTAGATATATGCGCCTGGCTGCTGCAACTCGCCTGCGTAGGGGGACAAGAAGACGTATTCTGTGCCATTCGCGTTAGGGGCCACGACGGTGATGTTCAGCTTTGGTGGAGATAGGTCTGGGCGAGAGCGATATTGGCCATCTGCTAAGACAGTGGGTAGAGATGCAGAGGTTGCTACGAGGAGCAAAGACAATTGAAGGAGGAAGACCATGGCGTCGATGGGACTATGTACAGATGGTCCACAACTTCGTCTAAAAGTGTCTGGATGGTGACATGGAGTTGACCGCGTCTTTTCGCGTTCTTATAGTCATTTTCATCTGAGCGCATAACACTGCACTATCGTGCCTGAGTGAATACATACTGCTACCGTCTGTCAACAATTTGATCAGAATTGCACCATCCAGGGACATTTTAACCTCATCATTGATTCTGAGCTACGTGTAGACTAACACCTCGCTTCTGCACAATAGATAACAGCTGCTTGTGTATGCTGATCTGATTTGACGTGGCTGTGCATTGAGCCATCGCCTGCCGCGATTACGCGATATCGACCCGCGTGAGGACATCAATACTGTCGCTTAAGGCATTATGCATGGGTTTTCTGTTTTTTGATTATTTTTTCCACTAGTGTGTACCCCCGTGATAAGACGAATCATAAGATAATACTTCTATTATGGTTGATGTTATCCACGAGGGGTGAACTCTCTTCAGATGACAAGCACAATTATATAGGCACGGATACATCAACACAGCTAACTTCTCTGCAGGGTTACCATTGGCCCCTTCTCTACCCCTCCTTGCAAAGTAACCAAGGCCTGGACCTGCATATTCGAGCTGGCTTGCAGGTGCTACAAGCCATACAGTTGTAAGCGAGCTGACTGTCATTTGATCTTTGCCGATAATCACGGACAATCCAGGCATGCATTTCAGCTCTAGAATGACGGCTTCCATTTACTCTCGGCTAGAAGAGAGGAGACTACAGACTTGTTAACCTCGAAGACTGTCCTCATATATCAGATTCACACTGACTGGGGCTATTTTGCTTTCAACATGTATGCCAACGCAAGAGCCAGCACGATTGGAAACACTGATTCTGTTTCGATCTATCCTACATTACACCAAGCACAGAGCAAATCCCTTCTATGAATGATAGAAGATAATAATCTCGATGAGACGAGGACTAAACTCCAGGCAGACCCTGAATCGCCAAAACCACCTCATGCACAAATGTTTTGTCATCAGTGCACAGCCCAGCTATGCACACAGCTCCACCTCTTGGCAACTTCCCACCAAAACTCGGTGAATCTCACTCCGCGCCTATCCCCAGAACAGTTAAAGCAATCATTGCATCAATTCAAATCATGAATCATACACTCCGACATCGGCCGGATCCCATTATCATTGTCATGCATCATCACTAGCTTCTCCACGCCAATCCTACTACTTATTACTACCTATATTGCCGAAAACCCATCCAAAACAAAATCGAACAGACATGTCTCAAAATCAGTAGGCATACCGATACGTCGGTGCCATATCGCCCATATACTCCTCCTCCGCCTCAGTGAGGGCATTCAGATCGACAGTCCCGTCGGCGATGGCGCGGTCGCGTTTGCGATTATCGTGCCAGATGGCTAGGAAGTACAGGCAGGACATGGCGGCCGAGAAGGCCAGGAAAGAGACGCCGATGATGTACCCGTTGCGGTAGAAGGGTGCGTCCTTGGAGAGGAAGGAGTAGGTGGAGATGATGCCGCCGACTGGGATTGCCGGTTAGTTTGTGGGGTTAAGTTAAAGATTTTGGGGGGATGCGTAGTGGTTGACTTACTATTGCCAAAGCCAATCTGCCAGGCGGTTCCCACGCTGCGGCGACGATGACCACCCAGGTTCATGGCGAACCAGCAGACTAACACTGGCATGGCGCTGTAGCAGCCGCACGTCACAAGGAAGAGCGCGCCGTATTGGACGTGGTGCTGCGTCGTGCTGTGGATGTTGATCAGGATGCCGAAGCCGGCCATCGCGACGAGCATCGGGATGAGGGTGAAGAGGAAGCGGTGTCGGAAGCGGTCGGAGAGGTAGGCGATGAGCATCGAGAAGCCAAAGGCTGCGGCCCACGGGGGGATGGAATAGAACTGGGTTTTAATCGCTATGCGGAAGATCAGCTCTGTCTTAGCAATGCGTACGTGGATCGAGCCCGCTTACCTCCGTAGCCGAAGGTCTTGATAATGGTCGGGGCGAAGTAGGCGTATCCTGCTTGCTGTTAGCGAGTGTTTCGCATATCTAACATCCGCCCGACATTCTTACCATAGGCAGTCACCACCTGTCCAAAGTACATCCAACCGCCGATGAAGATTTTGTCTAGAGCGAGTCAGCGAATGTGCAGCAACCCAGGCTCACGAGCCACCTACAATCCTTGAACACGGCCAGAATATCGCGCCAGCCAACCTTGGCATCGACCGCCGACTTGCCCGCATCTTGCGCCAGCTTGTCGCGCAGGAACTCGCGCTCCTCGTGCGTGAGCCACTTGACATCCTCCGGGAAGTCCGGGACAACGAAGAAGCAGCCCATGGCTACCACACACGTGATGATACCCTCGATGATGAACACCCAGCGCCATCCAGCCAGCCCTCGGACCCCATCCATCTTGCCGAGGCCACTCGCGAGCAGACCACCGAAGGCGCCAGCCAGGGTCGTCGAGCTGAAGAAGAAGCTGAATCGCTTCTGCGCCTCGCTGCGCTTATACCACATTCCCAGCAGGTAGAAACCTACGCCCCGCGCCCAGTACATCAATCAGCATGAGTTCAGAGCGTTTCATACACACACACCGCAGGAAACTCACATCCAGGGAACAGTCCGGTCTCAAACATGCCCAGAAACCAGCGCGTGGCCATCAATCCACCCCAATTCTGAACAAAGCCCTGACAAACCATCACCAAGCCAAAACCGAACATACAAAGTGACACTAGATGCACCATCGCATTAGGACTGATTTTTGCGCGCATGACTCAAGACTTGCGATAAACATACACCATGTGTGCGGTTTAAGCTTCTTCATCAACACGTTGGACGGAATCTCGAAAATAACGTACGGCACGAAGAAGATGGTGAGCGCGGTGTTGTATTTCGTGCCCTCGGTGATGTGGAGATCGGATTCGAGGCCCAGGACGGCGGCGTTACTAATGTTCACTCTGCGCGCGTGGTGTTAGATGGAGGGTGCGCGTGGATCGCATTAGAGAAATGCTGCGCTTACCGGTCCAGGAACGCGAGGAGATACATCACACACAGGCACGGTACCACATGCCAGTCGACCTTGGCCATCAGCTTGCGCTCGTTGACGGCCGCATACTGCGACGGTTCCGGCGACAGGTCGCCGTGGTCCACGGGTAGTTTTTCTGGAGGCATCGAGAAAAAGATAGTGGTCAGTGGGTGGTGGGATCGCGGCAGAAGATCGATCGCAAAATTGCGACGTGCGCTGAGGGCTGAGGGGCCTACTCACCATCCACGACCATGGTTTAATGCGCGCACGCTGCAAGGGGTGAATGCAGGTGGCTGCGGAGGTCGTCTGGATGAGGGCGGGGGAGAGGGCGAGGGTGAAGGTCAGGGAAATTGAGAGAAAAAGGCGAGGGAAAGAGGAAAAGAATCGAGAGTCATGACTGCGACTCAAGTACGGGCGCCGATTATTTAAATGAGCAACGAAACGTGCCCGCTGAAGGATGACTCTCTTAGTATCCATTGCCAGAAAAATATGTTGACCCCGACGTTGCAGTGGAGACGAACCACGTCCCAGAACCAACCATTCGATGTAGATCACATTCGACAACACGCTATCGGGAAGCTACTGGTGACGATCGAGTAATCACCAGGTTGTTCGTCGGGGGTTTCCCCTCTCCAACTGTTGCAGCATCTGCAGCTGTGCATCCTGGGGCATGGTCTAGCTTGGATGGCGCCTCGGCTATCCCTGCGGCGGACTCCGATGCCGCTCTCACGGCCACTATAGCTTTTGGCTGATTGGACACAGAGAAGGTGTCGGTCGGCGAGATCGGGATTGCCGTTTGTGGTAATTCAGCAGGTCAGCCTGGAATCAATATTGACTCACTCATACTGTAGTCTTCTGCTCTCATTGCAGTTTCGCTGACTCTTGCCAGCTACTCGTATTTGGTGGACAAGCAGGGTCAGCTGACAATCCACAGCCTGCAGGCTGTCTCTATCCGATGCCGGACTGCGGAATTCCCCGCGCACTGAATCCTGATGGCTTTCCCAATCCCTCTCGGAAATGCTATGTTTTTTCAGCTCTTCACAATGCTATTACTAGACAATCTTTTAGAACCCCGATCCAGACTACGCATTGTGAATCTCACAAAGACCGCGATCGACCCTCAGCAACGGAAAGTGGCGGCCTTTAACAGCATCCACGGATTTGCATCCCCTCCCTCGAGCCTATATTATGGGGAAGCGGGGCGGATCTGCCCCTCACGTCCAATTGCCGACCGCAACCCAACCTGGAATGCCCAGTGCATCGCTCCAGTTTATCTCATTTTGGCGGGTACAATCTTGGATCTCCGATCAATGCATGGTTTTAATGAGTAGACAACTTGTTTCTGCGCGAGCATGGCCTGTTTCTTGATCTATTCATACCCAAGTAGAAGTAGGAGAGGTACGACATGGTTAGTAGGTCAGAGTTAAATCTCCTTCAAAAAACTGTGGGCTTGTTGTTTTTATTTATGCACAAAGGCAGCCGGCTCACTCATGAACCACAAGCACTTCGCAAATATATTCCCGAGTGCGGTCGCGTCGTCGATCCCCAAGGTAAGATAAATTGTGCCTTGATTCTGCGCGATATCAAGTAATACATTTAGCTCAATCCATTTACTACTATAAGAAATAATTCATCAGACTATGAGCCACGAAAGCATGCATCATAGACATCTTTAGTCACGTGACCCATCCCATCTCGATAAAGCCCACAATAATCAAAGCTTGACTTATATCTCATCATTACGATTCGTATCTGAACGATCTAAACTAAATACAAAACCAACAACCGAAAAAGAAAAATCCACAGTGTCATGTACCTCTCGGCGTCCTCCCGAGTCGCTCCCGGTTCTCGCTGATGTGTACATAAATATTCGGCTGTCATTCCATCGTTTCCGTAGTTGTCACACCTTGTGCGACCACCAAGCCACCTTACCCTTAATTAAGTTCCTCCTTCTAGCTACTCTGTAGACCAACATCCCATCTGCCCCCTCTTTGGGCCAATTTAGTAGTGCTGGTAAGTCCCGTAGCTACCGTAGTTGCCGTAGTTTCCATAGTTCCCGTAGCCAGCCGCGGCGGTAGCGGTGGCCGTAGCGGTCGAAGTGGCAGACGACTTGTCCTCCTCAGCGGGCTGCTCGTCGCGCTTGTACGAGCCATAGTTGCCGTAAGTGCCGTAGTTGCCGTAGTCGCCGTAGCTGGCGGGGGCGGCGGTGGTCGTGCTGGCGGCCGAGCTGGTGGAGGTGGAGGTGGCCTTCTCCTCGGGCTGGTCGTCGCGCTTGTAGTTCTGGTAGTTACCGTAGTTGCCATAGTTGCCATAGTCACCGTAGTTGGCGGGGGCAGCGGTGGTGGTGGTGGCCGGGGCGGCGCTGGTGGTCGTGCACGCCTCGTCCTCAGGCTGGTCGTCACGCTTGTAGTTCTGGTAGTTGCCGTAGGTGCCGTAGTCGCCGTAGTTACCGTAGTTTCCGTAGTTGGCGGGGGCGGTGGTGGTAGTGGCAGCAGCGGTGGTAGTCGAGGATGAAGCAGAAGCATCGGCATCCCGCTTATAGTTCTGGTAGTTACCGTAGCTGCCGTAGTCTCCATAGTTGCCGTAGTTGCCGTAGTTGGCCGGGGCCGTCGTGGTGGAAGCGGCGGAGGAGGTGGAAGAAGAGGAGCAAGAAGAAGCAGGCTCCTCGTCGTCCCGCTTGTAGTTCTGATAGTTGCCATAGGCACCATAGTTGCCGTAATCACCGTAGTTGCCATAGTTGGCGGGGGCAGTGGTGGTGGTGGCAGCAGCGGTAGTGGTCGAGGTAGCTCCCTCGGCCACCGGAGCAGCGCTCACGGCGAGCAGGTTGCTGCCCAGCACGAGCAGGAGACTCTTAGAGAGGGAATGCATATTTATCTTATGTATTAGAGTGAGACGGGAGGAAAAGAGGAGAGGAGATCTAGGACAACTGCAGACGTGGTTGGGAGACTGCAAGGAAAGGCCGGAGCGCAGGCTGTATTTATAACTGTGTCTGCGAGATTTATTTCATGCTGCGGATCCATGATTAGCAGCAGGGGGCAGCAGCAGCAGCAGCAGCAGCAGCAGCGGGAGCAGCAACAGTAGGAACAACAGCAGTAGTAGAGCTCTGCTATAGTCTATAGACCGGCGTGAGGAGGCAACCTACATACAAGTGGCAGCATGATTGGCCACGTCTCGGATTGTACCATCATCTGGAAGTGTGAAGAGAGGCCAAGGAGACGCGCATGCCAATCAGGACATGAAGAGCAAATGGGGACCCATCGGGGATCCAGGTTACATCTCGTTTGCCTCACGGCTTGACCGTGGAGCATTCACTATAGGCCTGATTCAGATTACTCTGCAAGCCGAGAGATGAGCCTCTCCGCAGGCGGAAAGAAGGAGGAGGAAGAGAAGCCTCGGTCGGACGGCGGAAATGGTCCGATGCGGGGGGGGAGTGGAAGATGAATGATGTCGAAGGCAAAGTTAGCATGTAAAAGGCTAGAAGCAGGATTTGACGAGCAGTGAAAAGTAAGGCATCTTTGCGTCATGTCTCAGATGGACTCCTCTTGGAAGAATGCGGAGCTGCAAAAGCCGTAAAGATGCTGTAAGGCGGGCAACAGCGGATGAGACAAACATGCGGCTAAGCGGCGGGATGTCTCACTGTGAGCAAATGAGCGTCGCTCCCGCAGGCTGGGCACAATGCATGGGCCATGTCTTACTCTTCCCCATCCCGGGTCACACCCGTCACATATTGATTATTGATGGCCAGCGTGGAAATCCCAAGAACTTTACGGCTTACTGTACTCAGTACGAAAGATATTATTAGCATCTTCCGGAGGGTCACGGAGACGATGCTCGAAGAAGAAAAATACTAACTCCGCTTGGATGATCCACCCCAGGTCATCACCTCATGCCACTCAACTTCAACCCTAAGAATAAACAGTCGGCCTGATCCCCTCCCCATCCCCCCCGTTTACCTTCCTGAAGATTCTAGTTTCTTTCACTCGGGCTGTTTTGTTTTTCCTTTTCAACTTCATTCTTCCCCTCACCATGAGTCTTCCCAGGGATACCGGTTCCTTCGATGACAAAATGCACTCCTCCGAACGGTCCACTTCGACAGACCGGGAGAGGCTTCTTGTAGATGAGGAAGCCACGCACTGGTCGCAGAATCACGCTTCGTCCAAGTCATTTCTAGGAGGGTGGTTACGAGTGCTGTTTGTAATCGCAGTAGCAGTTCTGTCGTGTTTGATTGGGGTTTTCCTTGGACACAACCAGAGAGACTTGGATAAGTCGTGCACGCGGCGGACCACTCAATACTGTAAGTCCCGCACCCTACGAATTCTCGATGATTGGGGAATGAAAATCTCCCTCATGGGGCGAGTCGAAGTCAGTACAAGGCTAATGCGATTGCAGCACCGGTCATCGGACAAGTCGGGTTGAAGTACCACCAACAACTCTTCAACGGCTCCCTCCTGAAGCAAAACATCTTCCGCGAGGATGCCAGCCCTGAAGTCGACGCTGCCTGGGAATCCCTCGGTGCCAACTGTTTGTGTCCACTTGCTAAAGACCCGTGATGTTCCACTAACCTGCATCATAGACCGTGCAATCAGAGTGCCTGTCGAAGACGCCGAGAAATCCGGCTTGGCAGCCGACCAAGTGAAGATCCGGGAGAAGTATGGCGGTGGTTATCCCGCCAACGTGGAGGGCTTCCACCACTTGCACTGTCTGGTATGCTTGTACTCCCTCGTTTCGGGGCTTGGCCATTAATAAGATCAGAATCTCCTCCGTCAATCCCTGTACTACAACTACGACTACTACCACAAGCTTGGCAAGGGTGCCTTCACCAACGACGATTTCATTGTCCGACACCACGTCTGTAAGTGACGGCTTTGCTCGAGCTATCAAATTCCCGTGCTAACGATCTGCAGCGCACTGCCTCGATGTCCTCCGCCAGCAGCTCATGTGCAGCCTCGACGTCGGAGTCCTGGGCCAAGTCTGGGTGCATCCCGAACACCCCGAGCCGTTCGTGGACTTCAACACGGAGCACAAGTGCCGCAACTTCGACGAGATCCGGGAATGGGCGGAGAAGCATCAGCTGCCAGAGTCGGTGCCGTCCGATTTCTTGGAGCCGCCCAAGTTGACCGACCGGGTGTATAAAGAGATTCCATGAGAGATGTCTAGAATGTATATATGAATGTAATATAGCCTCAGCGATTAAGTTTTTGCTATCATTTTCGTTCAGACCTTAGTATAAGGAGCGGGATGGCTCATGTCGAGCCCTAACCTCTTCTGCAGTAGATATGTGCTCTTATGGCCTCGGATGTAGGCGACACGACCATACTCACTTTACTCTATAGTTGAGGGAAAGCAAAGACGACTAGTCGTTTGACTTCACCTATCGATTTTGATAGTCAACTCATTCTGAACATATCGCTTCAGATTCAGAGAAGTACCCAGAGCTCAGTCCCAGAGGCGAGTGGAGATACCAGTATCCCGCGTGGAAATACCAACCAGCCCGGATAAACCCGGTCCGGTGCCGAGCCCGCACCCAATCTCTGGCGCCACAGAAATCTCCTCTCCGTCCTTCTTCAAGCCACACATTCCACACCCCATCCAACCCATGCATCCATCTTTCCACTGCAGAGACACCATCAACACCGCCACAAATATCAACCAACCAACCACTAACTGAACAAAATCCAACCCCAAAACTCAATCCAACCCACAAAGAACACCCCAGCCCACAAAATGAACATCTCCCAAATCTCCACCACCCTTACTCCAACCCCACAAACCCACCCAACAAGCTGCCTCGCCCTCTCCAGCACCCTAACCAGCTACCTGGCACACATCCTTCCCAACACACCAGACTTCACGCTCTCCATCGGCAGCGGCTCGGGGCTTTTAGAGGCGTTAATTACGCACCGCCATCCGGACGTCGTAGTCGAAGGCGTTGAGGTCTCCGCGGATGTGAACCGGTACCTGGAGGAGCTGGACCTGCATGTGGTGCCGGGCACGTGGGAGGTGCATTCTCGGGCGGCGCGCGCGCGGGCCTGGATGTTCGTGTATCCGCGGGAGCCGGCGCTCATCCGGCGGTATCTGGAGTGTTTTTCGGGGGTGCGGGTTGTTGTTTGGTTGGGGCCGGTGGTGGATTGGGGGGATTATCGGGGGTGCTTTGGTGAGGGATGGGAGGTCGAGGTTCCGCTATCGGAGAAGGTTGGGGTTGCGGGGTTTGAGATGGTGGTTGTTTTGAGGAAAGAGGGTTGAGGTTCTTTGGGATAGGAGGGGATCGAAGGGGTTTGGGATGAGAGGGGTGGTGCATGCAGATGCATGTGGTTGTGCTGTGCGGAATGCTGGTTGAACGCGTGAGCTCTATGCTTGGGATGCAGGTCGGTGCTGAGGCTGTGCGCTCTGCGTACTGCTTCATATGCACATCCCGGCTGTTGCAGATGGTCCTCTGCGTTGACCGCTAGTTGCACTATGTCAGGACTGATTTTGGGAAGCCGCATGCCATGCTGCAACGGGAGCCGATAACTTGTGGCGGAATGATACCATGACTCAGCTCTTCTCGCCTCGACCGTGGAAAAAAGCTCGCCGATAGAATCTATGGCTTGAATGAGTCGTTACAGTCACTGCGATTAAATTTGATATGATACACGCACAATTTACTCGAGATCAAAGCGCATGGCTCGAGTTATCGAAACTCCCCGGGAGAAAGAAAATCTTGAATAACTCAGCGAGCCCCATCTCATCCCACTGTCTGGATTCGAGATGACAGGTGCGTATCAGTACGGATGTCTTATAACTTCCTCGAGACGAACAAAATGAAAGCAAGACACGGAACAACTCTCGACGATAATCGCGCGTCCTTAATCTGCTTCTGTCGCAGATGCCGTTAGGGCTAGGGGGACCCCCTGACTCACTACGGTTCTACGGTGGGGTGATCTTGCTCCACCCGTCATGCATCGGCGATCTAGACCCTGATACCAAGACTTGCCAATCGTCTCAGAGCTTCACCATTGTCTTCTTCAGTCAAATAAATTGACAGGCAGGTTATCTCCGGGAAGATGTCAGATGGGGACCCACAATCAAGTTCCTAGACTTTTGTGGGTTAATGGTGGAGCAGACTAGTATGGGTAGAATTCAACCTTAGAGATTCGTCAGTTGAAAACATTATCCATTCATTAATTAAGGGAGATAATACAGAGACTGAGAAAGGTAAAGCATTCCATGGAAAGCAAACAGATCTATTGAAGGCAAGCAATCTATGATACCAATCCAAGCCCAGGACGGAAGAACCTCAACGCACTACAACAAAAACCAACCTCACAGAACAGCCACCTTCTCACCGCCCTTCAACCAGCGAACCTTATCAATGATGCCATCATCCTCGAAAGCCTGGCGCAACGCCTCGCCAAACTGCGTGAAGTGGCCCCAAGACTCATAGTGCATGGGCACCAGAACATCCGCCTTGAGCGCGCGGAACAGCCTGGCACCGTCCTTCCCGCCCATCGTGATCTGCATGCGCGGACCGTTCGGATCCTCGGTTGTGGGCGCATGCGCATTGCCCAGGTTCATCACCGCGGCGCAGACGTGGTACCGGTCGGCGATGGCGTTCAGCTCCTCGATGTAGACGGTATCGCCCGTGAAGTAGATGGCGTTGGGGAGGCCGTCGCGGCCTTTCCCGAAGTTCTCGGCCGTCACCAGGAAGCCCGTGCACTCGTCGCCGGGGACATGCTGGGTGGGCGTGGCGATGATCTTGAATGGCTGGCCGGCGATTGAGAGGGTGATCTCCTCCCAGGGCTTCATGCCGTGCACCGCGGGGCGGGGCGCGAGGTTCTTGGCGCCGTCGACCGTCGTGAAGACGCGGCGGCCGTCGAGGAGCTGCCGGCCGAGCTCGTCAAGGTTGTCCGGGTGGTCTTCGTGGCTGAGGAGGACGGCGTCGATGACAGGGAGCTGGTCCAGGCGCAGCGCTGGGTCATCCTCCACGCGGAGCACGGCCCGGCCGAGATCCCACTCCGTGCCGGCTGGGGAGAAGAAGGGGTCCGTCAGGAAGTTGACGCCGTTGATCTCGAGAATGGCGGTGGCGGTGCCGACGTGCGTGACGTTGAGAGTGGGAGCCATAGTGGGTGAGAAGGCTAGAAAGGAAGATTGAGAGGTGCGAGTACCTGAAAAAGACAGAAGAATCGGGTATACAGTGAGTGTTGTACTTTGGAGGATATCCGCAGACTTGAGCGAGGTTTGAACAACATTCTGGAGCTTGACGGGCGTATTTATATTTTGAATCTAGGCTCCAGATTCCAAACTAAATTTTCTTGTGGAAGGCCTGACAAATTCACATCAAAATCTGATAAATGTGCGAAGGACCATTAAACACAAAATCAAAGATTTGCCGTCGGCATCCCGCTTCGGAGCATGGACATTAACTACCGACTCTTAGATACTAATACATTAGGTCATTTGGAACCACTTGTCAGAAGAGGGATGCCGACAGGCGGAATGCCGATGAGTGGGATCCCGACAAGCGGGATGGACATCGGGCGCTCCGGCTATGCAATCACGCTCCACAAATTGCTGGAGATTTTGATATGAATTATATTTATCCGAGCTTATGGAGCTGAAGACGTGCAATTTCGGAGTCCCTGTTAAAAGCAAGGTTAGCTTGTATCAGCGAACAGTCAACGGTCTCTACCTAGAGCTTGTCTAGTCGTGGGCTATCTTCCCACCAGGAATATTGCCGAAACAGCGCTCTTTCTTTCAAAATAGCTAGCGATTGCCAGTGTCACATTTCATTTCAAATACACTAAGAGACTATCCTGTTTGTCTTTAACATGTACAATTTAGTTTGTTAAACAAGATCTATCCAGAACCATCGCATCCTCGTATGTCTCCTGCTGTCTGCATCCGCTCCATCGCCTGAATCATTGGGCTCGCCTTCTTTATCCGATGCCTATAAGAATAAAAGACAACTGGGATATAAATACAGGCTGTCCCAACCAGACCTAAACGAGTGCTGGCCCAATCCAGCCCCAGCGTGGCATATATCAAGGGCCCGGCCAGCGGCAGGCAAGCACCCATGATGCTGCGGAAGAACATGTTGCCTGCCAGCGCCGATGCCGTGTAGATCCAATACGAGGACGGGCAATATAGTTACTTGCGTAAATGAACACACAGGCATTACCTGCCCCAAATGGAAGCCCGGAGAGAATGGGCACAGTCCAGTGAACGTTGGGCGTGCACGTCCAGGCGAACCACGGTTGGCCGATGGATAGGAGAACGCACCAACACAAATAATACTGGTCATTGCCTCGGGCGCCACATCGCCGGCTTCTGGGTCCTTGCGGTGCAGGTTGATGACCCTGCGCAGGAGCGGTTCGCATGCGAGTACCAGCAAAACACCCACGCCGATGCCAATGAACGAGAGACCGCCGATCACCGGAGACCAGCCCCGATCAGTCTGGAAGGCGATTGGGTAGGTAACGAAACACAGAGAAAGGACACCGTAGACGATCGCAACATAGGTGTCCCGGAATATGCTGGAGTCTCTGGTCTCCTTCCGCACTTTTGCTGCCCGTTGTCGAAGGATTACCGGTGCGTATGTTTCCTTGATGCAAAACATCAAAGCAAGTACCGCGCCGCCGATGATTAGAACGATCCAGTTCGTCCATCGCCAGCCAAGGTCTGGAACACAAACCCCCCAATAACGGGACCATATACTGGACCATTGGTCGGCCCAATGGACCAGGTTCCGGATTCGATAGCGCGGTGTTTGTCCGATACCAGATCATTTACCAATGCCGGCGAATTCCCCATAATCGCACTTCCGAAGAAGCCGCCAAAGAATCGACTGATAAGATTTGCCTCTATGTTCTTGGGCAAAGCACTTGGAAGAATGAGTACGATAAAAAGGGCTTGTTGACTAGACTGATGATCGTTGGCCAATAATCTCGCTGAGCGGCGCGAACACAATAGTCCCGAAAGCCATCCCAAGAAGATAGGTGGTGACGCCCAGCAAGCCGACAAGCTTAGAGACCTGGAACTCTTCCTGGATCCCTGGCAGCCGAAGGTTTATAACGTGCTGAACAGGCTGATGACTGTCGCCCCGAGACTCATGGTCACCACACTCAGGCCTTTGTACCAAGTCGGCCAATTGCGAGTTTCCCCGGGTTATTGAATTCCCAGAAGACCTTATACTCTGGTGGACTCACTCTTGATGCTAGGCAACTTGGAGAGGGTGGGCTCGATGGTTCGTTTTGTGTAGCCTTCTGCATCTGCAGTATAACTGCGAGTCAGGGCAGGCTCTTCGTTCAAGGGGCTTCTGAAGCCAGGATGATGGGACAACGTCAATGCAGCAATACTGTGTCAAAAAAACTGGAGAAAGGAAATTGGTAATGTCAATGGTTTGGCTGAGTCCACCAAATCCCTGCAGGTCTGGGTTTCTATTTCTATTTCTATATAGATCTGCTGCGCGGGAGAGACCGAGTGGGATGCCGATGGATGGTCAGAGCTTAGTAAACGACGGAAAGAATGCTGGAAACTTTTGCCACGGGCCTAGTAGCAGTGCTTGCACTTTCCCTCTTCTCTTTCCCTCCTTCAAAAATGCAGCTTTCAAATGTCTGGTCGCAAATCAGAAAGATAATCAGCCTCTACGACGACAATGTCGTCTCAATCGACTATCGGCTCCGCATTGTCTAGTTTCCGATGCGTATATCCAGGGTGCCGCTCGAGTTACCAGCGCCGAGAACATTTGAACCGGCATTTAACGCGCCATAACCAAGACCAGCGCTTTTGCTGTCCTCATTGCACGAGTACCTTAGCCAGAAGGTATGCCCCTTCGACAGAACCTTTCGCGCACTCTCATGAGACTGATTAATGTACAGCGATCTCTTACGCCGCCATGTCCGAAATTACCATCCCGACAGGCGGCCTCCCCCATCCCGGACGCAAAAGGCATGCAGCAACTGCCATGTCCGAAAGGAACGTTGTGACGGTGGAAGTCCATGCGGTCGCTGTGAGCGAAGGGGAGTCGCCTGCTCACGCCTTAGCCCTGAGATTCCTCAGGAAGACCGAAATACCCCAGAGACCCACGAGCTTCTCACCACCGATCTCGTTGCTTCGATGTCTAACGCGTCCCGGTGGGTTGGCCAGGACTTCATCGATATCTACTTCAATGACTTCCATCCTGTCTGGCCGTTCCTGCATCGAGGGACGTTCAATCTCCCCAAAGAGCCCTGTATCCTGCTCCAATCCATGTTGATGATTGGGTTGTGGATCAAAGGAGACCGCGAGGCGCGGAACACGGCGATGAATCTTCATCAGAGACTACTCTCCGCGATTCAAGTCCAGAAGGTGGGTTCCCACGCCATGATTTGATTCGAAGAGGTAGTATAAGACCGAACGCTGACGTTCCACAGGATCAATGGTATGTAGCAGAATCGACGCAACCACGCAACAACAACAACAAACCATGGCCCATGGCTACATACCAGAGCATCCTGCTGCAACTGATATTCGCTCTGCTTGCAGCGAAGCAAGAGACAATGTTTGATTTGAACCTTCGTTGTCCACTCTCCTCATCCGCATACGAGCTTCTCACCTCCCTCGTGGCGACCTGCCGCAGACTGGGTCTGTTCTCTTATCCAAATATGCTCGCTCAGCATGACCCTACAGCGCCGGTCGCGCTAGTCTGGGTGAGTGTGGAAGAGACCAAACGTTTTGGCTTGGCCTTGTACAAATTATGTCGGGCGTGTAGCCAGACGAGCACAGACAGGACAGGGTCGACAAGTGGGCTCTTAACACTCGCGGACTTGGACTTTTGTATACCTGATAGCGATGAGAGGTGGAATGCTTCATCGGATGTCGCAGCGGAGGGTGGGCGATTAATGGGGTTGCAGCAGGCCTGCCGGGATAATCGCAGCCCCAGTAGCTGGATCTCACATGCGTCTGTTCATCTGCATGATGCTCGTGTTAATCTGGACTGGATATGATTTTCAATGATGGACACCGACTCTTGATCTTGAGACCAAGGGCGTTGGGATAAAAACCAGTAGTCAGCCAGCATTCAGATAACCGCAAGCCAGACGTAAGGCTTGCGAGCAGCCTTGGGAACCTTCTGAAAGGCGGTCTTGGCGAAGCCTCCACCTGCTGCACCCATTGTCAGGAGTAAGACCCGATGGAAAGGAAAGAATTCAGTGGAACGGTGGACAGTCGGCAACTGTTCTTCCCACATAGTGTAGGATGTCGCTGGGGTATCTATGACAATGGCTCCCATAGTCACAGCATCGTACAGTCTGATATAGACCTCGAGTGCTATGCCATGCCATGCCAATTCGGGGTGCGTCGGACGACATGCGGAGGTGGCGCAATATGCGTGGAGTAATGACAGAAGTTGTCTCGATTCCAGTCGCTGGAGAGCTCCGAGCTCCGAGCATTGATTGCTGGAGCATTCCGACGCATTAGCGGCGTTGAATACGGGCAGGGCCCATCATCCGAGACTTACAATCCGGGGTAGAGAAGGCATGCTTGTAATGTATTAACCACAGGTTAGACGAGGCCTGTCTTTGCTACTTCTATTGCTCATGTCCGCTCTCTCCACGTGTCTTTTATGTTTGTTCTTGGCATACTTTGTGTATTCATAGCATCGCGTTCACAGTTTGTTCTTGACCCATGTGATTGATGATCTGAAGTGAAAAGACGCGATTATCGATTTCTAACCTAGTCGTACTAAAATACATGCAAACACTATTCTAACTAACTTCAAGCCAGAGCAGTGGCTTAGATATAATTCAAAGCACTACCAGCCCGTAGCCAAGCAATCTGACCAGCATGATAGCTATGGTTCAACTTCGCCTCCCATACCTGACCCTCCCGCGGCGTTACTTGCATGACTACCTGCGAGCCAGGTTGGAGTTCACCATCTTCCACGCCGACTAATGTGATCCGATCGCCCTCGGCAATGCGATCGTAAGTAGCCGGGTCATCAAAGGTGAGTGAAAGCATGCCCTGCTTCTTGAGGTTGGTCTCGTGAATTTGAGCAAAAGAGCGCGCGATCACTGCTACACCTCCCAGATACCGCGGCTCCAGCGCTGCGTGCTCGCGCGAGCTACCTTCGCCGTAGTTGTGATCTCCAACGATGCACCATCTGGCTGCACTGTGCTTGAGGTCCCGTGCTACTTTCGGGACAACCAGTAACTCGGATGTGATGGGATGGCGTGTATGGCCCAGCAATTGCGGGTCATTGGGAGGAAGGAACGCATTGGTCGCGGTGGTAAGCATGTTGTTGCTGATGTTTTCCAAGTGGCCTCGGTACTTGTACCACGGCCCAGCGGGAGAAATATGGTCTGTCGTGCACTTTCCCTTCACCTTGATGAGCAACGCCATCCCCTCTGCAATGCCTTTCTACCAAGGCGGGAAGGGCTTCAACAGCTGTAACCGGTCCGAGTCGGGACGTATAGCCACAGATTCAGCCTCACCGTCAGACAAGGGCGGCTGGAACAGATCATGTCCACTCAGGAAACGAGCAGGAAGTTCCTCACCTACGGACGGACTCAGTCGAACACTGCCGTTCTCCGTCTCAATACTGTCAGTCAACGGATTGAAGTCCAGTCGACCGCCATAAGCAAACGCAGTGACCAACTCCGGAGACGTGACGAAGGAATGGGTAGCTGGGTTGCTGTCATGGCGACCGATGAAGTTACGGTTGAAGCTGGACACTACCGAGTTCTTCTCCTTCTTGGCCACGTCCTTTCGATCCCATGAGCCGACACAAGGGCCGCATGAGCTGCTGAGAACCACTGCTCCGGCATCTCGTAAGTCTTGCAAAATGCCATCAGCTTCGGCAGTCGCGCGGATTCTTTCGCTTCCAGGCGACACCATGAAAGGTGTCTTGAATTTGGTAATGCCCGCCGCGCGGACTTGCGACACAATCTGACGTGCTTTGTCCAGGTCTTCGTAGGAGCTGTTGGTGCAGCTGCCCACCATGGCGTGGCTCAGCTCAACCGGCCAATCCTGTCCAGCTACCGCCTCCTTCAGTTTGGAGATTGGATGCGCTAGGTCGGGAGTATATGGACCGTTGACGTGAGGCTCCAGTGTTGTCAGATCAAGCTCGATGATGTGGTCGTAGTAGTTGTCCGAGCCCTCATCGGCTGTCAATAATGCTTCCCTCGCGTTTCCAGCGTCGATCTTCGCCACGTTGTCCGCTCGCCCAGTGGCCTTCATATACCGGCCCATCGCATCGGAATACGGGAAGATGCACGACGTTGAACCGATCTCCGCGGACATGTCACAGATGGTCGCCATAGCCGTTGATCCCAGCGTCTGCGTGCCAGGCCCGAAGAACTCAATGACGCGCCCTTTACCACCAGAGACACTCAGCAGACTGGCCAGCTTGCAGATAATATCCTTGGTGGAGGTCCAACCCTGGAGCTGTCCCGTCAGACGCATACCGACGACCTTAGGTGCCACCAGCTCCCACGGCATGCCCGACATGGCATCCACCGCATCTGCGCCTCCAACTCCAATCCCAAGCATCCCCAGACCACCAGCATTAGGGGTGTGCGAGTCCGTCCCGATAATCAATCCACCCGGCCTAGCCTCATCAGTCACGCATCTAGTCATACCTGCAAGGGAAAACACTTACACAGCATTATTCTCAAAGATAACAGTATGTATAATCCCGGAACCGGGCTTCCAGAACCCAATCCCATACTTCCGCGACGCACTGCTCAGGAACTCATACACCTCCCTATGCTCAGTCTGCGCGCGAAGTAGATCCTCCTCCGCGCCTTTTTCCGAAATAATCAAATGATCGCTATGAACAGTAGTGGGGACCGCCACGCGCGGTAGCCCGGCACTCATGAACTGCAGCAACGCCATGGTCGCCGTCGCATCGTGACACGCCACGCGGTCGGGGCGCAGCTCCAGAATACTTTGTCCGCGCTGGATCTTCTCAAGGTCCCATTCTCGTTTGCCGGACGTGATCAAGTGGCTGTAGAGCAGTTTTTCGGTCAGTGTGAGCGGACGCTTCGAGCCTTGCTTCAGACGTTCGAGGTTGCGGGCTTGGTGCGCGTAGTTGACGGCGGAGTGCTGTTCGCACGGTATGAATAGTGGATCGGTCTCAGTTTGTGGATAAGAGAGAGAGGGCAGAGATCCTTACTGCAGAAGAGGCCGGCTGCGTTGCGAAATGTCTTGCGCTTCGGAAAGGGTGGCGGGCTCGCTTGGCACCTTGTAAGGAGGACGGTAATCGCTGCATCTTTGCTTTCGGGTATCAATTGTCATTGATTGAAAGCATAGTATGAGAATGAACAGAAGAAGTTGAAGTTCGAATTACCATTTCTTCTTCCTCTAGAACTACAGGTATTACTCGGATAGATGCTCGTGCCTCGGGATTTTTGGTGCTGTCGGGAGAAGCCCGGGCGCGGGCAGGGTGAGTCCGCGCGGTGTAATTCGCGATACGGGGGCAGTACCTTTCAGTTCCCGGCAGCCAGCTTCACTTTATACATGCACCAGGTCTCGAGCATATATTCTCAATAACCCAATATCTTGTAAGAACGATTCAGATACTTTCCGTGTGCTCAACTGGCTTGTCAGCGGCTTTTGTTGCTCTCAATTTGTGGAGAAAGCTTGGCTGTCCGGGCCCTATGCCACAACAATTACGATGAATTACCCTCCGTAAGCATCAACAAGTTATACCCGGAGTAGTCCGAGGCCAAAACTTCACCTCGACCTGCACGCAGTATGTGCTCATCTCTCAACAGGGACAAATCAAGTCAGGTCTGTCTCTGGCAATTCTCTTCGAGCGCCGAGCATTGTGAGCAAATATCACATTCTATCCCGCTGTATCTTCAACACCTCTCACACCAAATGGCCCTACGATCAGAGACAATCCAAGCCCTGCGGAGGTTTGCATTCTGTGACGTGAGTTGCTCGAAAAGAAAAGTTCACCACCATGCGGACACAGCTCATCTACTTCAGATCGGAGATGCCCTCGTGAAACTCGGTGTCCCAAACGGCGGCTACCTCCCGGGCCTGAAAATGTTCTCACCGGGGGTTAATGTGCACTAGAATCAAGATCTTCGGGCCAGCGTACACGGTGCGCATGGTACGGGATTCAGACAAAGCCTCGCCGACACCACCCACGCACTTCGCCGATGCGATCCCCAAGGGGAGCGTGGTGTTCGTCTCGCAGCCGAAAGACTGGTGAGCGCGTGCTGGGGCGGACTGATGAGCACGCGGGCCCAGAAGCTCGGGGCCGCGGGTGTGGTGATTGACAGCCGGTTTCGTGATGTGGCGGAGCATCAGAGCCTGGGCATTGGGCTGTTCGCGCGGGATGTCAGTATTCTGGGGTCGGCGAGTTTCACTCGGTCGTCGGAATTGAATGTCCCTGTTACATATTCAGAGGGTAATGCCGGTGAGAGTGTGGTGGCTCAGCCCGAGGATTATATTGTTGGGAATACGGATGGGGTTGTTGCGGTGCCTGTTGGGAAGGTGGAGAGGCGTGTTGAGCTTTGTCAGGAGCGGTATGAGATTGATGAGGAGACGCGAAGTTGTTTGGAGCGCGGAGAGGTGATGGGGGCTACGATTAAGCGGTTGAGGAAGTGCAGGGCGTTCATGCTCCTGACAGGGTGGGTAGGGCTTAGGGATAGGATCACATAAGATACTTGCGACTTCTACCAAGGATTCAGTCATTCACATAGCGATATCCTGAGCTCTTGTAACAATAGTAATACACCTGCAGTGAGACTAGGATACTTGACAGTAAGAGTTAATTTCGCAGTAGGATAGTACATACTAACTCGTACAATTCATCCTTGAAACTTCCTCGTATTCTGCTATTAAGAAGTGGATTTTGCCTTAACTGCGTCTAATCCAAACTGAACGTGTGCTTCACTTGTGCAGTCGTGAACAGAACCTGCAAAAAGCTGACTGGCACAACACAAAATGGCAATATATCTTGAGTGAAGAACCGCCGTTACTACTCAGTCACGCACAAAAAGGCATATAGAGTCCGGAACTCCCTACAAGATATCTTCACTTCGTGAAATACAGGCACTACGAGTGCAATACTCATATACTTTATATGCGGTAGGAGATCAGGTGATTATCCCCGCACTCCGGATGCTTATGTAACCGCACGAGCCAACGGCCTCATCCGGAAATCGCAGTCCGTCTTGGCCAGCGAACCTTGCATGATCATCTACATTCCACATACTCAGTCTTTCGCGCGTGAGTATCGATGAGCCCGAGATCGCAAGATGCTACTGCACCCACGCCGGCCAAGAAGGTCCGTCTAGCTTGTCGACGCTGCAGAGCTAAACGCATCAAGGTGCGTCAGTAATTCGGGAATCCTGATTGGATGTGTCCTCGGCTGCCGGCTAACATTGAACTGGCATTCATGATCTATCCCAACAGTGTGACGGGGGAATTCCAGCTTGCTCCAACTGTGCCCGTGCAAAAGTCAGCTGTGTGGATGTGGACGGTCGCAACAATGACATCTCCATTCCCCGCGAGTACGTGCCGCTGCATCGTTCATCTTCGCAGACCACATGTAATCTATCAACCCGAGAACTGACGGGATACCAGCTACGCGGCGCGATGCCATGCGCGCATCGAATGGCTGGAAGAGCAGATCCTGCTGCTTGACCCCAGCTTCGATCTCTCCAAAGGGCCGCGGATTGACCAGTCCGTCATCGGAAACCAAAGTCAAGGCAGGACGCCAGCGGCTACTCCGATAGGGAGTACAGGGATGCAAGCCCCATTGGCACTGGGAGAGTCCAACACCAGGAAGCGACCATATGACGCTGTGCACGTAGCCGACTGTGAGATTATGCCACGAACGCCGGTCCAGCCACCAGGCACAGAGCACGCGGACTCTGTGCCATCCGCTCAGCAGACGTCCGATAGGGACCCGGCACCATCTGCCGAAGCACGCTCCATAGCCATGGACCTGGGCATGCTGTCTCTACATTCCGACTCTCGACAGAAATACTATCTGGGATCATCTTCTGGTCTGTTCTTCACGAAGCTGATTGGCGCGGACAGCCCTCTGTCCCCAGCTACATCTCTATCGTCGCCCGGTACGCGAGTGAGTCAGAAACGCCGCAGTCGGCAGGGTCCGCCTGCTGAGGCATATCGCCTACTATATAATAAACTTAGGAAGGTATGCATGACCAAATTTACAATATGCTCGAGAGAGGGAGTTCCCCGTCAAATTCCTCCATGGACCCGACATACACACTATTGTGAGACAGGTCTTCTCTGACATAATTCCAGGACCTGCCTCCGCCAGGAGAAGCCCATGATCTGATTGCCATTTACCTGCAAGAGCTCCACATCGATCACCCGTTTCTGCACGCCACCTCTCTGTTCAACGCGTACAACGCCCTCTGGTTCTGCGCCGAACGTGGCTATGAAGGGAACGTGGACCCGAACGGGTGGCCGGAGGAGATGGAGCCATTTTCTTACAATGGGAGATTTGACAAGACGGCTGACCGGGACGTGACGCCTATCTCGATCTTTGCCGCCGCTCTCCACGTTTTCATGGTGTTATCCCTGGCCGCGACGGTTTTGACACGCAACAAAAACTTCGAGTACCCGCCAGCACGGTTCTACGCTATCGCGTCGTCCGCTGCAGCCGAATGCCTATCTGTGATTTCCGTAACTGCACTCCAGAGCGTCCTACTCTTCATCGTGCAAGGCATGGTAGGCCCCACCAACCTTAGCATTTGGACATTGGTGCATATCGCCATGTCTCATACGATTGATCTCGGGTTACATCGGGAACCGAAAGATGATTCTGACAGTTCGCCTACCGCTCTTGCTCTGAGGCGATTGATCTTCTATACGGTCTATAACCTCGACCGGTATGTTTTACTTCTCTCTGTCTCGCCGGATTGGCCGTCTGATGGTAGTGTAGGTCTATCTCGACCATTCAAGGACGACCCCTTGGCATCCGCGACGAGACCTTCGACATTCGCATGCCGGGTCTGAACGAATTCGTGGTCGACGAATCGGCGAGTTCAAGTGCCGACAGCCATTCCGAACTGCGATTCTCCATCTACCGTTTCCAGTTGGACGGGTTGATTTCCGAGATCAAGCTACTATTATACCACTTGCCCAATCGAGGAAACGCCATCAGATGGCCGACCGACTACTCGGGCGAACAAGCGCGCATCAAGGCGGGTCTCGATCACTGGCTCGAAGGTGTCAGGACCACCCGCGCGTCCGAGGAACTCACCCAGGATGAAGACCACGCCATCAAGCGTCAGAGCAGAATACCCAAGCTGGAAGTCCTGTACCACGGCGCCATCACGCTGCTCTACCAGCCGTCGCAGGCCTTCCCCTCCCCAACCCAGACCGCTCTACTCCACTGCTATCGCAGCTCTCGGGACCGAATACACATCTACAACCGGCTCAACAGCCAGGAGAACCTCTACTACACGTGGCGCAACATCCACGGAATCTTCTCCTCCGGCGCCACCATCATCTACTGCTTCTGGGCCTCCCAGGATATTCAAGCCGTGGTGCCGTTCAAGGAGGCCCTGCAGTGTCTGCGGGTGTGCTCCAACCTGCTCAGTATTGGCGGCCAGTGGTGGCCGTCGGTACGCAATGGGAAGGAGAACTTCGACCGCATCGTCGACCTCACCGTCGAGCGCTTGAGCCAGAAGCATCATGCCAGCGCGACCGGCCAGAATGTGCTGCCTGGCCCTGGCAGTCTGGCAGGCCTAACCGGACCGGTCCAGACACACTATCCCACTGTTCCGACCGATGGCAACCTGCAGGAAGCGGTCGATCATCTGCTGGGATTGGCGTCAGTCGCGTGCGACGGGCTTGGGCCAGACTTCGACCAGGCCTCGCACGATCCGATCATGGAGAGCTTTTTCAGCGAATACTTGCAAAGGGACTGGAGCTGGGACCCGTTTTCGACGTCGTTGGACCCTCTGCCTTGATAGTCGGATTAGGTACCCAGAGGGAACAGTTGAATGGCTACTCCGAGCGTCGCGAAAGACCGCAGTGATAGGGAAAAGTTAAGAGGGAAAGTGAGAACCCTTCTCGCTGCTTGGCGTGAAAGTGGTCTTGCCACGTAGCCAGAACCTCAGAGTCAGTGCAGTTCTTGTCGACAGTGCAAAGATTATAGTGCTCCCACGCATCCATGCACATGGGCATGAAAGACAAATCTCGAAATCGGCTGCAACGTCCCCGAAACGTGATCTAGATATACATTATCCTCTGTGTTCGCAGCAGGGATTGGCCGACCCTGGGCTATCCGGTAAAATCTCGGCAGCATCAAGCTGCGGCCGTCAAGCTGCCAAGGATAGCTTTCCCAGGCAGGAAACACCTCCACCAGACTGGGACCCTTGAAGCCCGAGATGCAATCCTTGGAATGGGCGTTACCGGTGGGGACTACCTAGAAGTTCGAAATGTCCTGGTTGTGAATTGAGTATCGAGAGGACATACCATGAATTTAGTCAAATCCAACATGCAGATGGTGTCTCTAGAGGATTGCAACAGAGTTCAGCCTTCAGGCACAAAGCGTTAAACGGCTAACCTGCATGCATATCGATCGGATAGCCCAAACAGGATCAAAACGCCGCGAAGGCCCAGACCCAGGACCATCTCTTTACAATCAGGAAATTCACCCTGCCAAATACTAGCGCCGCAGAAAACAAGAAATCCCAAGCGGACGGTATGGAATAGAGTTCTGAAGGAAGCGTGCACGGAGAATGTGGCAATCCCAGCGACATGGCCGGAGGGGGGGTGTCAGAGTACAGTAACAACGTCTCCAGTGCCATTGGGACTCGATCTGCCAGTGATAACCTCTCGATTGCGTGCATGTCGTTTTGAACCATACCATATAAATGGAGGTGACTGGCGAGGATAATGACTCCGAGACGTGCACTACTGTCAATCTATCCAACCCCTTTATCAGAGCAAATCACATAGTATTTTTGTTTTCGGCCGGGTTTCTTTTTGATTCCTGGAGGCTCACAGGGCCTTGATTGCGGCCGGCGTCAGGACCCGCTCTGATGCATTCCCGCCCAGCGAAGTCTAGTAGTATGAGTGTACTCTGGGCTTCTCTTCCTGTCTCCATCCGTCGTCTGATGGAATCCAACCGAAATCAGAGTCTATCGTGTGAAATGCACGGAGTCGACAAAGCTCTGGAGTGTTCTGTGGGGGAAGAGGGCCCCAGCCCCCCTCCTCCTCCTCCTCCTCCTCCAGAATGACGCCAAATGCAAGAGTCATTATCGAACTTTCATCCAAAGCGTATCGAAATTTCCGGCTGAACACATCCGACATCCGAGAATGATGTGAGATGGAGGGGGGAAAGGAAGAAGGGAAACTTATCGCCGGAAACGTCGTCCGGTTAATATATCCGCCCGTCACCACCCAATGAGCCTCAGGCTGCCACACGGAGGCAGGTGTCTGCTCGCACGGTCGCATTGGAGAACTTACCCTCGACTGCGGGTCCAAACGCACCGGGATCCAGGGAAATCCTGTTCCATTTTCCTACTGTTTTCCCCCACCTCCTTGATGCAAGACCGACCCGCATTGGAGGTGTGTGCGCCATTACTTACTTCCTCCTAGTACAATCCGGGCAGGGAAGAAGACTCTGATGGAAGCTGAGTTCAGTCTCCACCGTGGAGGAAGTACGGCCTCACAAACGGGCAGATCCCCTCGAAGGGTCTGGAATCAATGAGTTCGAATGGGTGGTTGGATGATTGCTTCATCTGCATAGGGGGCGTTTCCCCCCCTGATGTTCATTCTTCGTCCATTGAAGCGTGACTGGGAGAGTGTGGTCAAGGGAAATGGGGGAGGAACGGATCGGGATCCCGAGTGGAGGAATGCAGCCATGGAAGCTCCAGACAGCACACAGCAGACAAGCAACAGCAGACAACCCGGGGGGAATGCAATTGAATCATGGAGGCAAAAAGTCTGTAACAAAAAAAAAAAACGTGCAATGCCACCCTACCGATGATTTGATTGGCGGAACAAAGTCCCAGGCTTCAAAGCGGAAGCGATCGGCTGATTAGTCATCCACTGTCTGGTTGCAGAGCAGAAATGCCAGATACGCAAAAGAGAAAAAGAAAGAGATAGGGAGAAGAACAAAAAGAGAGAAGACAAAGAAAAAAGAAAGAACAATGGAATATGCTTCTAGACAGTTCCTGCATCGGTCTGGGACTTACTTTTCACCCTTCAATACTGTAGCCAGACAGGATAACCTACAGTCGGATGAAGCAAAGAGCTGGTCAAGATCATCAACTGGAGACGTCATATGGCCCAGTCAATCCAATGCAATCCAATTCGGTTCAGTGTCATTCCCTCCCCGCGATCCAAGATATCCATCGATTTGATCCTTCCAAAACCCCGAATGAAACCAAGCTCCATCCATGGGTTCAGCCCACCGACCCTTCGGCACGACCAATGAGTGCTCTCGGAGTCATCTTCCCCCCCCCCTGTCAATGGCTTCATCGTTCCTTGACCTACAAATCGCTCTCTCTCGCTCTCTCGCTCGCTCTGCTGTGAGAGCCGATCAATTGCCATAGACAATGCCCGTCCTCACCCACCCCGGAAATATCCTCCAATTCCTCTCACACTGCCCTGAACTGCTTTTAACTTGGCCCGCATGCATCGTCATTGGCGGGCCCTCAAATGAAGGGAAATTGCTGAGTAGCCTTTTGCTTTTCTAATAAAGGTGTGTAATACTCTGCCGCACACCCTCCCCCAACCTATTACTTACTTTCTGTCCCACTCTACCCTTATACTGACTAACGCCCTGTGACAACCGAAAGAACCTGCCTGTTACTATCCTATATAGTTACACAAATTCCTGTCACTTCCCTGACAAGTCTCGATTTGCCCTGCCCTTTCCGTTCCAGCATATTTCTCAAAGAACCTTACCGTAGCAATCGTCCGGTGGATATAACCAGCTCATTGGAATTGAACCACATCATCGCCCGCGTGACAGGAAACATCAAGAGCAACTTCGGTATGTCCGTCAATCTGGAGCACTCCTCTGCCATCCCGGGGGCTCCGTCCAAGTCAGAAATCTCCTGGACGGAACCCATGTCCTTCGTCCTCGATGGCAACATCTCCTCCGATTTCCTCACGATGCCATTGTTCGACGGAATGCACGAATGGCCGATGGGCGGCAGCACTCCAGGTGCAGCGGCCACCCCAGGGGTCTTCGATGGCCTCCAACAACAGCCCCCGCAACAACCCAAGCCACCGCACGCCCAACCGCTACAGCACCACCCACAACCACCCTTCATGAACCCTCTCATCGAGCCGAACCTCTTCTCCCCCGAGCAGCCCATGGGCCCGCGCATGCACCAACACCACCAGCACCAACAACAGCCGCTAGCGCCGAAAGACGCGCTGCTAGACGGAAGCATGGCGCCTACGTTCGCAACGCACAGCCCGTACCACGCGCCGATGCACGAGATCACATCACGGGGCAGCATCAGCGACCAGTCGCAGCGGAGCTACGGGAGCATCAGCAGCGTGAGCAGCAACAGCAGCAGCGGGAGCGGGAGCGGGTTCAGCACGCGGCGGGCGAGCGAGCTGGACTTCTCGTCGGGGTCGCCGGACCGGGACCGGGACATGGAGCAGCAGAAGCGCGAGCGGTTCCTGGAGCGCAATCGTGTGGCGGCCAACAAGTGCCGGCGCAAGAAGAAGGAGCACACGCGGCAGCTGGAGAGCCGCTGCATGGATGTGACGCAGGCCAACTCGGCGCTGGAGAGCGAAGTCGGCCAGCTGCGCAGTCAGATCCTCGAGCTCAAGAACGAGCTGCTCAAGCACTCCAACTGCGACGACCCGGCCATCAAAGCCCACCTCGCCCGCATGGTCGCCAGCCTCTCCAAACGCAGCGTCTCCGTGTCCGCGCCCAGCTCCGCCGGCGATGATGCGCCGCCCCCTCTCTCGCCGGCCACCCGGAGTGCGGCTGGTCGTCCGTCTACGCCGCTCATCTCTCCTCCTCCACCACTGCCATCGCAGCAACCCCTCCGCGCGGAGGGACAGGCGGCCGCGTTCGAGTTCGATGATATGGTCCATCTACCCAATGCTGCTGCTTTGAAGGTGGAGGAGGATGAGGAGTTCCTGAAGGAGAGTCCGAGTCCATGATGGGACTCCTCCTCGATTGTACACGACTGTCTGACGATTTGGAAATGGGCTGAATGCGTTTTTTTTTCCCCCGTCTCTGCTACGCCTACTTCTACTTTTTATTTTCTTGTGTGCATTACTGTTGTATATTTGCTGTGCTCGACGAAGGCAGTATTTGGGCTGTTGCTGGAATGGCATACTGCTAGGGTATGCTATATTCGTCGGGACCGGATTTACTATGGCGTTTGACCCCAAGCGAGCGAAAGGGGATTTGTTTTTATTTGACTGATTGATTGATTGTTATAATTATGATTCTAAAAGAAGCACTACCTCAAATAATGAATAGTACACAAATATTTTCCCATCGGACTTAGTGATATTCTTCCGGCATAGAAACACAAACACCGTACATTATTTTGGGGGATGCGGGCGCGCACGCACGGCGGGAGGAGCAGTGGCCAGCCAAAAGTAAACGTTCGCCACCGGAGACGATGAAAAAAGACAATGATGTCACGACTCTAGACCGGGTTTGCCAAAACAGGCAAGTCTCGCTGGGATTCTCCATCTGCTCCACTCCATGCTTCACGCCAAACGTGTTTCAAGCTTTAATTTGTGGCATCAGCTCCCGCTCAAACACGCTAGTTCCCGCTTTTTGCTTTTTCAGCCAGAAGTAAAAAAAAAAGTACGGATTATACTTCGCATCCTGTACTGTATTGAATTGTGCTGCACTGTGATGATCTACGCTAACTGCATTCGTAACACACAGCTTTACTCATACTGGGGTATATTCAACTTATATCGAATAATTATTGATCATTGATTCACTAGTATACAGACTCGAACGTCATGCATTGCATCTTCCTGACTCGCATAGCCGCAAATAAGACAAGTCATATCATGTCATCACATCATTCATAAACCCGAAAGAGAATCCCGTTCGCTCGCACATTTTCTTGGGGATTCGAGAGTCAATTTACTCCTCGGGGGTATCCTCCGAGGTCCGCGAACCGCCCTTGCGGCCGGCTTCACGGGCGCGAGGGTCGCCGGGCTCGAAGCTGCCGCCGGAGTGCTGGCCGCCCTTCTGGCCGGCTTCGCGGGCGCGGGGGTCGCCGGGCTGGAAGCTGCCGCTGGAGGCGTGGCCGCCCATTGAGGCGATGTTGCGCTGCAGTTGGGTTAGTATTTAGCAATAGAGATGGGGGCGAAGGGCGGAGGATGGGATCTAGCGAAGAGGGGGGAGTAACGCACCTGCTTGTCTTCGTCCATGCTGGCGAAGCCGCCCGAGTGGCTGGACTGGCCGCCCATGCGGGCAATGTTCTGAACTTCTTCGTGGGGACGGTTGGCGAAGTTGCCGGGGTTGGTGTTGTTGGCCATTTTTTAAAGTTGAGTTGGGTGTTGGTGGTAGTTAAAGGTTGAGTAGTGTAGAGTGTAGAGTTTGCGGTGATGTTCTTCGTGTCTGGTTTGTTTGATGGGATCAGAATCTGGTCGAGTCAGTTTGGGTATTTATGCTGGCGAAGGGAAGAGTTGAGGATGGGATGATGCTGGTTGATGTCACTCGTTTCCATCTTACGTGTCTCACAGCTGGATGGAGGCGATGATACGGTGGTGCACGGAAAAATACGAGAATGAAGTCACGCTCGACATCATTCTGCGGGGTATCGACGCTTCCAGAAAAGACTCACCCAATCAATCGAGAAGGCCCGTAGACGCGGATCGACGGTAGGACCGGATTCTCATCGTCCCTGCACGGCTGAATGTGGTCATCATGATGACTCGGCGCTGGCAATCCTGGGGTTGGAGCTGCCCTGGACCGGACCTGAATGGCTTGCAAGGGGATGCTGAGAGGAGCTAGGGTTCGCTGTCGTTCTTGCAAGATGGATGGTTACACATCGCCCTTGCTGGCGTGGCTGGTGGTTGTACTTCATCATGACGGAAGTGGGTCGCTTGTGGACCCTGATCTACATCTAGAATTTGATAGATCAATTGATCGACATCTGTGCTTGTTTTAATGTGTTGTAGGTACGGTGTTTAGTGTATACTATAGGTGCTATGTAGTATAGCATGACATCGAATCCATAGCAAAATGGCATTTCCAGTTACAAAGTACCGTCATGAATTGTTAACAGACTGGATAACCTCGGCTTGCACCAGAGAAACCACTCGAAGACTCGCTCAGCATGGTTTGGAATAGAGTTCTCATGAATGATGCTATCAACCTAATCTAGAGACATGACTAGGACGTATTGGAAACTTCCATCATATGCATCTATCTTGCACCGTAATATGAAAACTCCAGTTCGAGCTCTTCCCATCTATTGCGCTGTAGTTTATCATGACGCCAGTGCAACTCCGTTCGTCTCGCGCGATCCGTCCCTCACGAAGCTGGAAAAGTAACTATCGAGATCAGCTGTTTGATCCATGTCCCCAATCCACGCAACATGTTGATCGGGGCGGCAAAGTACCACACAGCCGGTCTCCGTGTCAACGCCGTAACCCTCGTATGCACCACCGCGTCCTTGCCCAGAGCCATTGTCCGCGAATACCCTCGTGTAGTCCCATCCCCACGTATCGTCAAACGGGTGAAATATCTCCGGTAGATCAAGGAGTTCAACCGCAGTCCTTGGACTGGCGTGTATGAGGATCGTCTCCAGAAGCCAGCCATCGCGGGACCCATATCTTTCCCGATGCATCCGTAACAGGAACGGCCGCTTGCTGAAGCTTTGGGCGAACGAATCCAACCGGAAGCGAGAGTCGGCTTGACGGAGGTCTCCTGCGAAGACCAGCAACCTCCAAGACCCGTCACTTCGAAGCCTGCTCGTCAGGTAGGTCGAGTTACCTTCCGCGTGATTGACCACGGAGAACGGGTCGAGTCGTCTGCCCACTCGAATGTTCTTTGCCGGGCCTTTAGGTGACTGGTCGGAAATTAGGGCGTTTGAACTGTAGGTCACGCCCAGTCCGGAGATAAACTCGGAATACTGGTCTCGAACAGACTCCACCCCATTCGAGGCACCTGTATCTTTCTCGTACGCTCCGACCAAGTCGACATCCAATCTCAGCAGCTCAGCCGCGACCGGTCCTCGTTCGGACTCATATGTATCTAGAATCTTCGGATCCGCGACCCCGGTGATGACCGCACCCAACTTCCAGACCAGGTTGTATGTGTCCTGCATTGATACATTCATTCCCTGGCCAGCCTTCGGGGAGTGGGTGTGGGCAGCATCACCGGCCAGGAAGATTCTTGGTTCTAGTTAGTATGAATTCGAAGATGGGTCTCAGTCAGGCTTACACTACCTGTTGTGGGGTCGTAGGTGCTTCACAAGCTGCTGCTTGATCTGTGAAGCGTTAGCTCCAAAGATACAATACAGATATCGAAGGAAGTACTTACCGAGTACATGGACCACCAGTCACAGTACTTGTACCTCAATTGGTAAGGGGCCATCAAAGACTCTGCGGTTCTGACCAGCTCCTCAAGCGTTTGGTTCGACGAGGAATTCTTGTCATCGCACAGTTCTCTGTCACCCTTGGGATGTATGTAGAATCGAACCAGTCGGTTCTCTCTCGGTGCGGTCATTATACTGCCACGGTCCCCCGAGCTGATCGCGCATGACTGGCGGATGTCCGCTAGAAGTATGGGGTTAGCCTTGCACAACATATGACCCGACAACCACCAACATACGGAAATCCGTGATAGGAGCGATGTCAAAGACCGCCCACGTCGATTCGCCCAGATTCTTGTCGACGGGGACATTCAATTGATTCCTGGTCCAGCCACGTGCGCCATCACATGCGATCAGATAGCGAGCACGGATCGTCTTCCTATCTTGCAACCCATCGGTCCCATCTGGTAAGCGTAAGCCACATTCCACGCCGCCAAAGAGATAAGGTCTCCTCGAGAAGCTTACCGGGCGCCTTAGCCGACGCGACTTCGACAGCCACCTTGTAATCCGTCTCGGATTCGGAGTCAGAGACGGTCAAATTCTCCGCTCTGCAACCATACTCAACCTTGACTCCCGACTCATTAAGCGAGTCCAGGAGCACTTGCTCCGTGGCCCCCTGATTAAGTAGATACTGATCATACACCGAGCTCCCAGGCAACGAAGCACTCGTCTTAAGCCGCTCGATACGCCCCGTGCTCTCATTGAGTGCCTTTTCCCCATGTCAGTCCACACACATACACACAACACCTCAATACGACTGACCTAGCTCGGTCCGATAGATACATACCCAATACGCCATCTCCGTATGCGGCACCCCCTTCCGCAAAATCGGATCAACAATCCCAAAACTGTCCAAGATCTCCAACGTGCGACTCTGCAACCCATCGGCATGCCCGGTCGGTGTGCGTCCACTCTTCTGATCAATGATTCGCGTCTTCATGTGGAATTGTGCCGCCCAGCAGGCTGCCATCAGCCCTGCCGGGCCGGCGCCGATAATCAACAGATCCGTGTAGGAGTGGTCGTTTGCCATTTGCGCATGGTGTTAGTGTTGGTGTTGGTGTTGTGGTGGCTGTCATGCCCGGACCAGTTATCTTTATGCCATAGGAAGGTTTCAAGGGGGAGTTGATTGCATCACTGGGCAACAGCTGTGTTACGGTGAGTTTTGGGCAAATTTCCCAGGTTTCGATTGGCTTTTGCGGCCGGGTAGTCGACATACCACATCGCGACGTCATTGCCCTCGTTCCTCCGTCAACGGGTTGGGATTGTGTCGGTTGATTCTCCCAAGGAGAGGGTTGTTTACTTAGTTTGGGGGAATACAGGGTTCGATGGTCTCATTCTGTCTGATCGATCGGACTTTGGCACAGGGAATTGAATTGTCACCAGGTCACGTGTGCTGTATACCTGGTTATGTAGGCCACAGTATCACATGACCGTGTATATCATATCGGTAGTAGAACAGTCAGGTGAGGCATAAGGATGAGTAACTGCTGGCTTGTGAGTGAGTTATGCAGTATAAACACATACGCTACTAATAACTGACTATACACCACCCACTGTTTGTAATGTTTGTTAAGACATCCTGGCGTGAATCCCGCTCACTTCTGTCTCTCTCTCTCTCTCTCTCTCTCTTCCTCTTGCAGTCAACCGGAATGGCCCAGCCGATGGTCGACAATCCCAGTGAAAGTGGGTCCAGATGGGCTCCCCGCAAATTAACCCTATCTTGCTCCCGGTGCAGGTGGGCCAAGCTCAAATGCGACCGCAAAGAGCCGTGTGTACGTTACGCTGCCGTGGTTCGCATAGCTGTCCTTATCAGGCGCTGACCCCTAAAGCTTGAATGCATCAAGCGCGATCTGGGCCATCTCTGCGTCAAAGATGAACGCCGACCAAGAGCCAAGCGGACAAAACGGAATCAGCATGCCACCGCGCTCGAGAAGACAAATAAAACAAGGTTTGCTGATGTGTTCTCTAGTTAGTCAGCAGGTCTATGTATTAACATAGTGTGTTAGTCCCGTGGCAGACGACCAGGAGACTGAGGTAGAGGAAGCAGTGCAGGTACTTGAGTACTTTGTCAATGGGGCCATGCACAATGCCAGTTCTCCCACCACAGCAACATCGTCAGTGGTTGCGGACTCTCCGAACATGTATTGGGAGGCTGTATGCCACCCCCAGCGACAGACAGAGAAGCTAGCATTGCTGCAAGAAGTTGTCGATACGCTGCCGGAGCCCGAGTTAATCCACTGCCTGTACGAGGTCTTCTTAACGCGCTGTCAAGGGTCATTGGAGAATGTCGTGCATACTCCGACATTCCGAACCGAAGCAGAGTTGCTTTGCGGTTGCTTGAGTTATGTTTCGCCAGAGGCACGGGTGAGAGCATTAGCGGCGAGTTTCTCTCTAGACTCGCTGGCTTGCTATCTCTTGGCGGTGCGTATTGTAGTCCAGCCCATTTCCGACCAAGCTCTGATGTGTTTCTAGCTAGTCTTAGGTCTAGCCTTCTTTCCCACTCCCTCAATCTTAGGGTGGTCCTGGACGCCCCTGTCCATGCGAGTACAAGAGCTACGAGCATCAGATGTGCACTCCAAGACATGGCGAGCACTTGCGTTGCGCTGCCTCCATGGTGGGGTGACAATGTTCAGTGGCTCGATCGCCGCGTTGCAGGCCGCCATCATGCTTCTGCTTGATAGCCAAGAGGACTCCTTGACTCTGGATGCGATCTTAGTGACCGCTATCTCCGGGGCTCAGAAACTGGGCTCGCATACATTGGGCGACGCCAAGCTTCAAGTCTGCACATCACCTGCGCCCGACCCAGGATCTTCAACAAAGGGGCCAGACTGCATACGAACCGAGCTCGGGGTACGCATTTGGTAGGTGTTGTACCTCCAAGTCCCTCAGGCATAATCGCCACTCTGACAGCTTTACTTCCCAGGTGGGCACTTACTCTCCGCGACTGGTCGCGCGCTCAGAGGCTGGGATACTATACCATCCAACCGTGCCAATTCACCACGCGAAAACCCCTGAACATCAACGATGAAGACCTCAGCCCATCGACAGAGCATACCGACTCGGACGGCTACATCATTTCCCGGCCGCGCCACGAATTCACACAACTATCCTACACAATCCATGCCCTCGACATCGCCATCCTAGTCCGCGAGACAATCGACCTTCCGCAACCTTCCCGATTCCTCCTCTCCCGCCACAACCACCACCACCACCAAAGCACCCCGCGACGACAACACCGACCTCAACCGCACTAAGATCCGAACCCACCTCAACGCAAAGTACGGATCCTTCATCGCCAACCTCCCCGCCCACTTCCGCCTGGGCAGCATCATCGGCCTCGCCGCGCAGGGCCCGCAAGCCGCCATCCCCGTCCTCCGCTGGATGCTCCACCAGCAACTGTGGAGCCTCATGCTCCGGCTCTACCGCGCAAGCCTCCTAAGCCCGGACGGCCGAGCATCGTGCCAGCTGCTCGCGCAGAACCTCATCAGCACACAGGCCCAGATCCATGACCGATGCACCGTGTGCGGGTCCCTGTCGTCGAGCGACGGCCAGCTGTTCAACGCCGCCGCCGTGCTACTCATCGATCTGCTGTTGGCCCGGACGAAGAGTCCGCAACAAGATGCCTGTCCTTCGACAGCCGCGCAGCTTAGTCGGCTGATGATGAGGGACAAAGTGAGGGAGGCGATCGAGCTGTTACGGGCGCGCAGCGAGCGGAGCACGGCCGATTCTCCGGGAATTTTATCGCACGAGCGGCAGAGAGCCTCGGCGACGCGAGGGGTCCTTGCCCTGGAGGCTCTGATGAGTCTGGAGGAAGAGGACGAGTATCCTGCGGATATGCAGGGCTCGAGTGGAGGCGAGCAGGCGAGCGGATGTGGCACGCTGAAGTCGAAGTTGTCGAAGATCCTGGGTGAGGTGCAGCAGAGCATGCGGACTCCGTCGACTGGGACGGGGACGCCTAGTTTATCTTCTTTGGAGGCTATCGATCGGTCTGTGTCCTCGGGAGCTGATGTGCCTTCTGCGCATGATCTGGATGTCTTGCCGATTGTGTCGAATGATCCTGGGTGTGATATTTGGGAATACCTCGATTTTGATAGTGGGCTGCTTCCGAAGGATGGAGTGGATGGGGTGTTCTGGGATGCATGATTGGTTGTGGTTGAGGAAAGCAAGATGGGGGTTGTGCGGAGCGGTGCGTCTTAGGATGGGCTCTTCTTCCAACCCAGTCATGTGGGAATCGTATATTATCTTTCGATTGGTCTTAGATAATTATAGAGCATTCTCGACACCGACACGGATATAGCATTACTTTGGCAATCAGGTCAGCTTATTCTACGACGGCGTACGGAGTGAAAGCGAAGTGGACGCGATACGCAATAAAGGTGAATATGATTCGTTATACAGGCCACCAACATAATCTTAGCCCTGGCAAAAAAAGTCAACTATCATAAATACCACTGGAGAACGCATTGCATTGAGACAGATATTCATATAGCAACCAACCCCAACGCAGCCCATGCTATCCCTGCACCGTAACCGTAACCGTCACAGTCACCACATACCCGATGCACTCGAGCAACACCCATCAAATTCCCGGCGCAGCCCTCCGATACGCCTCCCTAACAACCTCCAACCCCTCCAGCCTCTCCAAATACCCCGTAATAGCAGGATACATCTCCCGCTTCCTCAACGCCTCCCTGGCCAAAACCGAGCTCTTCAACCACAGCAAAATCGCAAAGTCCACAATCGTCAACCTGCCTAAAGCAATATAGCCGCCTGACGCCGCAGAAGCGAGCTGGTTCTCGAGCACGCCTCGCAACCGCTCCACCTCCTGCTGGTAGCGCGCGATAACACCCTCCCCGGACTTCTCGCCATGCGCATCCTGGTGGAAGAGCAGGAACGACAGCAACTGGCCCTGGTACGGCCCTAGACCCGAGATCTGCCATGAGAGCCACTGGTTGACCGTCGCGCGTTCCTCGGGGGTGCGGCCGGCTAGCAGGCCGGTTGGGTCGTACTGGTGCTTATTAGTTTGATCTCTTGTTCGGGCCCGTGTTGCTGTCGGCTGCTTCCGGAAGTGCGTGGAGCCCGCGTTGATTCTCCGAAAACTCCGGATTCTCCGGCCTGCCATACAATCAATATTCAACACCACAACGCAAGAAAAAAAGATACTCGCCATTACATACTTGATCGTCTCAAACACACCATCACGAAATCGAGGTTGGTTGAGTTTCATCAGCTATCAACTGGTATACATCACCTACGCTGTAGTCTACGAACACTTATAGAGTGCATGCTACGCCTGTTGCAGTATTTGGCCTTCAGGGCTTGGCTTGCTGGTTAGCAATGTGAGTATTGTCCGTATCACAGGAGCAGATTGGTACCTGAAAAATAACCGTTCTACTCAATTTGACAATTATGCCCATCTCTCTACAGAATCTGTGCCGACTACGTTTCCCCCTCGATAATCTAGGACTAAATTCTTGAATCACATTTGATGATATGGTACAGGAATTGAAACAGATAATCCTCTTCTCACCATAACTTCCTACTTATAACAAAAGTCCCCTATTTTGTCGCCTGGTCCTTGGTCTCAGGGAACGATCTAAACATATCCCTGATCTTATCCATCGGTGCAGTCATCAACCCGGCCACAGTCTCAAAGGGCGGCTTGTTCGGAGCATTCGGGTGACTCCTCGTGGGCACGAACTGCTTCGTGCGGTGGAACGACGCAGCCATCTGCCTGGACTCTGCATCATCCAAGGACTCCTCCAGCTGCGGCAAGTCCTTCCCCTCCTCTTCCTTGATATGCTGGGCGAGATTTTCCCACAGGTTCTTCAGTACAGGCATGAATTCCGGGTCGTTGGGCTGGAGCCCCTGAAACTTGTACAGGAGTTCTTTGACCTAGTTCAATCATGATCATTAGACTGGCAGTACGACAGGCAGTTGAAACCGACTAGAACTCACCACTTGATGCTCCATCCGGTCGTGGTCGGCCATATCTGTTCCGTTGTTCAGATGTTTCTCCATGGAGGGGTAGACCACCAGCTCCTCGCCGAGGGAGTGGCGTGCCAGCTCCCAGGTGAACTGATTCTGCCACTTGGCCCGCTCCTCGGCGTCTGGCGCATTCATGATGTGGTTGTAGGCATCTTCGAGGTCTCGGTGGTCGCTCGTGATGATTTCGGAGATGTTGGTGTTGTTGACGGAGGTGACTACAAAGTGGCGCCGAGGGATGGTGACGGTCAACGGAGTGGCTTTGCTGAGTCCTCCCCGCAAGGACTGCTTCAGAAATCGAGTGCTGAGCATTTTGTATGGGCAGAGAGATGTACTAGTTATTTGTGATGGGGAATAGAACTACGACAGAGAATGAGGGGAAATTGTACGACCTTTGCAGCAATTGAGCTCTTTATCCCACAGCACTCGTGCACACAAAGTACATGTCATCATTGCGCAACAACAACGAGATTCATAGATGGGTGAAGCTTGTTACGCTTAGAAGGCGCTTCCTCTGCAAGCCGGAGAATGGCTCCTCGTGTTCTTAGTGGACAGACCCGTATTCGTAATGGAGGGGATATCCTTGGTTGTTGGGCGGCCGGACTGGGACTTGGCATCACACGTCAGTCTGACACCCGGGACGAGTATAAGCAACTATGCGTATACGGTCATTCGTCGCTCAGTCAATTGCATCAAAGATACAGCGGTTACTGTCTGGTCAGGGACAGTGTTCTATCTTGCATAACCAATGATTGTTCTTTTATATGAAATACTGATTACCATACTTAGTGGACGGTAGTTAACAATGGGCGTGCCCCCGGGTCGCATGCCTACCCCTAGAAGATCTGTATTCCGGCGCTTCAAAAGAAGACAAACATGTCAAAGTTATTCTTCAAAACCAGCATCGTGCCTCAGAGCATTTTTGCTTAGTAAAAGACCAGTCGAACCTCGATTAAGATCTTACTCCTTACACCGTACTCTGCCAATAAGCGTCCCAGCATCCTAATGGAATGATGCTCTCTCGCTCTCTCGCTGAAGCGAGTCACTCCAGGACATGGGCTTCCGGTTACCGCAGCCCTAACAGATAAGCAACGGCCTGGCACCCGTCTATCCCAAGACTTTTCCTTAGCAGCATACCTTTATCACGGAACTAGCCAGCCCTATCACAAAGAGTAACTGTAATCTTTCGCTGTCTCTACGACTTACTAGTACAGTATAACGAGTATCTCCCGTGTTTCATAATGCTCCCTCTGTACATCACCGATTGTATGACTCGCTCTCCACACCACTCTAAGCTTGAGTATATCATCGAGAAGGCTTCAGTAGTCATATGAAAACCGCCCTTAACACAGCATGTTCCTACCGTAAATCTACTCTACTTCAAATCCACCTATTCTCTTTGCTCCATCTTGAAAAACTCCTACGAAAAAACCCAGGCTCGTCCCTGATCCCCCTATATTTATACCTACCTCATCACCCCCAGAGATAGAGTAATTGATAACCCCACCGTGAAGGCCAACAACCGCTATCAAAGTGAGCACACGCAATCTTTACATTTCGCTAACAGACAAGCCTCGCAGCCTTCCGAAACAGCAATGGAAGCCCCCACGGCAGACTGGGACCTCCATATCCCGGAGCAATACGACCCGTTGCTCCCATACCTTAACGAACTCCGGGACCCCGCGCGCGTCAATAATCCCATCCCCGGGGGACACGGTTATCCCTACAATCCGCCTGGGAATGGCCGGGTTTGGCGGGGCCCCGCGCGCGACAATGCTCCCTTCCCCGAGGGAAACGGTTATGCCTACCATCCGCCTAATAATGACCGGGTATGGTATTACCTGCCCCCCAACGGTGGTGCGCCGATCCCGGTGATTCGCGACCCTGGGGATAGCCGGCAGCATGGAGGTGCCCGTGGACGTGGCGGTTTCCGGGGTCGTGGAGCTTTTCGAGGGCGTGGAGGCTTCCGAGGATATAGAGGCTCCCGGGGACCAGGGGGTCAACCTAGGGATCAAACCGGTCTTCAAGGAAATCGAGGCGATCCGTTAAGGGGTCGAGGAGGTCAGCCATGGGGTCGAGGACGTGTCAGAGGCCTGGCAGGTTTTGGACGCCGAGGAGGAGGCCTTATGGTTCATGGAGATCCTATAATGGGACCTGAAGGCCTCATGGTACGAGGACTCCTCGAGCGACGAGACCCCAGACAACGAGGAGGCTCCAGACAACGAGGAGGGCGCAGGGGACGATGCGCAAACTGGCCACGGTGTTGTCGCTGAAACTTGATATTAGTGACTTCTTCCCTTTGTCCTTACGAGTAAGAAGGTCAAGGAGAGCTTTTCTTCACAAATTTCAAAAAAACTTATTAAATCTACTCTTTTTCCAGTAAGACATGTCATTCTTTTTCAGGGTAATTCGTGCACTTTTGTCTTCAGAGAGCTGCCGTTTTGAAGTCGGTTACGGGAATGGAAACCGAAGCTGACTTGAGAGGATGTATACCGCCGACGCATCATTACCTTTCTACCCGGGGAGGCTTCCACCGTATCCTTTGCCCCGCGAGCGACGAGAATAACAAAAAAAAAAAAAAAAAAAAAAAAAAAAAAAAAAAAAAAAAAGAAATCCCACCATTAATTGTGCCTGAATATTTATAGCAGAGGCTCCTCGGCCAGGTGTCAAGACAAGGCTTCAGTTAGACAAGTACAATTTCTCATCGCACGCCAAACAGCTAGCCCAGCTTATTCAGGTAAGATTATTGTAAACCAAGGAGTCTCCTGGGGCTCTTGCCAAATTTGCTCTCTTTCTCTTGTAAAAAAAGTCAAGACAACGAATCAATGATATGTGCATGAAACCAAGCTCGCTAGACAGATGTAGATGCATACAAGATTGTTGTAATAGAACATAATGATCGCTGTGCAAGGTGCAAGAACACAGAGCATTTCCATGATAGAAATCATATCTAAGTCGTGAGAGTGAAGATGAGGCATTGAGCCGACAGAGAACGGTAGCACAGCCCATGAACACAATTCTAAAGGTTTAATTGGAACCTCGGCGATGTCCGAATCCTCGCTCCGTACCGGCTGTAAAATATCGGGAACATGCAAAAGGCAAGCGCAATAAAGGCAAGTAAAGAATTTCCCCAGCCCAGCCCTAGAGCGCTGTACATCGACGGGCCCGCCAGGGGGAGTAGCGCACCAATCAACGAGCGGGTTACGGCGTTGGCAGCCGTGACAGATGCAGCGTACAGGAGATAAGAATCGACGAGGTAGGTATTGATGCTCAGCTTCAAAGCCAGTCAGCAGGGTGTCCAAAACGTTACTCCAATTGTGGGGATTGCTTACAAAAACACACATCAGTCCAGCTCCGAAGATGCCAGTACCGATGATAGGCATGATCCAGTGGACATGTTTTTCGGCCGACCACCCGTACCAGAACAACCCGATCGGCAGAAGCCATGAGCCGTAAAGAGCGGGGATCAGACGGGACTCTGGCGCGAAGCGTCCCTGAGCTGTATGCGTCGCGGCGATGCGATTAGCCGCATAGCCGCTGACCTGCAGCCCGATGATGGCGCCGATACCGAATCCTAGATACGCCAAGCCACACATCTCCTGTCGCCAACCGTACACTTCCTCGAAGATGGCGGTGATAGTGGTGAACATGAGGTACAGGTATCCATACGACACCGCCCCGAACAGAGCCATCAACAGGACAATGGGCGACAGGAAAAGAAGCTTGAATGGTCGCACGCCGGCTAGTCGGAAGACCTCCTTCTGGGGTATGCCACGATCGAACTTGGATCGGTATTTTTCGTTGCCGGTCTCTTTGCGCAGTCTCGCTGCCTTGCGCTCGAGTAGGACTACGCTGTATGTCTCACGATAGCAGAAAAGCGTTGCGACGAGCATGACACCAGTCTGAATTGCGAATGTTAGTTTTCTTTGAACCCACTATCTCTGCGCCAAGGTAAAGACGTACCGCAATCGCAATAATCCAGAAAACCCATCGCCAGCCGATGTTCGCGCAGACGAACGACCCGGCTATTGGCCCGATGACTGGTCCCAGAACTGGCCCCATTGCCCAGATCGCCATCACTCCAGCTCGTTTCTCTTTGGGGATCAGATCCGCCACCGTACCGGAACCAAGAGTCATCGGACAGCTACCCGCGACTCCAGCGAAGAATCGGAAGACGAACAATTGAGGCAAGGTTTGAGCGACCGCACAGGCAATAGTGAAGATGAGGAAAAGAGTGTTGCAGATATGGTAGAGTCGGCACCGGCCGTAGATCTCTGATAATGGCGCAATGACCAATGGTCCAACCACATAGCCCAGGAGGAAGATGGAGACGACAAAGGAGCCGAGGGTGGTGTTTGTATTATGGAATTCGGCAAGCACATCGGCCTCGCCGGGGGTGAACATGGAAGAAGATAATGGTCTAGGTAGCGCATGTTAGTCCGATGTTCGTGGCTGAAGTATCTCACATGTTTTGGAAGGCAATGCGCATACGTGAGAAGACTGTTGACCCCCATGCCGGCCAGCTGCCGCACTTTCTTACTGAGTGGCCAGGTCATAGGACATTCGGGGTCGTTGGGTCCCTCCCAATCCACGAGATAAGGATTGGTGTCTTCATCCTTCTCTAGTGTACCGGCAGATGCTTCAACATCGTTGCCTTTGGATGAATCCTCCTTCTGCGTCCCGCTCATGTTGCTCCGTGGACGTTCAGTTTCGCAATCCTTCTGCTTCTATCAGGTTTTCCGATCTATACTTTTCGGATAGCGCGTGAAAGCTTTGTCTTGGGCGGGTGGATTGTCAACGAGCACACGGTCTATCACTTCCAAGCTAGCTGGGCCTGCCGATTATATATGTGTCCTTGCGCATCCTAGCGAGACTGCAAAACAGCCCAAACCGGAGCTTGGATGCATGAGTGGGCCGGGATGTGGAGTTAGGGGATATCGGCGAGACACATGGCTAGTCTGCGCATAACTTCTCCCTCCTGCAAATTTGTATACCGACCCCTTAGTACGCTCCGATATGCACCACGATATCCGAAGCCATCGGTTCGGAACTCACCAGTGATATCCTTAGTGAACATATCCGTATCTGTCAAGAGTGGCTCGATATTTACCATCACAAGTACTCCGATAGTATTGAGAGGATGACATCCCCAAATATTCACTAGTCGAGGTTGAGCATAATCAGGGATATTGTGTCGGGAATCGGCAAACGGAGTTCCGTTACTGTTACTCCGCCTCTACTGTTTGAGGTAGTTTTAAACCGCCAGTACTCTGTTTTCGGCAAATCTATTCCGTCAACTCCGGGCTCTGTGTTCCAGCCCTGCATTGACTGAATCGTGCGGAGTAGTTGTGAGTGAGTGACCCCTTAAAAAGTCTTCTCATAATATTCTGGAAAATTGTCCAGTAGAATCGGAGTGGGCCTATCACCTGGCATGCAACCTCGAATGCCCAAAGAGTGCCCACTTATCGGGTTATCATGACGGCTTCATAAAGCTTTGGAGTATCTGATCCTAGTAGAGACAGCGGTAAGGAAGTCCCGTGAGGATTAATACTATCAGATGATCGCTTATGTGCTCTATATGGTATACCTTTCAAGTACTCAACATATAATTCATTCTGATTGACTAAAACATGCTGCTCAAATCGGGACAAGCTCTGAAGCCTACTATTACAACACAGGTTGCTTCGCGATTCCCTAACATCAACAAACAAAATCAACATAACTCAACCCAAGTCACAAACCATCGTCGGAGACAGTTTTAGGGCGGTAGGTCACTTGCAGCCTGGTCGGGGAACTTTCTGAACAAATCTTTGATATGATCAATCGGAGCCGCCAACAGTCCTGCCACCGTTTCGAATGGCGGCTTGTCGGGCGCCGACGGATGGCTGCGAGTAGGAATAAACATCTTGGTCCGCTTGAACGAGCCGACCATGCTCTTCGAATCCTGCTCATCCAGACTCGCTTCTAGCTTGACGAGGTCTTGCTCCTCTTCCTCCTTAATGTGCTGGGAGAGGGTGCCCCAAAGCCCCTGGATGGTGGGGATGAACTCTGCATCGTTGGGCTTCAGGTTCTGGAATTTCTCCAGATGGTCTTTCACCTAGACATAGACTCAGCTTCGATCCACTTCGAGAAGCTTGATGGAGCGCCAAGTTCAGGGAACTTACTGTTTTGTGCTCCGCTCTGTCCTTGTCTGCCATAGCCTTCCCATCGGTCAGGTGCTTCTCCATCGCAGGGTAGAGGACCAATTCCTCCCCGATGGAGTGGCGAGCCAGCTCCCAGGTGAACTGGTTCTGCCACCGGCGCTTTTCATCGTCGGTCGTGGCTGTCAGGATGTTGTTGTAGGCCTCTTCGAGGTCTCGGTGGTCCTTCTTGATCTCGTCGCTAATGAGAGTCATGTTGGAGGATGTCTGTGGGGAAATTATCGAGAGGAGTTGACGGGGTCAGTGGCAGTCACAGATGCGACAGAACAGATGGCGACGATTAAAAACCAGCGCACTGCAACTGGCTGCCGGATTCAAGGGTTGAGGTCAATTGACCGTTACGTCATTATTAGCCCACGATTACCCCCCATGCATATGCGAATTTTGGTCGCATCTAGATTGCGTCTATGGCTTGAGCGGGGACGATTCAGGAGACCTTGCTTGCTCTTGGCTGAGAGCCCGGATCAAATCCCGGACCACTGCCGGATAGCAGATTCGACAATACCCTAACTCCTGTAAGACGTCTAGCAACGATTGATTCCAGCCCCTCAGCAATGCACGAATTAGAAACAAGGTATTTCAATTTGGGTGGCGAACGAACACTATCTACAAATGTTCCTTAGGGGTCCAAGAAGTTTGTGGGGTAACACGAAGGCTGGTGGTGTCACACCGGCGTCTTTCATCCACCTCGATGGTCATAGAGCATAGCATACGAGACATTGAATTAGATCAAATGGTCAACCCCCGCACGACCTGGACCAGAGTTACAGCTTCATTGGCCTCCACTCAGCTTGCGTCTCTTGTTGCTGCGCTTGGGATGAAATTCCTGGGCGTAGACTTTGAAGAAGTCGGGGGGTTCTTGGGGATGACCCCCGGTGACGTCATGGAAAGCCGTGGTTGAAATGTAGTTGGTTTTACCTTCACGCACCAGCGAGTAGTACTCTAACAAGTACTGGATCTCGGACTGGTCGCTGTCGGATTGTGCGCGCAAAACCTTCTTTGCTTCCGCCCTGGAGGGAGGTGGTGCACGATTAATCCCTGGTACGATAGCCTGAGGAGGAGGGGAAGGGGATGTGATATGACGCACTCCGAAATATCCTCAAACTTAAGCTCCTCTCCTAGTGCCTGACTAGCTGCAGAGGCTAACTCGTCTCCGGTCGCAAGCATTGGTCCTGTTCAAAATATTAGACACAGCTGGCTCATACAATTCTTTGGTCCCTCTGCTCATACCGGTCAGTACCATCAATTGACCCCGGTGTTTGTCGCTGAATCCGTGCTTGCCCTTCCCACTGAGAACGTGCGCGACGACTTGGGCGACATCCTAGAACTGGTCAATTGATTCTCCCACGAAAACTGAGCAAAACCTACTCCTAAAGCGATGGGTGCAAATTTGTGGTCTTTGCCAATGGGCAGAGGCAGGAGGCCTTCTTCCTGGGCTTGGCGGGAGTACAGAAGGAGGTTCTCCGCGTAGAATCCAGGTCTGCGCAGCTACAGTCAGTTCGGTTCTTCAGCAGCCGGGTACAGCAGATCGCACCGTATAACCACCGGGGAGTGACCGGTAGAGGTCGACGGATCTCCCTTCGAGGCAAGGAGCAGGACTTCGAGGTCAATAAACTCCCGCAGTCGGGGCTGCTTCTCCCTCTCAGCCAGATCGCAACCCGCAGAGCTAATCATGCAGACATTCGCGATCCCGGCTTTCTTGGTTGCTTCGATCAGTTCGCTAGTAATGTCGAACTTGTCCGGGTGAGTCGGAGGGATGAGACACATTGTATCAGCCTCGGTCTCCTTGAGTGCCTTGGTCATCTCCCTCAATCTCCCAGGCTTGTGGGGAACTATTTTAACCCCGAGCTTGCTGAGTTCTTTGCACGAACTGGCCTCGGGGTGCAGAGTCAGGCCAACAACAGAGCCGATGGTTTTCTTGAAATTGTTGTCGGTCATGATCAACTCGGCGGTCAAGAAGCCGGTATGGCCATCAACGGCGGTGATACATAATTTTCTAGACATGGTTAATTCAGTGGAAAGAGAGATTGAGATAGATGCTAAATCAAGTGTTGTACTGTACTGAGAAGTACAGGAAATGTTTGGATGCGTGTTTTCTTATACTGAAGCGACATCGTGACTGGGCGTCACTGTGAGATCATGCTCAGTGTATGTCATGGTTGTCCGTTGTTCTAGACAAGCCCTGAGGTCATCCACCAATACGATGTTCAACTGTATGTTTTTCATTGGTCTTCCCCAAATTTCCCAATGCGGTATGCCAGGCTATCACGTGAATTTCTTCTATCACGTGATCCACCGCTGTCATGTTCGGATGCCCATGTTTGCAATCGGACCTCAACATGCCAGTCCAGGCCCGGGCATCGGGCATTGATCCAAGTATACTTCCATGGCCTACATCCTGCATAATGCTTACTAACTCGCTTCCTTGCACAACAGTTCCATGGATGTTACACCCTTTCAGGTTGGGATGACATTCGACTCGCTCCCGGAGGCGCGTCACACTCTCCTTCGTCATGCCGTCGATCGCCATGAGTCCTACATGGTCGTTAAGTCGGAGGCAACTCGCCACATTGCCAAATGCAGAGATCCTCTGTGTGAATATGAAGTTCGCATTGGCACCAAGAAAGGTAAGTTTCGGGTCACGGTCTACAACCCTCATACATGCCCTCCTTCCACACACAACAATTGGAAGCACTCCCGCTCGTCCAAGTTGAAACCGGACTATATCATACCGGATAGCGGAAATAAGAAGTAACATGATATGCCCAACCTCTTACCCACAGCAGTGGCTGAATTATGGTCAACAGACGTGCAAGGCGGGATTCGACCGTGTCAAGTGAGGGTGATGCGCGAGAACAAAACCGGCACCGATCGCGCCAAGCCTGCATACAATGTCGGTCGCGGAAAGTCAAGTGCGATGGAAACAACCCTTGCAGGATCTGCGCGGATTCGGGTAGTGACTGCGGATATACGCCGATCGCTCAGTCGGCCTTTGCGAGGCGCCAAGCTCTGGTTACAAGTCATGGAGTTCCCGAGGGAGTGACAGCGGCTCGCGACGATCGCACCGAAGCCACGGACGGCCCATCCACTCCCCGCGGAATCTTGGAGCCGTGGAAACAGCGATTCGTGGGGAGAGAGGCATCGATCGCATTCCCACTCTTCGTCGGGCTGGATGTGCAGGCGGCCAATCCCCCACGTCTGCATTCATTCGCGTACAATCCGGGAGTCAGGCGCGAGCCAGAAACTACAGTCGATTTCGAGATTGCGGAGGCTATTACCTGGGAAATTGCTAGGAGTCTTATCGATGTTTATATAGCCTCCATCCACCCCTTGTTCAATTTCTGCGACCACGAGAAACTGCTGCAGCGAGCTGATGACCACTGGCATGGCAAGCCCCAAGGGTTGAGCTTCGAGGCTGTAATAAGCGGGGTCGTTGCATTAGGCTCCTTATTCAATGCAGCCCTGAGCGAAGAAAAGGAGCTATGGACTGTGCAGCACGCGAAAAGCATTCTCGAGGACTCCGTGGTTGGCCGGCACCCTACGATCGAGCAAGTAGCTGCCTACATCTTGCGCACAATCTATGTCCGCTCCACCAGCAGGCCACATCTATCGTGGCTCTGTAGCTGCAATATGATGCATCTCGTCGAAGCCACTGGATTGCAGCACGGGCCGGACGCTTTTATCCTGGCGCCAGGTCGAGCCCCTCCGGACTCAGCACAAAGACAGCCATACAACCCGAAGCGAACAGCGCAGGTCGCCGAATGTTTGCACGTTTTGATCGCCTGCGACTACGGACGTTCTGTGATGAACTCCAGTATTCACGCGAGGCAAGAAGATTTCGCCGCCACATTCAAGACGGACCTAACTGCTCAGCTCTGTACGTTGGTTCAAGCCATCCCTGTCACAATTCCAGGACCGGGAGCAGGTTCAGGGGCAACGGAACAATTATCTGCGCTGAGCAAGGTGGCCTCTATCGATGTCGAACATGAATTTCTGGTCTTAGTCAAAGCTGATCTCGTGTTCTGCTTATATCGCAGGCTCCGGCTGATCAACCTACGTCTTGACCCACAACAGGTTGACGACATCATCACCACGGGCGCAGCAGCTCTTGAGCCGGCACAAAGGCTCGTCACGATGAAGAAGCCCTGGTGGAACGTTTTGGGCACCGTCTTTCAATTTGCCTGCGTATTGCTTGCGCTAGACACGCCAGAGAGTCTCGCCCAAATTCCGAGAGCGCTGGAGACTCTGGAACGAATATCAGACCAGCTGAATACACACTTGGCCACCGAAGCTCTGAGTACGATCCGGCAGCTCGTCCGAGCCTCCATTGACAAAAAGCGCCAGGGCATTGAGCACCTCGAGCGTTCCCTAGGCGAGGGCAGTCACGGCCATGCGGACGACACGGTCATTCCGCCTGCGCCGCATGATGTCTCGTTCGATCCTTATGCGCCGCCGGATGCGATCGACCTGGACTTCCTGCTTAACATGAATTTCTAGCACTATGCATTGCAGAGGTGCTTCGAACCCGAGAAACCAAGCAAATAACCTGCCGCTATGAAATCCCTTACGGTTTCTGGTCTTCCAGCCAGTTAATGCAACCTGCGTTGAGGGGTTTGTGCGGTGTGCATTCTATGGTATCAACGGCGAGTCGGCAATCTCGTTCCATGAACAGGTCAGTCGCACCCATTTGAAGCCGGTATTGGGTATGCGTTGGCCTGCGATGATTCCAAAGACAGGACAGCCCTTCCTATCTATATAAACCCATATAAATAAGGCGGTCAGGCCAAGAACCGGGTACCCGTGTTGAGGATCAATCCTGCGATGCCGGCTTTTCGGGCATATCGATTTTTCATGCCTTCACGGCACCCGATCTATGCAGTATGCCCAGATCATGTCATTGTCGGTGACTCCCATGACTGCCGTAAAGCACATTAATTCTGCTTGTTTGAAAATTGTGCATGCTCCTCGGACATCCAAGAAATCGCCCCTTGCACCGAACCAAGATTCGAGCTCAGGCAATGTCCCGCACAAGGATGGAAGCCCTCCGCCTCGCC